TATTTAATAAATTATATTTTTTTAAAAATAGTATTATGCTTTTCCAGATCCAGTATAAGAAAGAAAGTATTCAGAAATTAATAATTATTAATTATAAGATTTAATTAGATTATATATATTAAATTAATAGTCTGTTTTCTATTAAAACCTGTAACAGAGATTGCCTTCTTTAAAGATAATATTAAGATTTTAAAGTATTAAGCTAATTTAATAATAAATTAAATATTTATTATTAAGTAGATATTAGTTTTGGAATCAGCAAGTATATAAGCAGAAATAATAATATTATTTTTAAAAAATAAAATAATAATTATAAAATTATTACTATTATTTTTTAACAGGTCTTGTAGATTTACTATATTTATTTAAATTTTTAATTTATTTAGAATAGAAATTTTTTTTAGATATAGTTTTTTACTGACTTAGATTTCTCCGTAAAGGCTTCTAAAATCTTTATCTATATAATCTTTTTTTTAAAATATTCTCTACTTCTATAACCGGATTTCTTATAGTAGAAATACTTTTTATTTTTTATTAAAGTTTTCCTAGTTTCTGGCTCTATACTTAAAGCATAAGTTAAAATCTTAAAAACAGTATTCTCAGAGTTTAAAATACTAGAAAAAATATAAGAATTATAAGATTTACTATAATTATTAATAATAGTAATATTACTTCTAATATAACTTTTTATTAAATCTTTAATTAAGTCTGTAGAGTTCGCACACTCCTCTATATAGTTATTAAAAAAGTAATATTTATTATTAAAATTATACATAGTAAATTTTTTTAGCTTGGAAAGTAATTTATTATATAAATCTTTTTTTTAAAAATTTTTATTAATTCCAGCTTTCACCGCGAGATAATAGAAAGTCAAAATAAAAGTATAAAATTTCTTTTTAATCTTTATATATAGGTCTTGGTACTGGCGGCGGGCGTTACAAACCTTATAAAAATTAATAAAAATAATTTCTAGATATTCTAATATATCCTCAGTGTTGTTATAAGGATTAATTATATTTAAATAAAGTCTAGATATTAAATACTTCTTTATATTATTCTTGTAATGGCTGGTAATATAAGCTTTATATATTATTAAAATAATAAACTAGTTAATATTAGCTTCTAGTTTTTAATATATAGCTAGTATCCAGTTTTTAAAGAAGATGTTCTTTCCATCACTAAATAGAGATAGATTAAAGATCTTTATTACTCTCTTAGGCTCGGGAATAATTATACTTTAAAAATTAATTAAAATCTAATAAATAGTTTATACTATAAAGATATCTCATTCTTTAGTGATATTATCTTATTCTTAAGTAAGAGTAGTTATCTCCTGGCTCTATCAGTCTTACTTATCAAGAAGATTATTTCTTTCGGCCTCTAGAGTATTAAAAATCTTTAAAAGGATTTTAAAAGTCCGCTTTAGATCTCTTTTATATTAATTATTAAATTTAGTCTAATTAAACCCATCTTCCTAGTTTAATTCATTAGGCAGTATCACAGAAAATCATTAGTTATTCTTAGAACTAGAAGTCTAGATACTTTCTCTGGCTATTTCATTCATTTATTTAGTTAGTCAGTCAGATAAGTCTTTTAACTGTTAAACATTACCAAGAACGCAGGATAGGAACTGCTGACAGCTTAGTAGGAACTAGCCATATATAATAATAAAAAAAAAATAAAAAATAATACTTAAAATTATAAGACGGCTGTTCAACGTAATAAAATGAGGTCATATTAGTATTAACTACTCTAGAACTTTAAATATAAGAAGGAAAAAAAGAAAATAAGAAGTATTGTAGATACTTACTTAAAGAAAATAATAGTAAAGTAAATGAAATAAACATGGTCACATGACCCTGAACAAGGCCCTGAACAAGGCCCCGAACGAGGCTGCCGTCACACCCTACACCAAATTATTAACTAAATCTAATAAATATAATAGAAAGATAAGTCAGTTACTATACTACTCCTGGACATCTTAGGAATGTATAATAATATATTATACTACTATTTACTATTTAATCTTAAAAAATAAAGACTAGGATACCTGGTACTATAAATCAAGAACTTTTTAAATTACTAAAGAACTAAGATATAACTCCTAAAAATCACTACTAATTAGATATTAACCACGATAAGGATCCCACAAGGATTCCTACTTTTATCTATTCTATATTTATTATATAATATACTTTTAATTAAGGATTGTATCCAACAAATCCCTATAAATAAAATTAAAGTCTATAGCTAGATTAATAATACTAATATTATTATAATAAATTAGATAATAAAGATTATTATTCACATGCTTATAGATACATATTAATAAATATAGGAATAAATCTAGAAATATAATTTAATATTTATTTTAATAAAATATTAATTAATATACTTTCCCTGCTCCTGCACAGTAGATAAAATAAAAAAACTACTTAAAATAATAAATAATAAAAGTATTATAGTTATCCAGCTTAATAAAATAGGAATTTATCTCGGGATCTAGTTTAACTTTAAACTGATTTTCAAGAAGTACCGCAAATAAATAATTATAAAAGTAAAGATAAGTTTCAAAGTACTAAGATTTATTTTAATATCTATATAGAATACGTCTCTATTAAATATATATAAAATCTATAATATAATAATTATTTTATAGTTTCTATACTACTCCTTAGTGTAGTATAATTTATAAAAACTAACTAGAAGAGCCGAGATCAGAAAAACTACTATATAATATCTTAAAAGAATATAGAAATAAACAGCAATCCTGATTAGTAGAGTTTTTAAAAATATAATAGATAATATATTTAATATAAAACTATATTTAACTCTAATTCCTCAGCTTCTAGAGTAAAGAGTAGAAAAAGTAGTTTTATATATAATCACAAGTCCTAAGATTAGTAAACTAATAGGGGAAATCTAATATATTAAAAAATAATATATATTTCTAGAAGTATTCCAGACAGAGTTAATAAATTATAAATATTAATTAAATTATACTAACCAGCCGGAGCCCAATACATATTAAAAGATTAAAAAAATTTTTATCTAACCTCTATAGCGGGATCCGTTTAGAGTAATAATTAAAAACTATAAATAAGTAATTTAAATTTACGCGTTACTAAAAGCACGAAGAGAAATCACTCTTTATATAAATAAAAATAAATATAGAGATTATATAGGAATAGTAATTATTATACCTAAAGAAAACAGAATCTAGAAAAGAATTAGCTAATATATAAGCCCGGAAACTATTAACAATATATATATAATTAAACTCTAAGGTCTATAACTAGCTACCACGTAGATTAGAGTCCTAGAAATAAATAAAGCTAAAAGAAACAGAGAAATATATATATTTAATAATAGTTAGATTATGCTAAAAGCTATATATGTTCCAAGAATATCCTTTAACTAGTAGATATTAGTTCTCTTACTTAAAAAAATTAAAAAATTCTATAAAAAAAATCTAAGTTACCTACCACTAGATCCTAGGACATGAGAGGATTTATAGTAATAAATATATAGATAAAGCTACTAAGATAGCAGCGGAAGGTTAAAAATAAATAAATAGGCTAGTAGCCCTAGTATCAATGGTAAAGAGAATTATATACTAATTAATAAAAAAATAATAAAAAAAATAATAGAAGTAGCAACTAATCCTTACTAAACTAATTAAATATCTTATATTAGAACTAATTAAGATATTTCTTAAGTTCTATAGGGGCTTCAGTAAGTCCTAAAATTTAATATTAATTTAATTATATATAGACTAAATTAACTTAAACTACTTCTTATATAAAATTAAAGTAAGAAATTTAGATAGATATAGATATAATAGAAAGTTGCAGACCTTAAAATATATTCTATTTAATTATAAGAAACTCTATAGGCTCTAGCTTAAGCTTTAACAGAGACTCAAGAAGTAGAAGATAGTAATTAACTAGAATAATTTTAATATATTAATAAACAAGCCTATCATAGCTTATTATATTATTAATTTTATAATTAAAACAGGGCTCCTGAACTAATTTAATAAAATCCTACTAATTATAGAATAAAAAAATATTAGAAAAAGATACTAGATATACAGATTATATAAACTACGTGTGGGAATTATTCTATAATATAAATTATATTATACACGCAGCCATAAGAAAGATCCACAGTAATCTATAAAAGCTAGATAAGGCCTAAGCAAGTATAATAATCTATATAAATACTATATAGAGAATACCAAGTAAAACTAGATACAGCTCTACAGGGGGCTAAGAGAAACAAGAGAATAAAGTAAGATATAGTATACTTTTCAATAAACTTTTCAAGCACGTGATATTTTAATAATAATATCAAGACCCAAGGTAAGTAGTATAGGATCAATACTATATTTCATATTATTTTTACATTTTGTACGTACATAAATAGCCTCTCTAGGAGCCTAGGGAACACCTGTACAGTAAGGCCACTAGTAAGGCCGGCTACATCAGGTTAATGAATTCTACTACTACTACTACTACTACTGCTGCGCCTCTTAGAGCAAAAAATGTATTCAAAGCACCAAACCCGTCTTATCTTACTCGCCAACACGGCGCCAATTTGTGACACCCCGTCATCTGCGCCGGCAACTCATACATCTGATACCGACGTCTATCCTCGCATGAATGATAGCCAGCAGATTAAGGAGGGCGGATATGCCCAACGCTCATCGCATATAATCTCCTTATACCCTTGAATACCATGATATCTATTGAGCATGTCACCCAACATGACTTTCTCACCTCTGAACTAGGTTCAATAGTGCTTTTTGGTGGCTTCAACAGTTACCCCTCCTTGGCGCCAATGCACATGTTTCACTGCTTTACAATCTGCAGTATGATTGGATATTAGCTTGGCCCGCGCGCTGCATCCCGCAGGGGTTGGGGGCGACTAAATAGGCCCCCATTGTGAGCTGCTTATTACCCGGTCACGGCCATCAAAAGAAGAGGAAAGGCGAACATCATACGAAAGGAGAGAATCTGGGTATATCGTGGGAACCGTGGATCTGTGTTTCAGTACGGAGTACCTACTGCATATCTTTAGGAGATCAGAAGAGGGCTGATGAGGCTTAATCTTAGTGTCCGAGCAGAAGCAACGGCTACCCCTCAGCGGCTAGCAGCAGGCCACCTCATCAGACAGGGGGACGAAACCGCCCCCCCTAAAAGAACACGGAATCCGAAGTACCCTCTGATAATGGCTTAGGCCCCAGTCTGTGTCAGTGATGAGATTCCACATTTTTATCAACAAGGAGAACCTTTCACTGCGGCGGAACCTAGCAGGAATCTATCATGGCCACCACCTTACATTGCCCGTCCCGACCCAAGGATGTGAATGAGCTCATCCGCCGGCTGACGAGCGCGGATCGCAATAAAAAAGAGGCCAGAGCACTGCAGGCCTTGGTCTGCAGTATGGTCGAGTTGTTTCAGAACGAAAAGAAGTCTACATACTTGATTGAAGCCGCTCAGCTGGCTGCGATAGTCGACGAAGCACGATACAAAATCCTTATCTCATCTTTTTGCAACGCAATCATTGAATATACCTCGGACAATAATATTCTGGATCCGGCCCTTCTCCAAACTTTCGCCCACGCTTTGCGTCGCAGGGGGACTTTGTCGGCTGATAATGCGAATTTGGGTGCAGCGCTGGACAGCCTCCATATACGGCTTGATAGAGCTGCCAAAGCTGCCGAATCAGAGAAGCAGTACCAGCTGATATGCACGCTGAGCATTGTTCTCGATGCCATGGTTGATATTCATGTCACGGGCATAGACCGTGAGTGGTTACATAAACCACTGCGGGATCAGCTTGACAGATATCGAAAGGCCCCTGAGCCACGTCTAAGGCAAGCCGCAAGCTATGCCTATGAGGCTTTGCGGGGGGTGCCTGATAATGATGGCCCCTGGAAGGCGTTCTGTCGGATTAGCTGGAAAGTGATCTCTGTATTGGCGGCTGTGGCCGGAGGTATTTCAGAGATGAACCCGCAGAACATTATCGATGCTGCTCCGGATGCCATGGAATTGTTGCATGCCTTCAGGACTCTTGTGCGAACTGGCAAGGAAGTGATTGAGGGAACAGAGAGCTTGAAGGACGCATTCTTAGATACGATGAAAGGCCTGAAAAAGCCCATGTTGTGGTACGGCACTCTCCGTTATTGTCGCCTGCTTATTGAAGCAGGAATGTTTGGGTTGCTCAAGAAAATAATACCTGGACTACCTGCATTCAAGGAGGCGTTCTGGGCCGGTATCTATGCTCAGCTTGAACAGACATGGGTGGCATCGAATGAATTGAAATCCGAGATTCAGGACTTTGCGGAATGGTTACATGGTCAGGAGTGCCTCAGGATAGCCACTAGCAAATATCCACAGATCTCCGAGTGGAAAAACCTGCTTGCCAGCACTTTGAAAAATCATTGCTGGGAACAGTCTATGCCCGGAAAACGTCGCCACCATAGGTACCAATTTTGGAGGAAGGAGAAACACAAGCCGAGGCTAGACCTTTTCTGCTATCTATCAAACACTCTAGACACAACGTCATGTGTCCTGCTATCAAAAGCGTGGGATCAATGCCTGGAAGCCAAGCAATACTACGCGGATTGTCGTCTGATACAATATTACACTGAGGGCGATCATCTGAAGATACGGAGGATCTCCGGCGATGGTTTGGATCTGCGCCAATGTTACATCAACCTCAGCGTGTTGGAACAATCACCAGAGATAGGAACACATCGTAAGGGGTTTGAGCTTTCTCTTCGGGCCAGGCTCAAGGTCGAGGCACCGACGGAAGGCAAAGAGACGGAACTCCAGGATCTCTTTAATGATCGGAATAGACTAGATGGCAGCAGCGGCCGTCCTAGAAGGATCCTCATCCGTGGCCGCGCAGGAGTTGGAAAGACCACACTCTGCAAGAAGATCGTCCATGAATTTCTACACGGCCGGTTGTGGCCGGAACATTTTGATAGGATACTTTGGATCCCGCTGAGGAATCTCAGGGCGAACCCGACCCTAGAAGCATATCTGGAGGACCATTTCTTTGCCACAAGTGCAGAAAAGAAGCTTCTCGCTCAAGCACTGTGGAAGAAAGTCTTCGGTGGCAGTAACCGTACCCTTTTCCTCTTGGACGGATTCGATGAAGTTGTGGGTGAGCGGACTGCCGGGGGAGATCTTGTCGATGCCTTGAAAGACCTGTTCGACCAGGACAACATCATCATGACATCGCGGCCATATGCAGTCATGTCGTCCCTGCCAGGCTTCGATTTAGAGGTGGAAACGATTGGATTCCATCCCCATCAGGTACAAAATTATGTTGTACGGGTCGTGAAGAACGAAGTCCATGCGAAGGAGATTCGAGACTTTATTGAATCCCATGCAATCATAGGAGGGCTGCTTCAGATCCCCGTGCAGTTGGATTCACTGTGCTTTACATGGGGAGAAGGGCTTTTAGAGCACGATGCCAAGACCATGACAGCCCTTTACCAGGCCATCGAAGTCAAACTTTGGAGGAAGGATATGGTACAACTGGGAAAGTCCGACAAACTGGGCCCATTAACCGATAGTCGGGCTAGGACCTATCGTCTGCGATCTCAGATTGAAACAGTTATGGAAGATGAGGTTCGTTTAGTCGAAATGCTGGCCTTCACTGGCCTCTACAACAACATCATCGAATTTCAATCACAGCATAGAGATGCGCTGTATCAACGGTTTCCCCATCTGAACGATAGCATGCTTGATGGGCTCTCTTTCCTCCGGAGCCCTGAGTCTTCGACTGGAACAGTCAACCAAACTCGTTACTTCGTTCACCTTACCTTCCAGGAGTATTTTGCAGCAGTATATTTTGCTCGCTGTTGGATCACGGATGTGCCTCTTGATGTCATCACCTTTGAATCGGGTGACAGCATGCTGAAAAAGCTTGATCCACATGATCTTATCCGAATTGAGAAATACAGTGGGCGCTACAACATCATGTGGCGTTTCACTGCGGGACTACTCTACAATCTGCGCGAAGAAAGAAGACTGCTTCAATTCTTCGAGGCGCTAGAATCAAAGCCGCGCGACATGCTTGGTCCTGCACATCTGAGACTTCTTATGCATTGCCTTCATGAAGTTCCGACTCAGAGGGTCCATCCTGATCTAATGCTAATCAAGTCGAAGACGGAGACTGAGCTTTCGCGGCTTATCTCCTATCCCGCGTTCATCAGATATGATTCAAGAGAACTCTTGTTGGTGACCGATTTAGAGATTCCCGAGTATATTCTAGGGAAATTACTGGGAAGTTGCAGCGACAAAACTCGATTATATCTTCTCAGAGCCCTCCGGAAACGCACGAGAGTATCCCGTGATCTATTACGCAGTATTGCTTCTGATATAACGGAAAGGGACATCGTGTCGGACTTGCAGAAGGAAGCTCTGTATGTTCTGGCATGTCATGGCGACTCCATTCCTGAAATAATCATGGGGCTCCTAGACCATCCAGACCGTTTGGGAAACAGCGATTCCGACATAATCAAAGCGATCGGGTGGCCTTTGGCACGCTGCGCCGTTCCAACGAACATATTTGACAAGCTGCGCTTAAATGAGCGATCATTACTAAGGCAAATTGCTGGATCATGCCTGAAAAAACAGCTACCTCCTTACAAGGAAAGCTTTGATGCGGCGAAGTTATTGCTCCAAGACCCGGATGTTCAAGTCAGAGACAATGCTCTTTTATCCTTGCGGATGAAAAGGAACTTGCCACCAGATATCGTCAAAGTCCTAGCCGGCATAGCCGAAAACCAAAGCGAGGGATATGGTTTGCGAAGAGGCGCATGTACCACTCTCGGAGACCAAAACGTACTGTCAAGTGAGATCCTATCAACACTCGAGTCCCTGGTCACAGATGATGATGGCGGTATTGTAGAAGTGGCTGTAGAGGCTTATTGCTGCCATGCGCCTCTTACAGAATACATGCGAAGCGAGATGCAATCTCGTATCACCAATGGCAATGCCAAATCTCTGCATCGAGTGACAAATGTTCTATGCAAGTACTCGGAATATGCCGATGATCTTCTCCATTCACTGACGACTGATCGTGCACGACCGTTTGTTGAAGTACCAGAACACGTAGTCGAGCCGCTGAAAAGGTTTCATAGGCTCCCAGACCACATTATACAAGGCCTCATTAACCACCTCGGGAGAGACAGCATATCGAAACACCATGCAGCAAAATGTATTGGCTCCCAAGTGGTGCTCTCGGAACACATTTTCCAAGCTCTAGTGGCTCTAACGAAGGACGAAGACGCATTGAAAAGGAGAGGGGCAATTGAAAGCCTCATGCCTCATTTGGATCTTTCGTCATCCCACACTCCTCACATTGTTCTACCACTTCTAGAAGACCCTGTTAAAGAGGTGAGGAGCAGCGTCATGAGCTCCCTTTCGTCCAGGACCGACGTACCAGATACAATTCTACGGGCTCTTTCACCTTATCTCGCCTCGAAAAGGGCGTTTCTGACGGTGGACGCAGCAGAGACTTTGTATAGAAACCCGAAGTTGCCACTTGATATTCTTGAACAACTTGTCCGGCATCTTGACAATTTCCATGGTGTCTCGGCCCAGCTGCTCATCACACAAGAAGCCTTGCCACCTACCATTCTCGAATCTCTTGCCCTTATTCTTGGCGACGGGAGTGACCCTGAACGACGATCGTTGGCGTGGGACGTATTGAGAAAACGGGAAGACTTCTTTGCCATGCTTCCATTTCTGGCGGAAGAATCATTGATCGTCCTGTTCAGGGGATGGTTGACGAAGGCAATTGAGGAAGAAATATGTTGCTACTTCCGGGATAATGTTCTCTACATTGACCTACCTGAGCGACTGTGGGAAGTGCCGTTTGAGTGTACAGAGAGCCAAACAAAGCTTTGGGCTGCGTTGGAGAAAGCGCGAGTTGAGTTTTACACTTCCTTGCCTGAAATTTCTTAGACGCAGGTTGGATTTTGTTCATGTTTGTATACATTCAGCATAGAGGCTTTCTTACTTGAATTGGAAATAGACTACATGGAATTCTTCTTTTTCTCTGCTTCTAATAGAATGCATATCTTAGCTATGGGATGAGGTGCATCAGAGATACTTTAAGCTGACGGGGCTGTAGGTAGCATCGTGATAGAGCGTCGCTTTGCACCCTCTATATGCGAAAGAGTAGTAGAAGCTTTCTTCCGAATGTATAGAGGTCATCGCCCGCGATGATACCAGCTATGCCGCAGCATGCCAGAGACGGTTACTCGATCGAGCAAACTTCTTTTTCCTTTTTTTTGCCTGATTTGATTCCTATTGAGGTCTCACGCTCGATCTCAGAGTTGAACAGAGAAGACATTCCTTTATCATATCATATATAAACTGGACATAACCGTTCGAGAGACATCAACATAGTATACGGTGAAAAATAAGAAGCAGAAATGACAAGAACGCACAACAAAAAAGCGTATAGAGCCGTCTATAAAGTCAGCAGAATATTTGGACATAATCGGATCCACAGAATCAGAAAAGGCAAACTCAAATAAACCAAGAGAGGAATTTAAAACAGAACCTTCCGCGAAGCATTAATACCACTAAGATCCCACGTCTGCGGTGCCGTCTTATTCATCAGATCCTGAAAATCCCCATGAAAAGCGGGCCTCATAATCTGCGCATACTCCCAATAGTCAGGGTACCAGCCGGCGTATTCCCAATCAAGAATGCCCGTGATCTGGTTTTCATCATTGATCATGATATTGCGGGGTGCGATATCACCATGGGTGAAAACGCTCCGGTCCGATCGGGGCAACATATCTGGCAATGTGTGTTTGTACCGAAGGCCGCCGAAGTAGAGGTATCTTTCGTAGATCCGGCCCCGGAGTTCGGAGTCACTTGTTAGCGGCCGCTTTGGACTCTGTAAATCCTCGAGTAGGGGATCCCTTGACGGAGAGCCATCGGCCGCGCACTGGTAAAGACCAGTTAAGTTTGAGGGGAGGGGAATTTCTCGCCATTTGGATATAAGATCCCAGAGTTGCAGACAGATGGACTCCTTAGACTGGATATCAAGCATATCCCACTTTACCTCTAAACAGGTGCCTGGAATGATAGTCATGTGGATATTGCCTTTCTCACCATCAAAGCTCGTCACGATCACTTCAGGAACGGGTACAGAAGTATGCCCAAAGACAAGCTTCATTGCTTCCGCTTCGGAATGTCGCACACCGTGTCCGGACTTCGAAACAATGGAAAAATCAATTTCGAGTACAAGTCTAGCCATCTGTTTGGCGAGAATGGTTATGACTTCCTTATTGGGAGGGAATTCAAGGACGTTGACATCTGGTGGGCATGGAAAAAGCATCTTGTTGTCTACTTTGATGTATCGCTGGCCTGGGTTCAGATTTTGCCATGCGTAGGGGATCCCGTCAGATTCGTCTAGTTTGGACATTTTGAGGTGGATATGGTGTTCTTGATGTTAATATAGGGTGGCAGGAAATCGAATTGACTGGATGGAGACAACGTTGAGGCGTCTTCCGACTTTCCAACATTGAAAGACTTGTCATATGACGCAGTAGATTCAGTCAGGACATCCAATGTTGCCAGGGTAAATAAAGCTAGAAATGATAGTCCGATAGTTAGACAATATCTTCCGTAGAAGACAAGGCCATGATGTACAAAGAGGGGCAGTAAACGTTTGGGGCCCCGGAGCCATAAGTCCGGCGGGCTTGGATCCGCCGAAGCCCCCTAGCATGTCTCCCAGCCTCCCTTTCCGCTCCAGCATCCCCACCAGATGTTCAAATCGCAGTACCAGTTTCTCTCATTTTTCGTTCTGCCTAGACCAATCAGCCAATCATGTTTAAGAGAACCATTGTGAAAATGGCGTCTGTAGCCAACGAATACATCGGTGCCTCTGGATCGGTCTATCGATTTAAAGAGCTCCTGCAGGAAAGGGCTCCCCTCGGTCGTGTCTGGCTTGCAATGTCCGTTTACCATATGTATATATTGGCAGACTAACTGCTTTGCAGATCCGGAAAAGATCCCTTTGTTTTGAAAGACATCCCTAAAGACATTTTCGACAATTTCCACGAGAGAATACAACCCCAGCTTCAGAAAAGCCCATACATACGCTTGCCATGCGATATCATACCTGGAGAACGGATACTTGTGTACAGATATCTGAACGAGGACTTTCTCGATCTCGTGAAGAAGGGGATCGCCCTACGAGCCCGGAAACAGATCCTGAAGGCTAGTCTGCGTGGTATCGCTGAGTTACATGATCGAGATGTAGTTCATCTGGGTAATATTCATTCCAATGCAGCAAGATCCATGAGTGCTAAGTGCCAATAGATATCAAGCCAGACAATATCATGGTTGAATGCCAATACAACGGTCAAGATACACTCATCGAAAAGGTCCAGATCATCGACCTGGAGAACGCCGCTCATCTCCCTCAAGGCAAGTGCATCAAAGGTATGCTGGCCGGGAATGACAATTGGCGAAGTCCAGAAGCCCACTTCAAGGGCAGACTGAGTAAACCAACCGACATGTTCTCTTTTGGAGTTGTGGTGAGAGAAGAGGATATTGAAATGTCTTTAACTTAAGCTGCTAACACGCTTTAGTGCATCTACGCTATACTAGGACGTGTCATCTTCGGCCCAGACGATGATTTCCATAAACACGAGGCCCAGGGTGCGCTACCAGCCATGATACGCCTACAGCGCCAGGTTTCCTATTTTGGAGACACCCAAGGCGTTATTGGTCTCCTAAAACATATCTCCGATGATGTGTTTAGCTGCAGGCTTCTGCAGATCTTATGGGAGGACAGATTCGGGGAAGATATTCCATATAAACCATTCTCCCAATGGGCGAATGCTGTTGATCCGGATTTCAGGGATGTGGTTCAACGACTGACATACTTGGATCCGAATAAGCGACTCACAGCGCACGAGGCATTGCAGCATGTTTGGTTTCAAAATAGCTAGGATCTGAATCCTACTCCGTACTGTATGCTCATTTTATGCGTTTGATAACATAGTATCCCCGTAGATATCAAGCATCCAGCGGACCCAGCTACTATCTAGTGGACCCGGAAACTTCCATATCCAGCATAGCGGCGGGCGGGTATCCCCGCACATACCCTTTCTGCCTTTGACTGAATCAGTGCTGCATCAACAATCAACAGCCGTTCTGATATTCTATGTCGTTGATATTTCATACATCTTACGTATGACTGTCTTCTGGGCGAGAGCGAAAAATAATGCCCATGCGCGGATTCGAACCGCGGTCCTCCCCTAATAATAGTCCTAAGAATAAGTGGGGCGCTCTACCGCTGAGCTACAGTGGGCGTTGGTACTAGGTAGGATTGGAGTTGATTGATATCGGGGGTATTTTGAGCATAATTGCAGTGGAGAGATAAAAAATCACTGATTGAGGAGGTATATGATGGCAGGTGAGTTTAGGCAGTTAGGCCAGCTAAGGTCACGGAACGTGAATAATAGGCTTTAGTCAGACGCTTCAACTTAACTACTTTCTTCTTTACTATGTGATCTTAGGTATCGAGGTAGTTTTTGTTTGAGGGTATTTATAGCCCGACATAGCCGGATCCATCGTTCTCTCTCTGTGGCATCTTCATGCCATGCATCCCAGCATACTTGGGGCTCTGAGGCTCCTTCCATCCTTCCAACACCTTGGCGTCAGTCAACTTGTATACCTCCACACCAAGAGGACGGGTAGTGGCCCCCATATCCGCCTTTTCCTCCCAGCCCCAGTTAGACAAATCACCTGAAACAGACAATCAGCATATACTCTGCACAATTCGGCAAAGACACTCACCCCCAGGACACGCAGACAGCGCACAAAGAACATCAACCTCAGCAAAGAACTCAAAATACTCCCCCGGTTTCGCAGGCGACGTTTCCATAAAGTACTTCCCCTCCTCATCCAGCCCCGTCACCTGAAAAACATTAAGCACATCATGCACATCCAGCTCGGTCAACCCATACGGAACAACCGCCCGGGTCAGGTTCGAATGACAATGAAAATCGAAGCTCTCTCCGCCCATGACCAGATTCACGTACGGATCGCAACGAGTACCCAGTAGATCATGGACACGGCCTCCAAACTGTGTCGTCCCAAAGCCTTTGCCTTCCTTGCGCTTTCCGTCCTCCTCCAATACTTCGTGGAGTTGGCCGCCTGCTAGCGAGTCTCCGGTGATGGTGACGAGAGGACGCAGGTAGGGCAGGTTCGACCAGAGGCGGTCCCCGACAGACACGTGGGAGGCGTGGATCTGACGAGTCCGCGCGGCCCAGAGTCGTTCGCGTGGGTTATTTGCATTCCAGATGTTGAGATCACCGACTTGAGGTCCCTTGGGTGTAGTGAGACGGCAGATGTGTCCGGCTGGGACGACCCACGCCTGGCCTGAGCATGGACGGACGGTAAATGAGGACTCGAGGGTTCGTTGGGAAGTTTCAGTGGCTGTTTCGGAGATCGATCGATAGAGCTTCGAGATACCATGAACTCCGGAGTCTGCGGGGGCGGTATAAGCGGGAGGAGGGCGACGTGGAGCAGCCATCGTTGAAGCTATACTTGTGACGCAACAAATGTAAACAGAATCGTATGCAGGTTCAATCAGCCCACCCAAGGTGCAGTGAACCCATGCTTTAATAGTCCACCACGATCACGGAAGACCGCCGATAATCGCGCGTTCCTTATCGTATCTTGCCCCATACTGCCCCGCTTCGAGGTCCAGTTTGGGGTCTTGGAAGACCATCGCGACGACGCCAAACCGGGCCGATATGGGAGGGGTTGAGCCCTTATCGCGGTCGACCGGGCCGAGCGATAACCGATAACCAGAACATCCCATTACGGCATTACCAATCGAAGAGTCTGCCTCAGGCACATTCGCTCTGTTCCGCCTTTGCCTCCGGCGGGAAGATCTCGGGTCGGAAAAAGGGGGCACCGACGAAAGAAAATGGAAATAATAATTTTGGGCCGAGCTACTGGCCAGAGGAAGCAGCTCGCCGATTGCCCGACTTTTTGTTAAAGGCTTTTGTGATCAGCCGGGGAGAGTATTCTTAGAGGTCTGTAGACCTCGTCTTTCCCAGGATGGAGCAGCAAGCAAATCGGGCGCATCGCCCCGCGAAAGAGAAGAAGAAGTTTGACGGTATGTCTAGTGCTTCGAGATTGGATCCGTTGCTTGCGAGGAATTCCTACTGACAGAGCTGCTATCTAGGTCCGAATCCGAAGGCGTTCGCGTTCTCGAACCCTGGAAAATCCAACAAGGCTGGCGCTAGATCCCATGATGTATGCGCCTGTTTCCTCTTGTGATACCCGCCCGCAACGGTGACTGACGTTCATACTCCCGTATAGATTAAAGAGAAGAGACTTCATGTGCCTTTGGTTGATCGCCTGCCCGAGGAGGCCCCGCCGCTTGTAGTGGCGATTGTTGGACCGCCAGGAGTGAGTACTTGTAAGATACGCTGCTTGGATCGACGTTCTGACGCTTGGATGCCCCTAGGTCGGAAAAACCACTCTTATCAAGTCCTTGATCCGTCGATACACGAAACAGACCCTCAGTACCCCGAAGGGACCGTTGACCGTTGTTACCTCCAAGCGCCGCCGACTCACGTTCCTAGAATGCCCCTCCGATTCCCTCGCCAGCATGGTCGATGTGGCCAAGATCGCGGATATCGTGCTCCTGATGATTGACGGAAACTACGGCTTCGAGATGGAGACTATGGAGTTTTTGAACGTTCTCGGCTCTCACGGTATGCCCGGAAATGTGTTCGGTATCCTGACCCACTTGGATCTTTTCAAGAAGCAGAGCCACCTGCAAGCTGCGAAGAAGCGCCTGAAGCACCGCTTCTGGAGCGAATTGTACAATGGCGCGAAGCTTTTCTACCTTTCGGGAGTCGTCAATGGCCGCTACCCGGATCGTGAAGTGCACAACTTGTCCCGCTTTCTGTCGGTCATGAAGAACCCCAGACCCCTCATTTGGCGCAACTCCCACCCCTACGCTCTGGCAGATCGGTTCCTGGATATCACGCCGCCGACTCAGATCGAAGAGAACCCCAAGTGTGATCGGACGATAGCGCTCTACGGATACCTGCGAGGCACCAACTTCCCCGCCACTGGTGCGCGAGTGCATGTTCCAGGTGTGGGTGATTTGACCGTCTCCGGCATCGAATCTCTCCCCGATCCCTGCCCGACGCCTTATATGGACCAGCAGCTCGCCAAAACTTCTGGCAAGTCTAAGCGTAGGCTGGGAGAGAAGCAGAAGCTACTTTTCGCGCCTATGTCGGATGTTGGTGGTGTCTTGGTCGACAAGGATGCGGTTTACATTGACGTGAAGACGTCGAACTTCGATCGCGGCGAGGATGACTCCGACAACGAAGAGCGTGGACTGGGAGAACAGCTGGTTGTTGGACTCCAAGGAGAGCGCAAACTTCTGGGTGAGGCGGATAGTGGCGTTCGTCTGTTCCGTGGCGGTGAAGCCATTGCCAAGGCAGACGACCAGGACGATGCCGTTGGAAGGAAACACAAGAGAAACGTGCGATTCCTAGAGGGAGAAGAGGCTGACCAGGATGCTTCTGGGGATGAGGATGAAGGCTTCGAAAGTGAAGAGGGCGAGGACGAAGAGGAGATTGATGAGGATGAGGATGACGATATCAGCGACAATGAGGAAGAAGTCGACGTCTCCGCACCGCCAGATTTTGAGGCCAATTTCAAGGAAAGACAGAATGGCAATGTTCGCCAGAAAGAGGACGACATTGCTTTCGCCGACAGCGATTCGGATCTCGGTTCCATCTCCTCGGTAGAGGATCAGGTCCTGGACAGCGACGAAGACGAAGACGACGAAGACGGAGATGATGGTGAGGTTCGTTGGAAGGACAACATGTTGGCCACCGCCAAGGCCCTTCATTCGAAACGCCCCAAGTACCGTGTTGCCGATTTGTCCCGCATGCTTTACGATGAAGAGATCACACCTGCCGATGTGATACGCCGGTGGAGCGGTAAGGGGGTGGAGGAAGATGAAGATGAGCCCGCAGAGGACGACGACGCTTTCTTCAGAAAGACAAACGTGGAGCAGGAAGAAGCAGCGGAATACCGTGCTGTTCCTGAGTTTGACTACGCGAAGCTGGAGGAGAAGTGGCAAGACGCTGACATGATCGAGTCTCTGCGGACCCGCTTCATCAGTGCCCGACTATCTGGTGACGATGACGATTCGGATGTTGATGACGCTTTTGATGAGGATGATGAGGGAGATGGAGAGTTTGAAGATCTCGAGACCGGCGAAGCCTTTGATGGTTTCTCTGGAGACGAAGACGGTGAAGATGATAAAGAAGCTGCAGACGATGGCCCCGTTGACTTGGACGCAGAGCGAGAACGCAATGCGAAAAAGAAAGAGGAGTTAAAACTGCGCTTCGAAGAGGAAGACCGCGAAGGATTCGCCAATTCCAAAGATAACTCGCGGCAGGCCGGCGGTGCGGGAGAAGAAGAATTCGGAGAAGACGACTGGTATGATATGCAAAAGGCCAAGATGCAGAAGCAGATTGACATCAACCGTGCCGAGTTCGACATGCTGGACCCGGCCTCGAGGGCTCGAGCAGAGGGCTTCAAGGCTGGAACTTATGCACGCATCGTGCTCGAGAACGTGCCCTGCGAGTTCGCGACCAAGTTCAACCCCCGTTTCCCTGTGATCGTGGGTGGACTGGCCCCGACCGAGGACCGGTTCGGATATGTGCAAATCCGCATCAAGAGACATCGCTGGCACAAGAAGATCCTGAAGAGCAACGATCCTCTCATCTTCTCCCTCGGTTGGCGCCGCTTCCAGTCCCTGCCGATGTACAGCACCTCGGACAGTCGGACCCGTAACCGCATGCTCAAGTACACGCCTGAGCACATGCACTGCTTCGCCACCTTCTATGGGCCTCTCGTTGCGCCCAACACCGGTTTCTGCGCCATGCAATCCTTCTCCAACAAGGCTCCCGGATTCCGTATCGCCGCTACCGGTGTGGTGTTGAACGTGGACGAGCACACCGAGATCGTGAAGAAGCTCAAGCTCACCGGTGTGCCGTACAAGATCTTCAAGAACACCGCCTTCATCAAGGACATGTTCAACTCGTCGCTCGAAATCGCCAAGTTCGAAGGCGCCTCTATCCGAACGGTGTCCGGTATCCGTGGTCAAATCAAACGCGCCCTCAGCAAGCCGGAGGGATACTTCCGTGCTACCTTCGAAGACAAGATCCTCATGAGCGACATCGTCTTCCTGCGGGCATGGTACCCGATTAAGCCGCACCGCTTCTACAACCCCGTGACCAACTTGCTGGACATGGAAGAGGAGGGCTCCGGCGACAGCGGCTGGAAGGCCATGCGTCTCACCGGTGAAGTCCGTCGTGAGAAGGGCATTGCTACGCCCATGAACAAGGACTCGGCATACCACGCCATCGAGCGTCCCGAGCGTCACTTCAACCCCCTCCGTGTGCCCCGCCAGCTGGCCGCCGACCTGCCCTTCAAGTCTCAGATCACCAAGATGAAGAGCCGGAAGGACAAGACCTACATGCAGAAGCGCGCTGTGGTCCTGGGTGGCGAAGAGAAGAAGGCGCGGGATCTCATGCAGAAGCTCAACACCCTGCGCAACGAGAAGCAGGCCAAGCGGGCGGCGAAGCAGGAGGAGCGCCGCAAGGTGTACCGAGCGAAGGTTGCGGAGGGACTGGAGAAGAAGGCCGAGCGGGAGAAGCGCGAGCGTGATGAATACTGGCGACGAGAAGGTAAGAAGCGCAAGAACACGGAAAGCGAGGGTGGCGGGGGCAAGAAGCGCAGGTGAAGCGGCACTGCCTGCAACGACATGTCTTTTGGATCTATACCGGTTGTTAAAAAGTTACTGTGAATAATGTCGATGTGTATCTATCTACATGTTGCATGGTGGATGGCGTTGAATCTTACCTTCCGTTGGTCGGACTATTGCTACTACATTTTTATTTCATTGGATTTGTGTTGGATGTATTGATGCTCGATACCAGGAATAGATTGTGGGGTTGATCTTGTCTGCCTGAATGAGTGCCTGAAGTGTCAGGCGAGTATCCACGTGACCGCGCCGCGAACGCGTCTCGGGCTCGTCTCCTGGAGAGTCCCTCCGGTTGGCGGCCGACGAGGAGAATCCAACCTGTGTTGACTCGCCCCTGTTCCCCTGCGTCAACCGCGCAGAGAACGATTCCTTGCCAGCCAATTCATCTCCATGTAGGCGGACTCGCCTTCTTATGGCATCCCCCCTGACTCTGCCCTCACGTCCCTCAGCCCGATCCATCAGGCATCGGGGTTGACGTGCGAACCAGCAACCCGGCTGCGAGTCACGCCTTGCGCGTGTAGATTCCTGGGCCGCTCTCCTTGCAGCGGCCTATTTTCCAGAACATCCCACCCAGGGACCGTGTGGCCTTGACCCTTGACAGCTGCGCTTCGGACATTTCCGCGCCCACGACCTCCTGAACCCGGGCGGTGATCATCCTTCGTTGCCGCTTCACACCGGCCTTGGCCGTGGTGGTTGTCTCTGTCCTCTGCTGGCATCAGAGGCATGCGCGAACGCCACACCCGAGAGGTTATTAAGAATTGTTGAGTCTGCAGTGTCAGGTCCCGCCGCTTACACTACCAGTATGAGTGGATCGTCGCGATTAGATGGACGCCAACACGTGCAGAGCTCTCAGCTGCAGACTGAGTCTCGGGATGCTGCAGCCACCCAACCCGACAAGCGGCCGGGTCACAACAGCAATTATGACACGTTAGATCCCAAGAGCAGTCGTGCCGGCGTATCGCCACCAGACACGGAGTCGTCCGCGGCGGTAAACAGAACACCAGAGCCGCCGCCAGCTCAAGCGCCTCCTTTCGATAGACAATCGCACTCTCCTATCTCCACGGGGCTGGCACCTGTTTCACAAGCACACCTAGACATTTCAAATACGCAAACCACCTCATCCCAGACTCAGCGTTCGCCAGGAGCAATGGACATCAATCGATCAACTGGGCAGCAGGTCATGCCTGACGCATCGACATCTAATAATCAACAGAACCATCCATCTGGAATAATCCCAGGGAGTCTGTCCCACAATCCCGTAGCACCAAAGACGGCCGGAGTTGCCAAACCCCTTACCGAGACGGCCCGCAATTCAGGCGTACACCGGCGCCGATCCCGAAGCATCGGCTCGCTATCGCGTGAGAGCCGCATCGCCGCGGTAATTGCATCCACTGGATTTTCGAGGTGATTGCTGATCTGGATAGTTGTCGGTTCATCTCCGCACCCGGTTGTCGTATGCTGCGGCCAAGATCGAGAAAAGCCGGCGTCAGGGTGTCCAGAGCCACTTGTCGCCTAGCACCGAGTCTTTGGCGAAGATAGGGCTTCTGGGCGAGCTCGAGGCCCAGCGTATACTCGAAAATAGCTCACCGGATGGCACCACCATGTCGGCGCCGGATCCGCCCGCATCATTCAACCTCCACACTCCAACCGGCTCGCGGCTGTCTCCAGTGGCCCAGTCTGTTGATGCATCGCCACCCCCATTACATCTCGATCCGCCGAGATCTCAAGCTTCCTCTCGTCCGGCCCGCCCAAAGCTCGCACCACCGGCAGATATCATCGCAAGTGGAGGCAGCAGTCGACGTCGACGTCCGAATCCTAATGAACCAATCACATCCTTGCACCGCAGACATCGTTCCCAGCAAGAATTCGGCGCATCCAGACCGGCCACACACTCAGAGATAGTCCTTGTCCCGGGGACTCCTCCCCTCCGTCCCTCGCGGACGGCTCCGTATAACGCAGGGAGCCACAATCACGCTCGAAGTAGCGCCATGGAGCAGGACGCTATTGAGACGCTACTCTTCATGTCCAGTCCTGGACACTCGGGCTATCACTCCAGCTCGCAGCATTCTCAGCCGCACCAGCATGTCTTCCGGAGCAGCGACTCACGGGGATCCGACGGCCGGGTGCCACCGAGTCAGGACTCACATGCCAGCAGTTCCCACGGTTGGACTCCTAGATCCCATGGTCAGGACCTGGGTCTAGAAGCGCAGGCTGGAGATGCGATCGACCGAATGCTGGACCAAATGGACAGTGACAGCGATGACGACATCAAGTTTGCTTCGAGTCATTCGAGCCGCCAAGCTGACAGCTCTCAGGGGTCTCAAGTCTCTCAGGGCTCGCAAGGCTCTCTAAAGCCCAACACAAAATATGGATGAGCGGGACCATCATTATATAAGTGCCTGCTTATCTCTCCGCTTACATGAGCAGGAACCACTGGCCGGTGCGCTGCCCTGGCTGCACCGAACCTCGGTTGCGAAGGAACCATTCCAGAAGAGGCCTAGGATTGGCCAGACGGTCTCTAGCCGGCGGTTTCATCCTCCTATTGCAGTTCATGTCTTCAGCCAAATTGCATACAAGGCGTTCGGTGCATTCCATGGCTCGATTCTGCAGCTTACTAGAGGTCATTGTTGGATCATCCATTTATACCTCCTTTTGGCCTCACTATCAGATATGTAAATCGCTTACTTCCTAATCAACCCATCCTCTTTCCTCCTACTACAAAGCATACACCCCCAAACACCACAATGAGCGAAAGCAGCAATACCTTCGAACCAGGCCTCTACCTCCCTGGCGGCCACAACACCGACCCTCCTCTCCCCCTCTCCTCCCCAACCACCAACTACCGCCTCAACCACGTCATGCTGCGCACTCGTGACCCCAAACGCACCCTCCACTTCTACCTCGACCTCATGGGCATGCGCACGGTTTTCACCATGAACACCGGTCCATTCACCATCTACTACCTCGGATACCCCGCTACCGCAGACGACCGCGCAAACCTCCCTGCTTGGGCAGCCCGCATTGCCGACATCCCTGTACTAACCCAAACCCTTGGACTATTGGAATTCTATCATGTCCACGGCATGGAGAATCCCGATAACGGGTTCAAGGTTTCCACTGGAAATGATCCCCCGAATCTAGGTTTGGGACATCTGGGATTCACGGTCCCGGATGTCAGTGATGCCTTGGAGAGGTTGAGGAGTGAGGGGGTACGAGTGTTTAAAGAGTTGGGGGATGTTTCGAGGGAGAGTGTCCCCCTGAGTCACTGGGAGGAAAGTAGGGGGATCGGGAAGGGGCAGGTGCATGAGAGGTTTGCGGAGATTTATGGGCAGGTTGCGGTTGTGCTTGATCCGGTGGGTTCCCCTTCTTCCTTCTCTCTCCGTTTGTTTATCGTTCTTTGTGGGTTGTAGAGAAGGGTTATGCTGACTGATGTGATAGGATGGGTATATGGTTGAATTAGTGCCTCAGGATATGGTCTTTTGAAGCCTATTCTTGGAGTACTTATCCAGCCGTTTCCTCTCAGAGATATAGGACCTGGTACATGTACGTGTACACTGTTTGTCAGTTCAAAGCGCATAATAATATTCGTGAAACTGTAATCCTACCTTTACATACCTCAGCCTACCCTACCTAGCAGTCACCCATAATCTCCTATAAGAAATAATTCTCAAAGAGAAGTATCTCAATTGATTTGGCCATGTCACCTCCTTCTGATCGTACGGACCAGTTAGATCAGCTTGTGCACTTCAATGGCTGGCCGTAGTACATTGTAGTCAATCCCACACTTTCCTGGAGGGAGCACAGTCCAATGCAATGAAATGGGAGTTACTTCCCTCATTTCAGAATGAGGGTCAAACTCTCATTGCTCAGCTCTTCCATGCAAGCGGTATACACTCTCGGAACCATGTGCATTTGAGCACCTTGCTAGGGTTGATTCCAGTCCCAGACTGTCCTTGTTTAGGACTTGTCCTCGGTTTCATCATTGGTGAGAAGCAATAGATTCAGGTCTGGGGATGAATCTAGTCTGCGGTGATAGTGGTTAGTATCTTAGTGAGATGGGAATGGGAATTGCTGTAACTCACCTCAGCTCTGAGCTGTCTGTTCATGAATAGCACGGTTTTAAGACGGCTAAATCAGATGGGATTTATCAATAGACGGAGGAGAAGAATAATAGATGTCTAGACTGGTCAAGGATCTAGAAGCTGATGAAGTCATGATAGTATTGAGGACTGACTCGGTGATGACTTATGGTTCACGAAAATGAAGGGGCCATAGAAGATGATAGTATATAGTACTGCATCATGTAAATATCACCAAGTCAGATACCCATACGATTCCCCAAGAGATGAACATCATACAGCACTGACTTCAAGCCCCATGAGAGATAAGGACGAAAGACACCGAAGGACCCGACTAGTCCTACCGAAGGAAGCCGAACTAACCCACTCAGCCGTGGATAGTCACGAGGTCATCATCTACAATCAACCCAGTACCCATATAGATAGCGCTTACCCATACATACCAATTTATCTTCATGCGGGGTCTCTCCCTTTCTCCTCCTCCTCCTCCAAGTACTCACCCCCTCTTAATCTTGCCCTACCAATCAATCCTTTACACCAACCCATGAACCAACAATGACCATACCAACCACCTACATCCTCATCATCTCCGGCACGCACGTCACCGGCAAAGACACCATTGCGACCTCCCTCGCACACACCTACCACTGCCCCTTCCTGGAAGGCGAATACTCCTACTGCGCGGCCTGGTCCATCGCCCGCGCACGCGCAAAACACGGCTACGATACGCTCTCGGTGTTTGGGCAGACCTGGTTACGGAAGATGAGGCGTGTGGGATTGCATACCCCCTCTCGTTCATCATCATCATCATCATCATCACCTCCTCGTTCGCCATCATATTCACCACCATTATCACCGTTGTCGGAAGCATCAACTAGCACCAACCTACATCCAGAAAAAGAAGAAAGAGGAGGAAGAATCAGCGCCATAATATCCTCCCCCGCCATGCGGCAACCCCACCGGGAAGCCATCCGCGCCGTGATGGAGACGTATGCGGTGGGGGTAATCTTCGTGGTATTGCAGATTGAGCGGGAGACGTTGATGGGGCGGACGGTCGGGGCGGAGAATGTGGATTTGGAGAGGAGGATTTTGGAGGAAAAGACAGAGGATATACGACTTCCGGGGGTGGAGGAGGTGGGGGTTGGGCCGGGTGGGGGGACGATTGTGGTGGATGCGTTGTTGGATGTGGATTCGGTTTGTTGGGTTGTGAGGGGGGGGGTGGCGGGGGTTGTTTCTTAGGTGGATATGTAGTTGTTGTTGTAGGAGTGGTGTTTTTGTTGGGATAGGGGTGTCATGCTCAGCATTATATTTTATCTACTCCGGCGTGTCCTTGATATCGATGCCACGGGATGGGATATGGGATAAATATATCACGATCGAAGACATGCATCATTTTCCGGCCTGAATACGCCTGCCACAAATATGAAATCGAAACAGATCTATCCATCGTAACACTCCAATCCCATCCCATCCCTTTCAGCCCCGAGGTATCACTCCCAGCTGTCATCCACCTCGGCCACATCATAGTCCACATCATGGGCCACATCTTTCCGTCCGCCCGTCTGGTCCGTCGCATTGTCCATCACCATGTCCTCGTCCGACCCGGTCTTGTTGGTATCCGAGCCTGGGCCCGAGGAGGGTCCCCCAGCGGGAAGACTGATCGGCGGGTTCGGCACCCAGCTGAGCTGCACTTGGCCCACCGATGGGATGTCGCGCGCTCCAAACATGAACTTCTCCGCCAGGTACCGTTCCTTGAACGCCACGATGAGCGAGTCGGGCTGCTCCGGGTTGGGTTCGATAGATTCGTACTCGCCGACGCCCTGTACATAGGATTAGGGTTAGGTCCGATGTGAGGAGAAAAACTTACAATCAGGAACTGTCTCAAAGCCTCATCCTTCTCCGAGTTGAATTCCACGCCTGAAATGGCCACCCGTCGGGGTCGGTTGTCCAGACGAAGAACACCCCCCCGGCCACGAGCCATGCCGCCACGCCCCCGATATCCACCGCGATAGGACGGGTCGTAGCCGCGTCCCCGGGGCGGGAATCCACCGCGGCCAAGGTATCCCCGTCCGCGGCCGCGGGGCGGATACTGTGAGCCCGCACCGCCGTTGGGGTCGATTCCGAGACTCTTGGCTTCGGCTTCGAGGGCCGCCAGCTGCGCGCGAAGCTGTCGGGTCTGGTCGCTGACATCTTCCTGCGATTGGCTCTCGTCCGCAGGCGAGGCGTTGCCGTCACTGGTATCTTTCCCACCGAGCTTCTGCATCAGGCGGAGCTTCTCTTCTTGCTGCTTCTTGAGGAGTTCCTCGCGCTGTCGTTCCAGAGCTTGTTTCGCTTCTTCCGTTTCCTTGCGCTTCTTCAGCTTCTCCTCGTGCGCCTTTTGGGCTTCCTCTTGCTGTCTCTCAAACTCCTCGCGGTTAAAGGCGGGTTCCTCGCTCATGGCGTCGCCCGGGGGAGGCCGTTGGTCGCCATTGCGGTCACCCTTGGGCCGATGCCAGTAGACCTTGACGAACCGGTTGTCAAAGATCACCTTGGGGCTGGACCAGGCCCGCTTGGCCGCCGCGTGGCTATCGTAGGTAATCAAGGCCAGTCTCCGGTGTGGCTGTAGCGAAATGTCCACGATTTCACCGTACTGAGAGAAGAACTCCCGGACGTTGGCGTCATCGAGCTTGTCGTCAGGAATCTGTTCGACCACGATGGTCGTGATTGAGGTATCCTCGTTGGGTCCAGCCGCGGAAAATTCAGACCGACGTCCTCGACCTCCGAAACCGCCACGGTCTCCCCCACGACCGCGGCCACGACCTCGGTCACTGCCACGCATGGGCGGATCCGTGCGCCGTTGGAAGTCGGTGATCAAATTGGAGGATTTGGGGTCGTACTCTAGGCGCATTGTTAGCGGGGCCCGAACGGCCGACGGAACCGATCTTGGACTTACCATCGTCCTTGGCGATCCCGGGCATGACATCGTGCTGATACGGGCAGGTAGCGCCCAGGTAGCAGATCCCCTGGGTTTCATAGAACGGACACCGCTCCGAGCTCTTGGGTCCCATCTTATCCGGCTGTTGGCCACCGGCGCCCGAGGGCGTCATGGGCATCGGGGGCATCCCCGGCATCTGCGGGAAACCCATACTCTGTAGAGCCATCATCGCGGCCATCGGATCATTCTGGTCAAAGCCCGGGAACGTAGGAGGCATAACCGGGAATCCCGCCGCACCAGGGTGGAATTGCCCCGGGCCACCAGGTCCTGCACGGCCGCCATCCCTGCCCATCCAGTCGCCTCGGCCACCGCCACGCCCCCGGCGCGGGGTCTTATATGTGCGTTGATGGGGGACGTCGTCGCGTTCCTGATCCGCCTGGAATCCTTCATGGAAGCTACGCTTGCGATTAAAGTTGGACTCCTCCGCTTGCGCCTGGGGAATGCCGCCCATCGGCGATCCATAAGGGCCTTTCGAGGAACCGGACGAGGGTGCGAACGACTGTGGCGGCTGGGAAGCGGATCCCGGCGCTGGACCATCATGGGATAAGGAGGACTGGACCTGCGCATACGGCGCGGCGGGAACCGGTTGCGGCTTGGGCGCAAAGGTTGTGAAGAGCTCGTCAACGAACTGAACGGTGTCTATATGTGCAAGGCAAGCCAGTCAGCCAACCGCGCATTCTCTCCGGTATAACCGACTCCGCCGACTAACGTTCTCTCAAAAAGTCCTCCAGGTTCTCCACCGAGGCCTTCCGGATCTCCTCATCGGGAGCATCGGTGCGAATCAGCGCCAAGACATAGTCAGCGAGCACATCAGAATCGGCGTCAGATCTAGCAGAGAGAAAATCGACAATAGACGTTAGCTGGTGGTCATAAAGGTGACGCCGCAATGGTCCGCATTTTGCGCGGTCCGAACTGTCTTACATATCCTCCAGTTTTCTGACCACCCACTGCTTGACCTCCGTCGCTTCGTTCTCCGTGAGCTGCATGCTGCTTCACGGGGCGATGATCCTCCACGCGACCGGTATCGACAAGAAACAGTCCTTCGAGGAGCTTCACAATGCAGCAGGTGCACCAGGCTGTGTCTGAGAACAGGATCGGGCAAGGATCCCAAACGACGCCGGTGATGTAGATAAAACTATGACAGGTGGCAAGTCTCGATCAGTGAGTTGATCAGAGTCTGGTCAAATCATCGTAAGAAAAACCGCGAGGGGATAGCAACAGAGCTTTGCGGATCAAAAAGGCCGGGGAAACGCGAGCGACGCGGATGACCGTACAGCACGTGACCTGTCCAAACTAGCCAGTTGCCCTTATCTCGCCATCAGACCAATTACGCTACAAGTACAACTACTCGGTCTCAAGCATCTACATTACATGTCAAATGAACTGAAAGCCATCATATTTTTCATGTCCAATCGAGGAACAGCAAAGCAACTATGGAAAATCCCTCGCGGTCGTAAACGTAAAAATGAAGCCATCGCAGATGCTCGTGCACAGCGGGATTCTACTTCTCTAAGTGTCGAAAATCCACAGACGACATTAAGCTGTTTCTTCTCGTTTTATCCTCCCTCAATGTAGACAGGGTATTGCGTTCGTCAATCTCATAAACAGAGGATTCCATCCATCACAAGGTCGAAAGTTAGTCGGCTTGCGTGGAAGCAGTTTACAGCTTGTCGTAGTACTGTGTGGAAAGTTAGCATCATCCAGGGGCTGCAAGTAATGATGACAGGCAACTTACGTTCTCGTAGCCGGGGACGACCTCCTTGAGACCCTTGCGCTTACGCATCTCAGTAACGATACCACCAACCTTGGAGGTGGGGTCAAGAGGAGATCCACCAGGGAGGACAGCCCAGTGGTCGAAGACGGACTGGGGGAAGGCCTGTCCACCGGTGGCCTGACGAAGCTCACCGGGGAAACCGAAGGACTCGTTGACGGGCAGGTAGGCCTTGACGTTGAACAGAGGAGTACCAGGGCGCTGCTCCTCAGTGTAGACGTGACCACGACGGCGGGTAAGGACACCGTAGATACCACCCATGGCCTGCTCGGGAACCTGGATCTCGACGTTGAAGATGGGCTCGAGGATGGCGGGCTCGGCAAGCATGGAGGCGGCGTACAGGACACGACGAGTAGTGGGCATGATCTGACCGGCACCACGGTGGATAGCATCAGCGTGCAGGGTAACATCAAGGATGTTGAAGCGGATGGAGCGCATGGGCTCCTCAGCAATAGGACCCTCACGGGTAGCCCACTGGAAACCAGAGACGACGGAGTCCTTGATTTCGTTGAGGTACTGGACGGCCTTGGTCTGGTCAACCAGCAGGTTGGCACCGGTGGTGTCGGGACCGAAGCACCAAATCTTACGGGCATCGGTGACATCCCAGCCGTACTCGTCAGCAAGGAGACGGGCACGGGCCTTGAAATCGTCACGGGGGGTGATCTTGCCGGCCTCGATGGCGAGGGAGACCTCCTCGTCAAGGGGCTGGGCAGTCAGGTAGAGACGGTTGTGCTTGTTGGGGGACTTGGACAGAGCGGTCATGCTGGAGGTGCCGCTGACGGTCTCACGGTAGGAGACGACAGGGTCGGAGATACGAAGGGGAACACCGGCGTGGTCCTCCTCGAGATCCTTCAGGCAAATTTCCAGGTGAAGCTCACCAGCACCGGCAACGACGTGCTCACCGGACTCGTTGATCATGGTCAGGACACAAGGGTCAGACTTGGACAGACGCTTGAGACCCTCGACGAGCTTGGGCAGATCCTGGGCGTTCTTGACCTCAACGGAACGCTGGACGACGGGGGAGACGGAGAACTTCATGACCTTCATGTTGTGGGCAGTCTCGGAGGTGGTGAGGGTACCAGACTTGAGCAAGAACTGGTCAACACCGACGAGACCGACGATGTTACCGGCGGGAACATCCTCAATGGGCTCGACGAAACGACCCATCATCAGGATGGTACGCTGGATGCTCTTGACGAAGAGATCCTCCTTCTTGCCAGGGACGTAGTTGGGACCCTGGATACGGACCTTAAGACCGGAGCGGACGGTACCGGAGTAGACACGACCGAAAGCGTAGAAACGACCCTTGTCGGAGGTGGGAACCATCTTGGAGACGTACAGCATCAGGGGAGCCTTGGGGTCACAGTCGCGGATACCGATGGCGCAGTCGTCATCGTTGGGACCCTCGTACAGAGTCTCACCACGGTACTTCTGGGCAGTGACGGGGGAGGGCAGGTGGATACAGATCATCTCCAACATGGCATCAGCGGCGGGCAGGAACTTGCGCATGACAGCCTTGAGGAGCTGCTTGCCAGCAAGGTCCTTCTCGTCGTTGGAGAGCTTGATGTCAAGCTTCTCGAGAAGGGTGGGGATCTGGTCCTTCTTGTCGTTGTTGATGGTCTGGAAGATCTTGAAGATGGGGTCCAGAACGAACTGGTTGAAAGCACGCTCAACGGGCTTGCCATCGACCTCAGTAGGGGTCTTGGACCACTTCTTGGTCTTGGGGTTGAAGTAGTTGTCACCCTAACCGCATGTCAGTAACCATCGTGACGGGCAAAGATCCGCAAAACGTACCCAGAGACGCTCAAGCATCTTCTTGCGGTCAACACCGAACTTCTTGGCGAACTTGACGGCGAACTGGCGGACGGTGAAAGCCCAGCCGTGGAGACCGGAACCGAAGGCAACGGTACCCTTCTCGGCGTAGACCTGGACGTCACCGAGAGCCTTGTCGAAGTAGGTGGCGATGATGACGTTGACGGACTCGATGGTACGAGAGAAGGACTGGTACAGGTCCTCCTTGGAGACCTGGAGCTCGAGCAGAGCACGGTCGACCTTGTTGATGATCAGGACGGGCTTGATACGCTCAGTCAGGGCCTGACGAAGGACAGTCTCGGTCTGGACACAGACACCGGAGACACAGTCGACGACGACCAGGGCACCGTCAGTGACACGCAGAGCAGCAGTGACCTCAGAAGAGAAATCAACGTGACCGGGGGAATCGATCAGGTTGATCAGGAACTCAGCACCATCGACCTTCTGGGGGATCTCCTTGAGATCCTCCTCATCGGGGAACTTGGCGTAGAGGGAGATGGCAGTGGACTTGATGGTGATACCACGGTCCTGCTCATCGGGACGGGTGTCCATGTAACGACCCTCACCAGCCTTGGCGGCCGAGATAATACCGGCACGCTGGACCAGGGAGTCGGAAAGGGTGGACTTTCCGTGATCGACTGTGGTGCATCCCAAGTTAGCCTCATCTGCTCGTGCTATCGGACCATCCCCAACTGCCAAGCCTTAGGGCCACACATACCGTGAGCAATGACGGACATGTTACGGATGTTGGCCGGGCGGTCCATCAGGCCGCGGATCTGTTGTTAGTTAGTATGCATGCTCTGTACTGGTGGCCTGCTGTCTCTAGGCTTGGTGGTCGTCTCAAGGGTTGAGATAGAGCCTAATGCAGGTCGATGCGGGGAACATAGAACGGACCTCTTCGATAGTGAAGCTATTGGCAACATCGTCAGCACGCTACTCTCTACAACATAATCCTTCCAGTCTGTCGATGCCATCAAGGCGCAACCTCGACAGGGAGGAATGTGCAGGAAGGGGGGTTGGTGGGTGGTCGTACTTAACCATCTTGACTGATTTTTCTCGTCAACTGCCGTAGAGGCGGGGTTGTGTAAGAAGGAAAATAAAAAGAAGAACGACACACAAAGGACCAAGATCGAGGACTAGCTCGACCGAGGATATAATAGGACAGTGTGCGCTGCTCCGGGGGAGAGACAGAGATGGCTTCGCGGAGGAAGGTGAAGAAGGGAAAAGAGAGAGGAGGGAGGAGGAAGAGGGCGGATGGAGGAAGAGGGGAAAAGAGGAAGAAAGCGAGAGGGCGGCGGGTGGGGACTTTTTTCGTGCAGGTGGGATTTTTTCCGATTTCAAATCTGGGATGTGCGTTTTTTCCTGTCGGGCCCCTCGTTTCCTTACCGTTTCACTGCTTAGCGTCGGCTGCCCGCCAACTGCTTTCGGTGCCCGCTGCCGTCCAGCATTGAGAGTCCATTAGGATTATCATTCCATACGATGTAATGATTTTCAGCAGCCGCCGTGAATGGAGACCGAGAAGAGTCCTTGTCCGACGGTGTGGCCTGGCCGCTGATGACGGAGGAACTACAGTGGTACTATTTTACTGGCGGTGTCCTTTCTAGGAGCCCGAGCTTCCCTACTGACCGGCTTGACCATGGATTCTATCCTTTTTTACCTTCTTCGAGCCGTTGGATCGCGCGAGTCATCACGAAAGCTCCCAGCTTGATGCGTATTGCCCCTGCTGACCATGACTGCTCTGCGGTACATGCTCCCACGAAAGAGCTGTCAGCTCTCCCGTGTTCCGTCCGGTGGCAAGAGTCTTGACTGTGCTGATATCATGATCCGTTGTACCATCAATTTCCCGGCGTCCTGAGTGGGTAATTAAGGTAATAGCTTACCCGTTGCGGTTTAGCCCGTCTGGTCGCCCTCTTGGTGCAGTCGGTGGCAGGTGAAAAGCTCAAATCCTCACTCCATCTCGGCCCCGGGGACTCGTTTCGGGATTAAGGTCTGCGAGGGAAGGAAAGCGCAACGACGCCATTGTGCTCAGAAAGGCCTCGACTTGTGGCCGGCCAACAGTTCTGCAGGTGGTATCTGCCCGCTGCAAACCCCTCCATCCTCACCGCCCGGATCGTCACGGGGTGCGGAGTTAGGAATTAATGCATGGCGGTACATTACCTGACGGTACGGGAACGTGGCTCGACCATTTGACAGCAGCAGGAGCATCGCCTGTCCGGCTACTGCAGCGCTACAAAAGCGGTCCGACAACCCCCATTAGTCCTCACAACTAGTATCTATACTGTACGGATCTGTCTATCGCATTGATGATATGACCAGACTGTTATCTAGAGCTACCTCGTGCAGGTGGAGCAGTAAATAAGAATACAAAGTTTCATCCCGGGTTATCTATCTATCTATCCAATGTGCTCAACGCCTGTATACGCCGACCATGCAGTCTCAACGAAGCACAACATACAAAGCCGCAGAAATCATGAGGACCCCAAAATTTTGCCATACGCATCCTCCACCTCTTTGGCAATCTCCAAAAGTGTGACGATGACGATTTGATGAGTAATGTTGGGCAGCTTGTCCCGTTGAAGCCCAATCCATTCCAATGGTGGGGTGGCTTCACCCATATCGCGAAGCTGAGGCGTCTCGATCACGGGAGTCTCCAGTGCCATATAGGTATACTTCGATTGCGGTACATTGACCACCGCGGTGATCTTTTCGTGCGGCTCATTCTTGTCGCCGCTTCCTTCGGCACTCAACGCCCCAGTGATGCGAACCGCAGACGGAGGTAGCGGCTTCCCGAGTCGGGAAGCCAACGCCCGCGAATGGGTTTCCCACATGTCCCGGATAAAGCTGATGCGGGAATAGTTCCAGCCAACGTCGACCTTGCCTTCGAACGTGCTTTGGAAAATATAGTCGATCTGCTGTGACCCGGGAACTTGCCAGGTCTCCATTCGGGCCAGAAGCCGAGGGACTTTCAGGATCGTCCCTCCCCTGGATCCGGTAACGCGATTGGCGATCTCCTTGACCAAGAGCTCTTCGGTGTCCATAGGACCTGACCGAACAATGTTCGAAAGCGCGACACGTAACTGGCCTAGCGTTAGGCCCAACGCGCTGTGTATCTTGCCGTCCTGCAGTGAGACATCAAACCGAGCCTGGGCATCATGTGCCTCCAATTTGAATACATGATTGTCAAAAAAGGAGCTTGGGAAGACACCTATACTGACAGCGTTGATACTAACAACAACGCCGGTGTGCAAGGATATTGGCGCCGTCTCCGCCTTAACCTCTGCGGGTTTAGACAACTCCTTGGACGACACCTCTGTTTTCTCCGAGAAAGTCGAGGTCTTTCGGCGCAGGTATCGTTCGACGTCGCGTAAAGAGGCTTCGTATGCTGCCTGCTTGTCTTGCACAAGTCGCTGCCAGGCCTGATACAAGGCCAGAGACTGCGATGCCGTCAGGCTTGTGCAAAAGACTTGCACCTTGTCCCCATCCAAGATGCTAAAAAGACGCTCGCTGGGAGCTTCAGTCGTAGGCCGAACGTTGTACATCAGAAAGGCAAAACTCGAGATGTGGGCAATCAAAAAGGGTTGGTAGTCAAAAGAGACCTTAACCTGAAGCTGAAGCCACGAGATGGATGCCTGGATGAGGGGCGTCTGGTGATTTTGCTTGTCATTTGGCCAATTGATGGACGTGGACACTTTGAGACTTTGAAGCTCCACTAGTCCGCTCATGCGGCCCTTACTCTCAATCCCCAGTGTATTGAAGCTAATGGAAAGTGTCTGCTCCCAATCGGATGTCTTCTTCGAGGACAGCCATAGGTCGTGTACGGCGAACTGCGCCTTCCCCAGTGTAGACCCCAAGTCGAGTTGGATCTCTAGCTTTTCGATGGAGATCGTGGTGTTCCACGGGAAAGCGGGGGCTGCCGCGACTTGTTGATAACGCTGCACAATATAGGCCTGTGTCTCGGTAGGTTGTGGCTCAGGTGGAGGGCCAGGATCGATGTCATCACTCGATGGAAACCAGATCTCCCGGAAAAGCAGAAGATCTTGAACCTGCTTTGCATTCAGCGCAACTTCCATCGGGCTCATCCGAAGAGCGACAGAAATTCCTTTCGCGCTCCCTAAATGTTTGCTGTTCATAAGCGACATGACCATAGACTCGACCTCGAAACTCGCGGTTGACTCGTTCGAGTACACGTGTTTTACCGATGCCTGTAGAGAGTTGAAAGCCACCAGAAGGGCTAAGAATCGCCCAGGATCATCAGACTGAACGGTGTTGACCGTCACGTAGACACTGTCAAACCGGGTTGTAGCTGCTACTCTAGCTATGGGTTGGCAGCTCAGGCTGAATTCTTGCTTGCAAATCAGGATCCCTACGTTCACCTTGCATCTTCCAAGGATTGAACCTGGGCCCTTGTCGTCCAGAGGGGTCTCTTGCATCAACTTTTGTGATTGCAGCATCACGGCATTAGACGGCCTTCGAGGCTTTGGCTGGTCGCCCATGACTTCCTTGATAGTGGAAGTCATCTGTTTGATCAAGGGGACCAGACTCGGATACAGGACATTCGTAGAAGCATCCACTTTTAACTCCGCGTTGAGAGCCGAATCATCTCGCCCGTTGTCCTCAAACTGGACTTTCAAGGCCACGCCTGGAGCCCTAAATGTTGCAGTGGCCATCCCGTCTCCTTGAACGTACTGGCCGTATGTTGATCCAGGAAGTCTACCATCTTTCATATTCGCCGTCAGCATTGTTTGAATATCATCCGTATGTCGCCCTTGCAGAGATACAATGGCACCGGCGAAATCAACGTCTATCAACACGGAGCGGAAGCGCTTATTTCCGAAGAGTGGTCGATTTTTGGTGCTATCATCAGATGGCTTCGTTACCAAGGTAGCATTAGCCTCTCGGATCGTTCGCGCAGCAGAGGCAATAGAGTCTCTGATCGCGCTCGCTGGCGATATGAAGTCAGAGGTAGCCCGCAGATCCAAAGATTTCCCGGCAGCTTGGAACGCCAATCGAACCTCCTTCCCTGCTGATGAGTATGCTACGTTGAAAACCAGTTCGGGCAACAGAGCAGAATTGGGTGAGCGCTTGCGCCTGTTTCCTGAAATGGGCACCATCTGCAACTGCACGTCTTCAATTCGGAGTTTGGCGGCGTTTGCTCTCTTGTTCGACAACTCCACGCGCTTTATGGAAAAGACCAGGTCGTCGGGTTTGCGTGAAGATACCCTTGAGGTTGTAGTGGTCATGTTCCACCCAACCTGGATGTCATTGAAGTCCAGAGAGTACATGGCGTCAAACAGTCCCTCCGAGGAGCCAACGTCTTCGACCTGGATGCTGGGAACCTCCGGGCCTGTTTTCTCCGTGTGACCACGATGTCTCAGTCTCTTGAAACGCTTCACCTCTTGGGAAAGATCTAGAGTCTTAATACGCTCCTGCAAGTGGGCGGCCATGTCAACCACCAATGCTGCTGTCTCTGGAAAGAGCTCGACAACGAATCTCTTGCTGGTCAGATGGAACACTCGTCTAGTTTCTCCGCTGTCTTGGGTCGTTGTCCCTTGAAGCTTAGCGTCAATTGAGAAACTGCAATATGAGCGACTCCTAGACGCTTCTTCCTTCCTCAAATCAAGACTTATGTTGGAAGTATCGACATGGAATTCCGGGTATTCCATGGGATGTCCAGCGTTCAGACCATTATCTAGATGCAGACGAACCATCCCGAGGCTGATGTCCATGTCCGCGGTGTAACTCTTGCTGTTCAGCCCTGGCGCCCTGGCATGAATCGTCGTGCCCGCCATCGTCATGCGAGCCTTATAGAGAATAATGTGGCCACTAGGTGGATTGTTTTGCGGGGGAGGAGATCTCGAATGTGCAAGGACATCGCTGAAATGCAACTGTAAGACTTCGATACTTTGTTTGAGATCGTCAATCAAATGTGAGACTTCTGGCTTTGATAGGGCACCAAGCAGACTTCGTAAAGCACTGGCCTCCAAGCGTATCAGTTCAATGGTGATATCGATCTCCATATCTGTGCGGTTTGGTGAGAGATCAGCAATGACTCGACCATTTATGGGTGGTATTTCCAATGCCGATAGAGAACGCCATTTCCCCCCTTCGCCTGACAAAAGTGTGTGTATGTTCTTCTTCAGATCAAAGTCCACTTCAATTTTCGATCCGAGTTTGGGTGTAATGGAAGTCCGTGCTACTTCTCCAGCGATGACATATGTCAGCGACGGTAAGACGCAAAAGCTTAGGCGATAGTCATCTAAGAACATCGCGACATGGAAGTTATTGTGAGTTCGCTTCTTCGGATTAGTCGCTTCAACGGGCTGGTGTGATGGTAAGTCCACGCTGTTGACGAGTTGATGAATGAACCGTATTTCATCCTCTATCAACCGATCTGCGGTATGCGCGAGACTTAAAAGATCTTCTCCCATGTCATAGCGGAGTTTCCTGCATGATCCGGCAATCTTCCAGTCGTGGTTCACCTCTGCCTCATTTTCCTCAGTCACGAGAGAACAGTAAATGTGAGGGTTACTAACTTTCCAAAGCATGAGAACCTTGGAGAAGCTAGAGAGTTCAGTATAGCAAGCTTCGGAATTTAACAACAGGCTCATGGTTTCCGGACTGTCTATGCTGCGAGGCTTTTTAACAAGCGAGCTTCTGAGGGCTCTACCAGTCAGTGCTAGCTTGACATTGATACCATCCAGAGTTATAGATCCCAGATCTGTTCCGAAGACCAGCTGAATTTCAGTCAATTTTTCAGATCCGCTGCCACGACTTTGGGATGGCGGTGCGGATTCCAGTGTAACTGTAGACATTGTCTTCATGACTCCCTCCACAAGGTCGAGAATTTCCCACCGCAAGTGAAGACTAACAGACGAGCAATAAGATTGGACAACCGTAACCTCTTTCGGTCGAGGCTCTTTATCTGTAGATGACGGCTCACTGGGCTGAACCGAGACAGCTGTTGACAAATCCTCGATAACGAAGCCACTCTCCTTCGGCCCGGGATCAATGGAGAAGCGGAAGAGTTTCACAGTAGAAGAAAAGATCATGGTTGTCGAGGCCTCCCCGGATTGGGATGGAGAGCTATTCCAGATTCTCCGCATCACATAGCTCTTTTCTACATGAGCTAGATCCCAAGCCCGCCATTGGTCAAAGTTGGAGAGTACAACGGTCTTGGCATCTTGGGGAAGTTCGAAATCGCCATTGAGGCACTTGGCCGTCAACACTTGACGTTGACCCGGCGACATGTGGTAGTAAACGTTTCGTATGCGAGATATTATCTTCCAAGAGTCGTGCTGCCGCAGATGGGAACGCGCCACCCTAAGCACGTACGATATACGAATGAGAAACGCTGGATCTGGAACCTTCGCGGCTTGTTGCGTAAGGGAGTACATGAGGTACTGCAGCCGTCTGTCCCCGATAGCCGAGCTCTGTTGAAAGGAGGATGCGATGGAATCCGACATTGTCGTTGTTCGATGGACCAGAGAGGCGAGGTGTTCCACAGACTTTGTCGAGGTCACAGTATCGAAAGCCCGAACTTGGAAATTTGATCTCACTATAGGATCTGTCACGAGCCAGAAGTTCATGTCTTCAAAGATGCAACCGAGCTCAGCCTTCTCCTGGTAAGCGTCGGCACTGCTGCCGTGAACGGATATTGAAAGCTTGTCTGCAGCGGCATGCACTGTAGAGCTTTTGTTTATGCCCGAAAGGAGGTCGCCCCTTTCCCGTTCCACCTTCGTCCTGAACTCAGCCTTCAGTTGAGACATGTCAATCCTATACTCGTCCCGAAAATGAAATTCGCCATTCGGGTCCGGTTCGGAATTAACCAGTTTGACAAGTATGGAAGGTGCTCTGATTGCAACGCTGGTGCATGTTTTGGGCTGTTTCATGGACTTCTCATAGCCCACAATGTCTGATATGACTCGCTTCTGTAGGGAATCAATAATTGCGACAGGGCGTCTTGGATGCATCCGTTCGATCAACGCTGACAGTATGTGAAGAAACTCGGGGTAACAGAACCCTCGGATTCCAGTGGGGAGTTCAATGGCAAGGTTTGTATAAGTCGTTACATCACTATCAGAAAAAGAAAAGAACGGATCGACATCCACGACGGGAAGGTCCCCCTTGGTAACAGCAGTATATTTGCGCGAAGTTTGTTCCGACGGAAGTTGTGATGTATCAAGGTCGGTCTGGTGGAGAGAAAATTCGGGCATGACCCAAGGGCTTGAAGCATGGGGTATGTTTACTGGCCCATCCTTCGTAGCATCCCGACGCTTAAGAAGGGTAGGATTAGGGCTACCTGTTGCTGGTCGGCGGAGCTTCCGATCCTTTGCTATCTTGGATGGCACGCTGGTCGGTCGATTGGGCTGACGCGATTTCATTCCGGTCATACTTCTCACACTCGAAGCATCTGGCATGACAAGGAAGCTCCTAGAGCTTAGATTGCTTCTGCCTACCGAAAATTGGCGTCTTGATGGCAAAACACCTAGACCGGAATGCTTCGAGATGGGTTCGGGCATTGTAGGTATAGGGATGGTCGGTGGTACTAAGCTGCCCTCATCGTGCTGTGGTGTGTCAGGGTATATGTCGTCCCAGTCCATCAGAAGCCACGGCGTTCTTTGTGTCCTTTGGTCATGGGCTTTAATATGCTCTTGTTGTAGCCTTCGACTTTCGGTGATATCACTCCTTCTCTGGACCATTCTCATCTTCAAGGTAGCCTGGAAGAGAGCGAAAGGAGCTATGTGCGTACTGAGCCGGCTTCCAAATTGGCCTAAGAACTGATAATCAATTGCGGCAAGGGATAGGTCGGGAACAAGAAGCTTCATCCGTTTAGAGAATCTCGCATTTGCCAGGTCATTGAACTCTGTTGTCACCGGCCCAGACTTCAGGATCAACGCGGCCCGGTCCTGGAGAACAGAAAGGTGAATAAGCTCAATCCTGGCCCGCAAGAAGGTGACATCATGAAGCTGTATCAGAGATAAGGGTGGGAGCGCATTCTCTTCATTGTCAAAAGTCATGTCGAAGCTTTGCAAAGCTGCACCAAGACAGCTTAGGAAATCCGTCGAGCATTCTCCAATAATTCGACCCACTCCGAAGTCCCAGTTGCAGACATAAGTAGGCTCCGCGGGGGGCAGTCCAAATAACCGGTGGCCATAAATTGCAACCCCGTCAATAAAGAGTTGGGGTTCTGAAGGAACGAGTTCTCCCTCTGTCTCACTAGACTCCAAAGCTACCTTGAGAGGAGCAAGGGAGAACTGCAAGTCCATGTAGTAATTTGTGAACCGCAAGTCAGCCTCCAGCAAAGGTGCAGTGAGGCTAAGAGAGGCTGAATGTTCGTAAAGGTTTTCGGGGAGAAAAGCGCAGGGACTGTGAACGGTAACATGGACGATCACATCAAGGTCATTGGACTTCCTATTCGGGTTTATTCCGCCAGTCGACCTCGACTCCTCCTCAGGGTATGCAAGCTCTTGATATTCCTCCAGAGTTTTGAAGTGCATTTCCTCTCCGAAGTAATTCTCCCTAATGGTCATGAAGGACCGTATCAGGAATCCGAACAAATACAGCCTAGGAGAGAAGCCATCTATATTTAGCAGCAGTGTATCTGTCAGTTCCGGGGATGTTGAAAGATAATAATTATACGAGCCATCGATGGATAGGCTTTGCAGGGTGGCAGTTGATTTCTCCTTCAAGAACGCATGTAAAGTATCCCATAGAGGCGTCAGATAGTCAATGCCTCCATCGTCCAATTTAACGTTGAAATCAATGGCATTCTGCTCAGGCTGATACTTGTTCAGAGGGATGATGACGTCGGATGTCAGCCTTGTGCCCTTGATTGCCAATGAACGATTGTCATCCAGGTCAGAAGGGTTGCTGACGATGTTCATATCATTAACGTTGAGAAACAGCCGAATGTTGGAAAAAGACAGATTAAGCTTGTATATAAACGGCACAAACGTGTAGTATTCCTGTGGAGGGCCCGACGCCCAGTCAGACACCAGATCAGTCACAAGGAAAATATGGTCCCGCAGCAAAAACAACTCCATATCGTGACTGTCAACATCGAACATCCACGTACGAAGGCTGTTCCAGGTTAGTGGGACCGAGAGATCGCAGCTGACAAGTTGCCTAGAACATTGCCACAACAATGCGTGGTTGACACTGGTCAACATTTTTGTTTCCCGAAGGTCGAGGTCCAACTGACTATGAAACCCAGACGCTGACGCCACCATATCCATGGCATAGTTGATGGTGGAATCTCCAGCAACACGAAGCGACAACCATCCAAATGGGCGAATGTCAGGGCCTATATGACCTTTATCGCCGTCTCCGGTGCGTGACTGCCTTCTACTTGACTGCTTCCGTAATTTGGCGACGCCTCGTATCGCATCAGCGCGGCCTTTCCATTGCCAGTCCTTTGAAGGCTCCCGGGTAGGGAGGCGCAATGTCAACTCCTCGGTGATTTCGACCCGTAATCGGAAGACGGAGTTTTTCCTCAGTTCCCCGGGGGTCAGCGGGTCGACCGGCTGCGAGCTTCGGTAGGCATTGGGAAAGAATACGTTTTGCAAGCCGACGCGTTCCCTATCAGCCCAAGGTCCGTAATTGATGCTTCCACCATCGATCTTCACATCGATCCCCCATTCCGGAGGAGGGGCACCATTGATATCTGGTGACGTAGGGGCAGGCGCCGGTGAAGACGCGGATGGCTTGACACAACCAGGAATATCCCAATAGTACGCCACAGTCATGCTCGGGCTGTCGAGTAGAGTGGAGAATCTAGCATATTCGACAGGGTTCCACTCCTCGTGGTCATCCTGGGAGCTCTCATCCAAGTATCGGGAGAGACCAACCCAACGCGTGTCATCGGCAAGATCGGCTGAGCTTCGAGGGGCCGCGTCTGAATGGTTCTCGCGCACGTGAAACGATTCGACAGAAGACTGGAAGTATGGGACAAGGTCACGGATACTGTGCCAGACCCTGCGCTTTTGCAACCGGTAGTTAAAGATCCTATCTCGTTTGCGTTTTGTTTCAGATTGCTCCACCCGCGTTGAACCGAGGTTTTTTGCAGCCGCCAGCTGATTTTGCTTGAAATCCGGATTTGGTCGCATTTGAATGACCGGATGGGTGAAAGCGAAAGAGAATATTTGTCGGTAGAGATCGAGTGGGCCAGAATCGCTGGCTTCGATCAACCCAGTGGCGCCGTCGAAGTTCGTGGTCAAAACAGATTTCGTATTCTCATTTCCAATAACAATAGCACCTTTATCGCACTCAATCCTCATTGGCAAGAGCTGGAGTAGCCTAGACAAGCTCTCTCCTATTTCCTGCCCAGAGCCTTCCGCTGCTTCAGAAGCTATTGTGTCCTTGCCAGTGTTTTCACGCCGATCGCCATGAGTATCAGAGGCCTGATCAGAGGCTGGCCCTGCAGAAACATCCGATTGGTCGTCTTTTAGCCGAGGGTCCAAGGTATTGCTTCCTGGATATTGCGGTCTGGTAAACGAAGGCGGTGGCGGCGGCGGGCTGAAGCCAGCAAGAATGCCTTCGTAGGCTGGGGTCCGATTGTATATAAACCATTCAAGGCCGTAGAGTTTGGCAGTGATGCGACAAGGAAGCGAGTGCGTACTCTTAGGGGGGCCCTGTTCCTCTCGGTCACTACCGTTAGTCGCGCTCGCGTTGGCGTTGGCGTTGGCGGCCCCGGAGTGCTGAGCTTCGTCTTCCGGCCGTTCATGGTCGGATTTATCATTTGTGAGGTTCGTTTTTCTCACTGAGCGTCTCCAGTAATGCCATGTTATAAACCCCCCATGCACAAAGATCGTTTCGTTCACCCCATGGTATCGGATGCCCTTGAAAAATATCCTCCCTCCGAGAAGGGATATTTGAATAGCACGAATGTCAACATATGCGCGGTAATAATGCCAGGTGTAAGCGCGTATTCCGTATGATAAGAGCGTTGCGAAAAGGCGATTGAAGTAGAGTAGGAAGAACAATACGCTGTGTATCGATGTCGTTAGCGGCACTTTGTGAATAATGAAGAGGAGAACTTACAGGATGCAAGAGACGATGAGCTCAAGGAGGAAGAACCTAAGTGAATATTAGCTATTGTAAGACCAATGCGACATCAGTACCGACCAGTTGAAGCTAGGATCCGGGGTCAAGGATAGGGTGGTCAAGCTTGTGCTGGCCATGTCGCAATATCCTCCTACCAGAACCCGCAGAACTCGGGAACATGGTGACTCTGGGGAACAATCACTGCGCCATCAAGGAAGGGCCGACAAGAAGCATAGTTTGCAGCGCGGTGAAGACCACGCTAGATGGTCATAAAGGCAAGCAAGGAAAGAACAGGAAAGGGGGGCTAAAAGTCCCCAAACGGAGGCCGTGGGCGGAGGGCTGGATTCAGGATTGGCGGTTGGTAATAAAGATGGTGGAGAGGACGGGGAAGCTCCGATGAGGGACGGCCGGCCGGCGGACACGCACTAGACCGGCCTAGCGTGGACTAGGCTGCCGTCATGGAACCAGTCGTAGGCGGTGTCTCAAGCTAGAGCGGACAGCCCCCCAAAGCACGATGGGCCTGATGGATAAGGATCCCCCCCCCCCCAAATGTCCACGCAATATTCACCGCACGACCTTGCTCCCCCCGTCATGCGAGGGTGCCCTTTGCGTTGGGAGGTCTTGGGAAGTTTTCAGCACCACTGTTGTCCCGTCTCGATGATCATGCCCGCGGTTCAGTGCCATTCTCGTTAACTTCCGGAATGCTTTGCCCGTGGACTCTGCCTTAAGCGCACGCGGTCGATCACCGCGAGTCTGATAACATGTCGATAATGACTGGCACTTCCTCCTTCGGGGGTACAGGCTCGAGCCTGGCACGAGCGGTGGTTATTGTTGCTGGTGTTTCAGCGCTGGTAGCTTCACTGCTCTCTTTATTGTGAGAATGCACTCCCTTCCCGCGCCCCTACGATTCCCCCAGACGGAACCAGTGCTGATATCAATCGATCGTCTCTCTCTTAGGTCCATATGGCTTCAAACGTACAGGAACCTTCCTTACATCTCATGCATGATGGGCACTGATTGAGGGTTAGGAAAAACTATCGCAAACCACTACTCCAACGATATGTCGTCCGTATACTGTTGATGTCAGTCTTCGCTCCCATTCACGGGCCTCTCGGCGGAACGCTGATTGCAATAGGGTCCCCATATATGCGGTGTCTTCCTGGTCTAGCATCATATCGCTGAGAGCGGCGATGTGGCTGGATCCCATTCGCGATGTCTACGAGGTAGCGGATGCGCGGTGATTATTGTTCTTCCAGTGCTAACGATCTTCTGCAGGCGTTTACGATCTACACCTTCTTTCAGTTACTCATCAACTTCCTAGGAGGCGAGCGGGCATTGATTATAATGACTCACGGGCGTCCTCCTGTCCAACATGCCTGGCCAATGAATCACATCCTCCCTAAAGTGGATATCTCCGACCCTCAGACCTTCTTGGCTGTCAAGCGTGGGATCCTCCAATATACTTGGCTAAAGCCGATCCTAGCCATTGCCTCCATCGTAATGAAAGCGACAGACACATATCAGGAAGGCTACCTGGGCTTGACATCTGGATACCTCTGGACAGGTATTGTGTACAATGTCAGCGTGACCATAAGTCTCTATTCCCTAGCCATGTTCTGGGTCTGTCTGCACAATGACCTGGCGCCATTCCGTCCGGTCCCCAAATTCCTGTGTGTCAAACTTATCATCTTTGCCTCTTATTGGCAAGGCTTTTTCTTGTCCATCTTGCAATGGCTGGGTGCGCTTTCTAACGGGGTTGCGGGGTATACGCCCGACAACCTTGCCGCTGCGATTCAGGACAGCCTGATCTGCTTCGAGATGCCAATCTTCGCCATCACCCATTGGTACGCCTTCTCCTGGCATGATTATGCCGACTCCTCCATCTCAGCTGCTCGACTGCCCGTCAAGTACGCCCTTCGCGATTCCTTTGGGATCCGGGACCTCATTGAGGACACGAAGATGACCCTACGTGGGGAGAACTACGAGTACAGGCTTTTTGATTCCGGGGACCACATTATTCCCCATGCCGAATCCAACTCCCGGGTCCGGCGAGTGATGCACGGCATGAGGTATGAGCGTGGGGGTAAAGCCAAGTATTGGATTCCCAAGCCTGGCGAGGTTAATAGTCGGACCCCGTTGCTATCCGGGTCAGAAGGGAGCAGTCGCGATCGACGGAGCAGCATGCTTAGTCGATTCCGTTCACACAGTGACATTGATGAGACCACCTTGGACGACGATGATGAGAGGCTCTTCACCAACGCACGCGCCCTAGAATTTGGCGACTGGAATGTAGGTCGAACCTGTCATTGGCGACATTCCGAATACCTTGATGGGCTAACCGCTAACGGCAATAGTATCCGGTGATTACGGCCAACGAAGTGCCGGAAGATCAGCGTCAAGCACACTATCAACGTCCGCAGCAGTCCCAAGTGCCTGGATCGGTTAAGCGATTGAGGAGGCACCGGAAGTCCCGTGCAACGAATGGTGGGAGCACGTCCCGGAGTGAAGGGAGCTCCTATAGTCCTCGCAAGGAGAACCCCAACGGTCCCAGGACCGTCCGTCAGGACACCAGCTCCTCAATTTCGCACGGCTCCCATCGTAGCCAGCTGGTCGACCTTGTAGTGGAGGACCAACAGGCAGAGGAAGCGGAACGAGTGCACGCTCAGAAGGCATTTGGGTCAACATGGCTCGAGCCCGAACAAAGACATTTTCAGTATGTTCCCGCATCTATTCCCCCGCAAGTTGAATAGGGCCAGAGTAACCTTTCAATCCAGGAGACCCTCTGGAGAGCCAGTTGATGAACGGCCAAGCTACCTCGAAGATAACGCAGGGGCATCAGGAGAAGGGGCCGAACCTGCAAGCCAGACTGATGGGGGCAATGATGATGAATCGGCGACGCGGCGGAATTGGACATATGGAGAGTTGGAAGAGGACAATGTGTGGGATCGGTAGGAGGGCTCGGTGCATGCACCGAATCCTTCCCGCCATTGGGAGGGGATCTGAAGTGGGTGGGCATCTGCAAAATATCTGAGGCATAGGATATGTAAGATGAATGAAATCGTGGAATGTTGTATCGATCGGACGGATGCCACCGGGCCACCGGGTGAGAGGGGCATGGGGAGAGGGGAGGTACCTGGTATCTACGAGCCACGAGGGACGAGAGAAGAGAAGGAGCAGGGAAGCTTCCGGGTCGGGGTGCCGGACTCAGGCACCGAGTAACCTACTCACACTCTATCGTTGTGGTGTGAATCCAGGCTGCTGCGGGTCGGATCACACGCAACCAATGATCCGAGCAAATGACGCCTGGTCATTAGGCGCCGACCAGGCCCTGAGAGGATGCCACGGGGGAGGAGGGATGTGAATTGTGATAGCTGGCCGATCGACAGGCCGACACGCTGTCGAGGAGGGGCAGCCCCAGGCCGCCATTGGTGAAGCCCTCGCGGCGGATGCCTCGGGCTGCATGGCACCATCTCCCCGGCGCCTCTCATTAGTCCACTGCCGGGCCTTAGCTGCCTCAAACAAACTCACTTATCTCGGTTTCCCCCACCCCTATTGATGCACCACAAAGGCACAGACAATGAAGGTGCTCTCAGGCTCTAGGTATCACCTCTTATCCTTCTGGCGCGGGAGGGGGACATGATGGCATGGTTGGTCACCAGAGCTGCTTGTCCACTCCTCGTCATTTCTCTTTGTTTCTCCCGTCCCAGCCTCTCACAGACCCCCGTGGCCTGGCGCCGATTTATTTGTCTGCATCCCTCTGACAGATGTCTCACGGCTTGCTTGCTTCTCGTACTATTATTATTATCCTTATTATCCTTAGTGTCTCCCTGACCTCCCTCGTGCAGCGCCCGCTCTCCTTTTGCTGCCTTTTTCTCCCGGTCCCCACCCCATTCCTTTCCCCGGTCCACTGGGCGATGGAGCACCACCTTTGATGCGCTGGCAGCCATGAAACAGGCAATTGCGCAGGCAGGGTCCATATTCACTGGCTGGATATCTTCCTGCTTGTTCTGCCTAAGCTCCAAGGGCGATGACGAGAGCTTCCATCACCAACAGGCCATGAAGCAGAAAGGTATAGTTCCCATCCCGATATACTTCCCTTATCGCAGCCTCCACTGACACTTGTCCCTTGCAGGTGCCGAACGAGAAATGAAAATATGTCACACTCAACCTCATCTCGTTCCTCCGATGAACCTCGCCGGTGATGATGACTTGCCCAGTCCAGGTCCTCCGCCCCGGGTTTCGTCTTTACAGTCGTGGGTGGTGGAAGGCCGAACACGAGCATCGCGCGCGTCCAACCGAGCAAGTATCTCGCTCAAAAGGAAGTCAACTGCTCCGGTGAGGATCAGCGGACCGTCGGACTTCAGACGAGTGTCGATGTTCCTGACCGAACCGGACGGCTACTGTCCCCTCGAGTTGAGCTTCAACTCCCCAGGCAACCGACTCCCGGATCTTCCCAGGTTTGACGACTATGGGCTTGAAATCATACGGCCCCCAAGAGCCCTATCGTCCGCTGAGATGGGCCGTACATCGCTCCCACGCTCTCACCGTCCTTCTTCTTCCTTCCAGCTACTGCGAAAGCCAGTCGGCTCGGGTTCCCGTCGATCCTCGCTGGGAGCTCAAGAACTCCTGGAGAGGCACACATCCGTCACCAGCCCTTTGATCCCTCATTTCTCGACACGTAGTTCTGCGGCTACTGGCTTGACCGCAAGTGTTCTCACTCCCACCACCCCTAGGCCGGACTTAAGCGGTGGCTATGCGTCCCAGGTTAGGAACGAGCTCCGTCGGGGTACCTACGAAACCGCTGCATCCACGGTCCCTAGAACTCCCACCAGATCCAACCTGCAGGACAGGCCCCTACCTTCTATTCCGACCGAGGAGGATTCCCCTTCCTCCGGCAGTACTTACCATCCACCTACCACTCCTTCAGAGAGCCGGCCCCCAACCACACCCTCTGAGAATTCCAATCGAACCCCAACCCGGTCGGGGCGCGTTACTCAGTGGCTTTTTCAGACAAACAGCAAGCCCATCCCTCTTCCACCCAGTCCAGGCAAGGCCAGCGACAAGGGTCCCTTTCGTATTCGCTCGCGCACGCTGAGTGGCTCTACCCTGGCATCATCCATCACCAACCTCACTGGCGGTCATAAGATTACACCCTCTCTCGCCAGCGGCACGACAGCAGCTCCCACGATGCGAGTATCGAATGCCGAGACGCGGGACTTCGACCTCTCTCTTGGCAGTCCATTCTCACCCAAGCAGACTTTTCCATCTGTGACGGAAGAGCACACCTACCCCACGATCTATGAGGGGGAGCAGCAGCAGGAGCATGAAGTCTTTGAAGACTTGCGTGCCCAGTATTACGAGAACTATCGTCAATCTGCTGTTGGTCTAGCATTCTGATCCACCTCATAGAGAGCATGAACCCTTCTTCGCTACAGTCCTTTCGTACAAATTGTTCTTCAGCTGACCCTCATTTGCGTCAAATGGCTTTGATGTTTACACACCATCATCTATCTACCCCAATATACATTCCTTATCACGACAGTATACCCCATTCCAGCCTTAATGATCCAACTATTACGAATGCAGAACCCAGAAACAGACAGATTTGCTCTCTCACTGCTATATACTCCTAGCAACAGCAATGTATACATGATACCCGTCTGAAATTCACACACATACTCATCACCTATCGTCGTTTAGTTAGATCCACGCCCCAAATAGAACCATCCCCCAAACCGCCAACTAAGATATCCCCAAATACTCCCTATACACAACCCTTATCCAGCCTCTCTTTAGAACAACAATCCCCCCTCCCTAAAAAAAGAACATAGACACTACCCACGTAGTCAACAAATAGACAGCATCAACATCATTTGCATTTTTCTCATCCGTTACTCACCACTACTTCTAATCCAACCTATCCATGTAACCGCCAACAGAATCGAATTGAAAACAATACCAAGACCATCACGATCCCCTAAACCCACTTCATTTATTAAGCCTACCCCCCAACCCACCCAATCTCCATCCTCTCAAGTGAAGCATACCGACGTCTGGCACAGTGTCTCTACGACTACGCCCGATTTCCAATTGAAATCCAGTATCAAAAGGTTGCGTAATCAGGTCAGAGAACTGAGTAGATGTCACCGACATTCAGAATGCGTTCAGCTATAAACAGTGTCATATATATGAAAGGGACTACTAATTACGAAATGATTGATGAATGCCGCCCTCACTAGGAACCTAAATTACTTTCATAGTAGGTTCGGTGCCTACAGTACTAGTACTGATTAGTCTGCTCTAGATGGGTGGTAATTACTACTGGTACTGTATGTATCGATTAATAATTCAAGGAGGGAGGCCAAGACTACCTGGATTTGACTCCGGAGACTCAAACGAACCCTTGGGTGATACACGATACGATACTATACGAACATACGAGAGAGACTTACAGAGGAAGCAAGGTAAGGGATAGGATAGAGAGAGACACGAATCAAATAACCACTTCAACCCCCAATCCTATCTGCACTTTCAAAGTTGGGATATCGTGCGCAGGGAGGTATATAGAACGATCCAAAAGCAGGAAGGAAGTGGCAGGCAGGGATGGACCATCCAGAGTATCAAATAGATGGAGGGATTCAATCAATCAGGCAGGCAGACGAGCACGCACGCACACACACGCAGTTGGGAATATCACTCAAAAGCAGAAATTGTAAAACACCTTCGTACACCATCGTTTCACTTGGTATCATATCTGGAATGTCTTAACGAAAATCCCATCTTCCACTGTGGTTCCCATACAAAACCTTTCCCAAGGGCACGTTTAGCACCTACACACACCGGCTGAAGAACGACCGAACACAAACAAGAAGCAGCAATGAACATCTTGCAAAACAGATTTAGAGGGGAGAATATAGCAGGGACAGAAAGGAAGCCAAGAATGAAACAATGACGGTCACCATGGCAGTGCCTCACTCGTTTTTCTCTTCCCTCTTTTGCTTTTTTTGTATCTTTTCTCTTCCAGACGTCTTATTGGCTTGCACTCTGTGGTATCAAAATAAATCCGAAACACGAATCGCTGACAACAAATCAAAAGGCAAAACAGGAAACGAAAATGAAAAAAAAAAAAAAAAAGTCTCTTGGGGTATACTGCTGCAAATTGACATTGATTTTAACGCGGTGGCCCAATGGGGGCCGGGTATCCAGAAGTAGAATTGGAAGTACTAGGACGACCACTGTCAAAAGAGGCGCGCGGGTCATGCTTGGGAGTCATGTCCCCGGGCGCCGTACCGAATGGAAATTTGGTGTCAAAGCGCGCGGGCCAGCCATTGCTGCTGCTGTGGCTGTGAGAGCTTCCGAGGACAGGCACGTCGTCCTCGGCAAGGTTCACGCCAGAATCATTCCATGGGTTGCGGTAACCGCTGTCTCGAGACTCCATGGAGACCAGTGACGCCTTCGAGGCGTTACTGGACGCATGCTTGAAGAACGATCCGGGAGAGGCCGAGTGATTCTTGCGGCCAATGAACGAAGAGAAGGAGGAAATGCTGCCAGGTTTACGCAGTCTCTCGAAGATGGATCCGCGCTCGCTGGTCTCATCCGAGAAACTGGGGCGAGTGGGGGAGTCGGTGACAATCGGGGCAGGGGCATGCTGCAGCAACTTCGAATCAAAGAAGGGAAGGGACTCTTCAAAGGAGTCGGACTTGGGACGAGGAATAGCTCCCTTCACCGTAGTCGCGTCAAGACCGTGAGCCACCAAGCGGGAGATCAGAAAGTCAATGGCATCCTTCAGTCCACCGGCATTGTTGCGAGTGTACCCGAGCACAGCTCGATCTTCGGGCCCAAAGACGGGAGAAGAAGAGCCGCTGTCGGAAGACGACACCGGGAGGTCGGAACTGGTATCCACGGTGGTATCGACCTCATACTGGTCCTTGAGCTTGGCACACACGTCATCGTGAAATTCGGCAGACTTGAAATACTCGCGCAGTTCTGCAGAGCTCTGGAAAAGTAGCTCGTGGCTCTCCGGAACCATTCCCTATGATGCTATCAGTAACCTGTGATAGGAAAAGAGAGAAAGCGTGTCTGATACTCACCAATAAGGCGTCAACGGCCTGGGGGACTTGGTACTCGGGACCGGAGATAGTCACGACATCGCTGGCAAGCTCAGTGCTAGGAAACTCAATCTTGCAGTTCCACTTTTTCTCGAGCTCATCGATTTCAGTCATGCGCGCAAGCAATTCACGATGATACAACCGATTGATGACGACGCGTTCAGAAACATACTCGGCATCCTGTCATTGTATTAGAGACGAATCACTGCTGCTATGAATGGTTGAACTTACGACTTTCTCGACCATGTCCATGATTTCCTGCTTGACCAGATCGAGACTCTGGGCATTTCGGGCTGGGGTCCGGCAGATGACATTGTCAACCTTGATGTCGTCATCCTCCTTGCCCATGCCGCCACGGTCCATAGCGTTGGAGAACTTGACGAAAACCGAGTATTTCTTCATGATGCGCTGGATGTGCTGACCACCGATTCCGATAATCCGCTTGTGGTACTGGTCGGGCACATGGAAAGAGATGGACGCCGGCATTTCCTGTTCAACAAGATCCAAGCCGTTCTTGGTAGACTCGTACTGATTTCCACACACGTCGATGTAGAAGTTGTACTCGTTGAAACCATCGAAGATGATTTGCACATTGCCTGGACAAGTTAGCACGGTGGCCAATCAAGGACGCTTGGTCCGCAACTTACTCTGGCCCATGATCTTGTTGATCTTGCCGTTCTTTTTGCCGCTGACGAATTCCTTGTGCTCGTTGGCCAGCTCAATCTTCACCCGCATCTGATACTGGCTCCGCTGCACGAACGGGATCTGGTTAATGACCATCATCGCCGCCTTCACAGCGTCATCCGATCCATTGATGGTGAAGGTGAGATTGTCGAAGCTGACTTCAGCGCCCGAGTTGCTGCAGATGTCAGACAGCATGGTGCGAACATCTGCGGGAGATGGCGCCCGGAATCCCCCTTGCGACGGGTCGGGCATAATAATCCACCACGACGCACTGTAGAATTGACCAGCCTGGTTGTATGTTAGTCAAAATATCCAAAGCAGTCCATGTTTTTCATCGGGAGCATACCAAAGCCATGATCTCCCGGACGGTGCGCTCCACATGCAACACTTCGGTACCCTGGATGCGGACGAGACCCCGCTGCGTACCAAGCTGGGGGAAGAGAACGCAAGAACCGTTCATCTCCATAACCTTCCGAACTTTGTCCAGACGATCCAGTAGAATGTTGTCGATCTTGTTCGAGTTGACAATGACATCCTTGACATAGATCTTGACCCCCATCACTAGCTCCCGAAGCTTTTGCTTAGCACGCGCGATCTGCTCCTGGGTATCACCAGTGATGTAGATCTCATCCTCGCTACGACGGTTAGCGCCCGGCGGTGTGTATCCAAAAATGCGAGGGAACGGCGGCGGGAAGTAGATGGCCGTCCCAGTGGCCGCCTCAATGAGCTTAATGTTCTTGCGAGTCCGGCCACACACCAAGGTGTGCATGGTCAATTCCAACTTCATCGCGTCCACGTGACGTTTAAGCTAGTCAAAGTTAGTCCCCAAGAACGTTCGTTAGTCGGAAGAAGGAACCCACAATCTGATCGATCATAATCAAAACCCGGGTCTTGGCATGCTCAGCGCTCTCCATGTCACCGTAAATAGACACCCGGAACCGTTGATCCAGCCCATTGTCCGAGGCGTAGCCGTAGGACGACACCACCGCACTATCCGTGTCGCGGATTTTAGGGCTCAGGAGGAAGATATCCGTGCCAGTGTAGGCAGCCAGCGTATCCAGATGATCCAAAACAGTCGTTCGGATATTCTTGGTGGTCCCGTCCAGGATCAAATGCACGTCCACATCCACGGTCGCACATCGCTATTGCAAGACCCCGTCAGCGGATCCAACGGGATAAAGAGCGCCACTATATAGGAACTCGAATTTTCAACATACCAACAGAATCGGAGTTTCATTCAACACCCTCGCTCGCATTTTCCGCACCGTCTCTCCATCGCCCGTAATGCAGACGTTCGTCGCCAGACCCTGAGGCCGCCGCTGTAGCGAAGGGACACTCTTGGGCTCCGACGAGGTAACCGCAGCCTCGACTCTCCCATTACTGCTCTCGCTGATTTGCCGACACAACCTCCGCAGGGCTTCGACGTTGTTCGCGTGGACCGGTAGCTGGTGAACGGGCGTGCCTTCGGGGGTTCCTTCAGGAAAGGTCCAACGTTGAAGGGCGGCTGGGCTCGCATGCAACACATCGTCGACGTCGGGGCCGGCGAGGGTGGAGGAAAAGGGCACGTTGAAAGAGAGGTTGACAGTCGGGTCGATGCCGGTCGGGGGAGTCATCGGCGGCGCGCCATGCGGTCGACGGAGCGAGTGAGAAGCCATGTCGGTATGCGGTCGAGACATGCCAAAAGTGGGCGTCATTCGCTCCCAGCCATGACGGGCTTGACCCGTGAAATTGGAGATCTTGTGCATGACAAGATCAAGTTAAGTCTCTGGCCCCTTGAACGAGTCGAGGGGGAGAGGGGCGTGGAGGGCCGAAGGTAGAGAATGGCGAACGGGCGGGTAGGAAGAGGGAGGGGAGGCGGCGGAGGAGACCAGACGGGGATTGGAGGACAGTGGGAATCTGCAGTCGCCGTTCACGACAGGGATGGGCGCGCAGATGGGTGGTAAGTGGTGGTGGTGTTGGTGGGTGAGTGACCAAGAACGGGTTGAAATCGGAATGGGTGGGAAAAGGATGAGTCGATCAGGTCTACAACCAAAACGGGTATCGAGGAAGAGGGGGGGTGGGAGAAAAGAAGATGTGAGGAAAAGGAAGAGGAGGGGGGCGGAAAGGGAAAAAGCAGGACTAAGGAAGGAAAAAGAAAAGGCAAAGGGACTGGCCCAAGGGGAACGAGATGGGTAGGATGAATCAACAAAACGGCGTGGGTTTTTTAGCAGCGGAAAAAGCAGAAGAGGAAGAGAAGAGGCAGAGCAAAGCAACTTGGGGGAGGAAATGGAATGGGATGGTTTGGTTTGGTTTGGAGGCCGGATTCCTCTGGCCGAATTCAGGCAAGCAGCAGGCCCAGTCAGCAAAGCACTTCTTCAGCTGCTCTGCTGCTCTGCTGCTGGTGGAGGGGCGCAAGCAATCCCTTCCCTTCCCTCCGTCCCCAGGCACCAAGTATCCTGCGGCCCTGCATGCCCCAGGTCTCCAACGTCCCTTGGACCAGTCCGTCTGGTGGATGGACTCAAATGCTTGCTGGTCTACGCAGTCTAGATAAGGACGACTCCCCATGAATCATATTCATCCTTCATCCTCGTCCCAGGATGTTGGGGATCCTCTTCTGTTGCTGGCTGTCTCCCTGCTTCCCTCAAGCGGGAAGGGCGGGTACTCAGCCCAGTGTCTAGGCCCAATGTTTGCATCGCCTGGCCAAAGTACGATCGTGGCCATTCCTGCTAACACCACCGACTCTCTGATCACTGCTATTCTTATTCCAGCTTACGCTAGTCGGATCATCCTGAATCTCGACTCTTTTGGTGTTGTCCAATCAACGGTCCCAGAAAGAATGACTCTCTCCCTCTCTTTCTCACCCACTTTTTCCCACTATGACTCCCCACAGTCTCAACAGACTGTGAGCCTTGAATTCCAACCAAAACTCACTCGTCGTCCCTGCTTCGAGTCACCACCCCAGGAATAAACTCAATTCCTGACCAGTGGACTGGACCAACTCGATCCAGTTAGTAGTCACTTGGCCATTTCTGTTGTCCCCAATCTTGCCATGCCTCTCTGCCTTCTCCCTCCCTCAGTCAATAGTCTGTACGGTACCAGTTCGTACGGTCAGTCGACTCCATCCAAGCGGGCGATTGCGTTCATCGACGTCCCTGCACGGCCCACCCACTTTGCCCGTTTGAGGTCTGCAAGCGAGAAATCCCGGTCCCGTAGGTCACGTGTGGATCCGGCATTACGGCCGCTGTTACGCCCCATACGGCGTAAGTGACCATCCCTGCCTCAGGCTGTGCCCAGCTTCGCGGCGGGTTCCAAACGGCTTGGACGGATGCATTGATATGGACAAAGGGAACAACATTCGTCAAAGACTGATCCATTACCCACATCACCCCGACTACCAATTCCACTTCCATCACTGCCAGGCAATCAGCAATAACCGGTTGGGTCGGAGGCAGGGCAATCCCGGAAGCTTCAGGAAAACGAGCTGTTTGCCATCCAGATCAACCAACCTGTAGGTAGGTACCGGGCCAGCGCGCATCGAGCCCTGATCATTCGTTGGAGTCTGAAAGGGTATTGTTCTTAACAGGACCAGGTAAGGTACATCATCTTCACTCCGGGGCTAAGTAGCCACCAGGAAGGAAGGGAAGGGAAGGAATCGAGGGGCTCGGATTTGCCACTGGCGTCCATCCATGCCAGTCTGCCCTGGAGACGGGATTCCCCAAGTCCACAGGAATCCAGTCGTACATAGCAACATTATTCACACCATACGGAGTAGACAACAGGCTACAGAGGACACACAAGACAGTACGGAGTACCTCATAAGAACAGATTGACCCAAACATAAGTCATGTGCCAACCTACCCAACCCGTCCCGACACACAGACACTCTCAGACACTCCACGATTGACACCCCAATGAAACAACCCACAGAGAGAGATGAGACACTTCCACCCGACCTTGCGTCACCGTGTATCATGACTTTTCTCCGCCCGGAAGCCAATCTTTCCCCATTCCAATCCCAGCTTACCCATCAAGCCAACCTGACGCCCCAGTGTCACAGCCATCCGTTATCGCGATTATCATCTCCCGGATTAGCCCTGGTTCCATGGACCATTTATCCCTCGATGCAATTACGGATGCTGGCTGCGACCAGAGCAACGGAAGTTGGTGGAAGGTCTAATGGGTTACTTTGAACGGTTTGGGTAGTGTGTAATTGACTGTATCTATGAGTTGTTTTGCTTGTAGAGATGGATGAGTGTGGTAGACCCGGCCGTAAAGAGTGAGTGATAAAGCAGTAAGTAAATAGGCAAGTAAGTAGGTAGGTATGACAGGGCACACAAAACAACCCAAAAAGCAAGGACACCTTCCTCTCCTCACTCCCCGTTCCCAGACAGACACCCAACTGTAGATCACTGATGTAACCATCACCACCACCACCACCACCACCACCACAACAACAAATCACCCTCCCTCTCTAGACCGAACCACTACAGTACTACAACCTACCTCGTATAATCTACAGAGTACTCCATACGCACTGTACGTAACCACAATACAAATACACCCAAGTAAAGTATATACCGTGATCGATCGAACCCAGACTTACTCATCGACGTCATGGGAGTGGGTCGTGAACCTCATCACTTTCCATACATACCTACACACATACACACATACACACATACAAACAAAGATACAAGTCTGTAGTATTTTAATCGCCATATCAATACAACACAGCAGATACCCTATCTGTAGGTATGTATGTATGTAAGTGGAAGGGAGGGTTGCAGTTGCCCCTAGCTAGCTAGCTAGATAGCTAGCTATCTTCTCGGGACTCAGTATCTTGTCTACTGGGTAGATAGTGTGTGCTGCTACTTGCATTGTCCGTGCGGTGATGCATGCATGCAGGTAGGTAGCCAGGTCGTATATATGTGGTGTGTCGGATGTGTTGTCTATTTTGGATTTGGCGTGTACTTGGCCCTGCTGTACTGTACTCTACTCTGTACTCTTTATGATGTGATATACATACTATCTGATAGTATGATAGGAGCACGAGTGATAGTGGCGTAAGTAGGGTATCTGTCATATCAGATGATATTGCAGTGATGACTGTATGGCGAGACAAAAGTACTATCGACTGGCTGCAGTGTGTTGGCACGTTACTGTAGGTTGAGGTGACATGTGTGGAGATGGTTGGATCTACACAGCAGTAGCCACAAAATACGGAGTAGAATCAGAGCATTAGGGGTGTGCTTACTAGCTTGCTGGCTTGTTCGGGGTTCAACCCCGAACTTTCATTGTACTCCGTAGTTATCACCGTATACACAGTATGGGTTTGAGATGTGGGTTGATGTGTCATATACAATATACTCCTCGGGTACTATATATTGATGAGAGGGTTGTCTCACTTGGACACTTTAATTGCTCATATAAGGTCTTCTGTCCCAAGGATATAAATTTGTGTTTATTTCTCTCGACTATGAATGAATAATATATTTATTGATAAACAATTTGCTTTTAGATTGGTGGTGGTTGAATTATGTGGATTGCTGACCACGATCGCACCGTCTGAGGCTATATTCATTGTCTAAGAATTCGAAAGACCTGGTTAGAATCAGTCCCTTATTAGCCTCCTGCATGGCAACAGTTTGATCTGTGCCTACTAATTTTGATCGCCTCGTGCTTCCATCAAGGTATGCTACAGACATGTTAAATACAAAGATTAAAGTCATGGTTCAGGTATCAACACCAATCAATTGCTGTGGCGCACTGGCGCTGCACTGCCAGTGATCTGTTCATGCTAGTATATCCTATCATACAGAAGTCACGCATCCGGTCGCTTTTAGATACAATAAAACTCAACAAACCAGAAATATCCGGGTGAATGAACAAATGCAATCATGCCAAGTCTCCATACCAATGTTCATTAATCACAACCTCAGTAGCGCTGAGGCATTCGGTGCACTACGTCCCTCCCTCCCTCAAGGATGACCCGTTCCGGGTTACTCCCATCATAGTATCGCTCCTCCCGGAGAGGACGAGTGGCAACATACACAGGCCGCTCAATGTATTCTCTTGGCTGCCGCGCACCGTCATCCACGTAGACACTCACATCGCGACCACCAGGGCGGACGCTCTCGACCCGCTGGATCACCTGTGGCTCTTCGTACCGGCTGGTTGGCGGGCGCACGCTCGGCATCCGGACAATCCGCTCCCGGGGTAGTTCAGCTTCCTCAACATAAGGCGGACGCCGAGTCCCGTATTCAGTCACCTGAACGCTGGCACTACGTGGGAACGCTCCCCGTTCGTCAAGAGCCGCGCCATATGGCCGCCGTTCACTCGGGGCCGGCCGAGCGTAGTCGGTGACTCGTCGATAGGCAGCTGGGGGAGGTGGCATGTCCTGCACGTACCTCCGACCCCCGTATGGGTCCTCCAGGACAGACGCCGCCCGCACGCTCGCATGGCGCAGCGCAGCACGGTCATCATAGACATCGCTTCTCGGTAGCCGGCTAGGGGGCGGAACTATGGGCTGCAGCCTACCGGGTAGCGTCTCATAGTATTGATTGCCATCCTCATCAATCACAATCCGACGCGGCGGCGGTGCCATCACCCGGGTCGCAGGCTCCTCTTCATAATAGGTCTCGTGAAGTCGTGGGGACGTGGGCGATTCCCCAACTGGAACATAGCGTCTTGTAGGAGGTGCGGCCAGCTCATCATAATACCTGATGCGCTCGGGTGGTGGACGCTCAACAATGGCGTACGACCCCGCTCGGATTGTCTGCGGACTGGCTTGGTCAACATATTCACGAGCGTACTCCGGTTGCCGAGCCTGATGCAAGCTCGCGACTCGGCGCAAGTCCTGATCATCCCGGATCGGGCGTCTAGCGCTGAGTCGGGAAACAGTCCGCGGAATCCCCGGTTCACCATGAGGCTCATACACCTCGTACTCATATGCCGGGTCTCTGACAGGCGCTTCTCTCCTTTCTAGTACAGGTGTATAGCGCGGGGAAGCAATGTCAATGTACACCGGTCTCTCCTGGGGTTGGCGGCTTCTGTAAGCTTGCGGAGTATCTGTGAACGGCGGCGGTGAGACAGGTTCCTCCTTGATGTAATCTTCAACATTGAGTGGTGCCTGCGCTCTAGTATACGATGGACGAGCCCGATCCCTCTCATCCAATCTCCTACGTTTCCTAGACGTCAATGGCTGAACGGGAGCCTCCGGGCTCGCGTGACGTTCCGGACCATAATCGGGACGCGAGTCTTTCACCTGGTGAACTGGAGGCACCTTGGCGATGGCTAGCGGGGAGACTCGGGACGGCTGCGGAGCGGCAGGCGACGTGATGTGGTTTCGCACGATCCGTACATCGCTGCCCGGCGACAGGGATCTTCGAGCGTGGCGGGGTCGCTCCGGCGCTCGACCTTCCGGCGCTCGACGTTTCGTCCCACCCGGGTATCCCCTCTGCAACCCATAATTATCATCCCTCTCCATAGGCGCCACCCCGGGAGCCGGCGGTGAATACTCGGGCTCTTCAAACGCATCGGTCGGCGGGTTGGCTTCGGGGAATTTGCGGGCGGCGACGTCCACCTCACCATGGTGCGGGTGCCTCTGGTCATAGGGTACTAGGTGGTCTGCCACGGGGTAAGTATCTTGCACATCCTGATCCGAACCAGTTTTGTTGAGGGCTTCAAGCCGTTGCAACTCATCTGAATAGTTCTCTGCGGGAGCTTCAGTAGCAAGTTCCTCGGAATTAGACTGAGGTGCCGGAGACTGCCTGGGTTGCTCGCCGTGCTGCGGGGAGTCTGGGGCTCTACTCGAGTAGAACGAATTCTCGTCAAAGGAATCACTGGGCTCTCCCGCACCAGGTGCATCGATTGACGGAGATGGGTTGACCATCTCAAAGGCCTTCACCAGCACATCGGAAACGTCAAAGTCCGGCTTTGCGTCCTGTAAAGCAGCCTTCTGCCTAAATTCCTGTCGCTTTTGATCCAACTGCTCCCGCAAGACTCGTTCCACCCTCTGCCGTTGCAGTTGTAGCTCTGCCCTGACTAGATCATCCGACTTGGTCAGAAATATGGGATCAATCTCCGAGGCAGGCTTAGGGAGTATACGCGAAGGCCCGGGCGCGCCGGAAGGAGCACTTCCGGCACTGGGAGCCTGCGAGTTCGCAGGTCTGGTTGCCGACGGAGCGGAAGGAGGGGGTTGAGTTTTCGGGGGAGACTTTAGTTGGTCACCCAGTTTTACCTGTGCTGGAGTAGAAGAAGCAGGGGGGATTCGAGATGCGGGCTTGCGCACAAACTGCTGGGGAACCTTCAATCTAGGGTGAGTTCCAGAAAAGATATCGTCACTTATTCTCAGAATCTTCTCATACTCCTGCACCTCCTCACTTGCAGGCAGCCGGGTAGATATACTACTGCCTGATGCTGGCGGGATTTGGGCTGTTGCCATGGTCTAAAATAGAAGATGATCCCGGAGACAATTAAGCTGGCCGAAAGAGTAGTTTCACACCAGGCACCAATAAGTCCGATGAGTTTCCTGCATCGGCTTTTCCTAGTTGTAGCACTTTAATCCAATTCACCGCCTCACTTGACTTGTCAGTGGAGACTAGGATGGGTGGCTAAGAAGGAGTGGTGGGTGGGAAGGTGTGGGAGGTGAGAGAGAGAGGGAGAGGGAGAGGTAGATTGGAGGATGGAGGGAGAGTGTGCGGGAAGACGTGGTAGAGTGTTTGCCGTTGCGGAGGAAAAGTGCAGCTTCGTTGAGGCGCGCCAGCCAGCCAGCTTGCTCGGCGCCGCTAGTCAGATTAGTCACTTCACGATCCCCTTCACGGGCAATCCTCCCCAGTCATGATTGGTGTGCGGCCTTGGTTGAGCCTGTAAGTATCTACTAGGAGCCATGCACTGGGTTCAGAATGGCCATCACCAAGTCACCCGACATAAAAAAGAAAAGGGAACGAGACGAGGTGACACCGACCCAAAGGAAGGAGAAAAAGAAACCAACGAATTGAGGCACACCGAGAGTGGAAATGCCGCGCCGGCTCCTCCCGCCCCTCGTCGGAGTCACTCTCTCGGATTCCCGGTTCTGCTGTGTATTTCCCCCCTCCGGCCAGTGGTCGCATAGACATCTGCTATGAATCATTCAATCCTGCGCTCCCTCCTGAGAGTATCATTAACTCCCGGAGCCTATTGCGCCAGACCTGCCGCTCCAATCCCTCTCCGGAACCCCTCGTCCTACCGCACGTCTCCATTCTCTCCGCATTACTGCAGTATATCCCGTCCTCGAAGAACAATGGCCACTTCCAGCTCTCCGGCCAGCGCGCCGCTGGACCCTCGACCAGTGTTCTTTTTCGACATCGACAACTGTGTATGTAGCCACATCACTCTCCACCTCGTTTGCCATTCGTCACTAACTGATGTGGTCCGCAGCTCTATTCCAGAGGTGGGAACCCCTGTGCCGAGGTATTAACCCCGAGGATACTGACCAACTCCATGTAGGGTGCAACATCCACGATGAGATGCAGACCTTGATAAGTGAGTCATCGCGATCGCGACCTGTTGTAGACATATGCGCTGACCCTGTTAACCCCCGTTCCAGACAAATTCTTCGTCAAGCACCTCTCCCTGAACGCCGATGACGCACACATGCTCCACATGAAGTACTACAAGGAGTACGGTCTCGCCATTGAAGGTCTCACGCGCCATCACAAGATCGATCCCCTTGAATTTAATCGCGAAGTCGACGATGCGCTGCCCCTGGATGACATCCTTAAACCGGACCCGAAACTGCGCAGGCTGCTCGAGGACATTGACCGGAGTAAGGTGCGGATGTGGCTTTTGACGAACGCATACGTGACCCATGCGAAACGGGTGGTGAAGTTGCTGCAGGTCGACGATTTGTTCGAGGGCATCACGTATTGTGATTATTCGCAATTGCCACTGGTTTGTAAACCAAGCCAGGTTATGTACGAGAGGGCGGAAAAGGAGGCGGGAGCTTCGAGCACGTCGGAGTGCTATTTTGTTGGTGAGTTCTTAGCCGACGTCCCTTTCCTCAATGTGCATCCATTATCCCGAAGCAAATGCTGATGAGTATTCAAGATGACTCGCATCTGAATTGTACCCATGCCGCGGACCGGGGCTGGGCCGTAGCTCATCTCGTCGAGCCCGGGCTGCCCCTGCCCCACGTCCCCGCCTCTCAATACATGATCCGAAGCCTGGAGGAGCTGAGGAATTGCTTCCCGCACCTGTTCAAAAGCAAGCAGGTTGCATAGAAAGATTATACCCTCTACTAGATAGATTCCTAGATGTGAACGGCCTCGTGTTTGAAGATGTCACGAAGACTATGAGCGACGTTACTTTATGCGGACATAGAGTTCATATAACGTTAACCTCGGGGTTGCATGTATTTAGTTATGAATTGCGCCTTTTGAACGAAAGTAATTCTAAAACTGCTGTATCATAAATACAGCCGATGCATTAGGGGCCAAAGGACAGATCATGGACGGGATATTCCAAACGATGATGATACAAGGGCCGTCAGAGAAGCCAGCTGCGGCTGCGAGAACTTCGGGTGCGTGGTGGATAAAGAGGGATCATCAGGTTACCCAGATGGGTCATTCAATTCCATCGTGGCCTCCTGGTATTGAGGATAGTGAAACCAGCCCGGAGCGAGTTGGAGACAGACCGGATCCAAGTAGGGCTACTTCGGTGCCTGTCTGCCTCAGGCCGGAATCAGCCGGGCGCAAATCGCATCCTGAGGCTCCGAACGGGGGAGCTTCCCCGACTGGCCCGTCAACAACATCCCAGGAATCCTCCCTCCCCTCCCGCACTCCAGGACAATTCGTGTCTGCGCAGGGGCTCTCTATCGGCCTGAATGATTCAATATGGCTGACCTATCACCCGGCCATGTGGTCACTTTGACTGACGGTCGGCAGGCCACCGTTCGGTTCGTTGGGACAACACATTTCGCTGTGGGCGAGTGGATTGGCATTGAATTGGATGATGCAACGGGCAAAAACGATGGCGCTGTTCAGGGAGAGCGATACTTTGACTGCGAGCCTGGATTTGGCATGTTCGTCCGACCAACTGCTATCGCCGCAGTCGTTGAGCAGCCCGCACGACCGGCCAAGCCAGCTGCTCCTAAGGGGAATACCAACCCGCCAGCCAACAGAAGTCGCGCCCAGAGTGGTGTTATGACGGGGAGTTCCGGTATCAAGCGGCCAACGTCTATGTCGGCGGCGAATACCAAGAGACATAGCGCTGGTGCTGCGAGTCCGACCGCGGCCCTGAGAAATGCCGCACAGCGCTTGTCAACAAAGGTATTGTTTATCCAATATGCCCCCGCTACATACAACAGCGCTGACAATTGTCGCACGATAGTCTCCTACAAAGTCGCCGACTAAACCAACCTCCGCCCCTCTCTCGAACAGATCTTCCGCAAGCAGCACACCCCGGCCGTCCGCGGTGACACCTAAGACTCGGCCATCCGTCAGCTCCAAGACTTCGATGGGCCCTCCACCGCCTCTGTCAGCCGCCCCTCGCACATCGCGGCCTTCGATATCTACCCCGACAAGCAGAGCAGGCAGACCGAGTATCCAGGCTACTGCGTCGGCGCCCTCGGGGTTGTCTAAGCGCCCCGTCCTGCGGCCAACGGGTTCAAACAGAACCTCGGAAGATACAGAAAGTGGAGCGAGCCCTCGATCGGAGGAATTTGAGACGAGTCCTCACGATGTCGAGGAACAAGTCTCCGAGGACGTGGACTTAGCTCCCAGGGCCCCAAGAGCTACACCAAGCTCAGTGCGAGCAGGGACCACCGGCCAACGACCGCAGCCAACTCCCTCGCATCGCCCGTCTTTGAGTGGGAATGGGGTGGCGAGGGAGCTTGAGGAACTGAAAACCAAACTGCGCGTGATGGAAAAGAAACGGACCGATGACCGAGAGAAGCTGAAGACCCTGGAACAACTGCAGTCGGAACGAGACAAGTTCGAAGCAATTATCCAAAAGTTGCAAGCGAAGTATCAGCCGCAGCAGCTCGAAATCACCGAGCTACGGAAAAAGTTGAAAGACTCAGAAGCGAGACTCGAGGAAGTCGAAAGACTCCAGGCGGAGCATGATTCGCTCATGGAAATGGCCACTCTGGACCGAGAAATGGCAGAAGAGACATCGGATGTCTACAAACATGAGTGCGAGACCTTGAGGTTGAGGGTTGAAGAGCTTGAACTGGAAGCCGAGGTTCTGCGAGAAGAGAACGAGGAGCTCGGTCAGGTCATGAGTCCTGAGGAGAAGTCGAGTCATGGATGGCTGCAGATGGAAAAGACAAATGAGCGTCTCCGAGAGGCGCTGATCCGTCTCCGTGACATGACCCAGCAGCAGGAATCGGAGCTCAGGGACCAAGTCAAAGAACTTCAGCAGGATCTGGAGGATTATGCTGCCATCAAATCGAAATACGAATCTACGAAAGAGAAATTGCTTGTCTCGGAGAATAATGTGGAAGAGCTCAAGCAGCAGCTGGAGACCGCACTGGGGGCCGAAGAAATGATCGAGGAGCTTGCAGACAAGAACATGCGGTATCAGGAGGATATCAACGAACTGAAGGCCGCGATCGAGGACTTGGAGGCTCTCAAAGAAATTAACGACGAACTTGAATATAATCACATAGAGACGGAGAAACAGCTGCAGGAGGAGATCGACTACCGGGAAGGCCTCTTCAACGAACAGAGCCGGAGGATCGCTCAGCAAGACGAAGTCATTGATGACCTGGAATACACTCTAGTCCGCTTTCGAGAGCTGGTCTCTAACCTGCAAGGCGACTTGGAGGACATGCGAGCATCACAACAGATTTCCGAAGCGGAGGCTACTGATCTCTCATCCCGCTCGCGGACCATGATGGATCTCAATCTGAAACTCCAGGCCTCTGTTGCGAAGGCGCAGACCAAGACAATCGATATCGAACTCAGCCGTATGGATGCAGAGGAAGCAGCACAGCACTTGTCCATCACAAAGTTGTATCTTCCCGAGTACTTTGAGAGCGAGCGAAATGCCGTTCTTGCGCTTCTCCGCTTCAAGCGCGTTAGCTTCAAGGCGACCTTGATGACCAACACTTTCCGTGAAAAGGTTTCAGAACAGGCATCTGTATCTACGCCTCTGGAGGATCTCTTCATTGCCCACGATGTCATGGAGAAGCTGTTATGGATTGCTTCTCTCTGCGACCGGTTTGTGAACTACATCACCAACTGCTCTGTAGAAGGATTTGAAAGCATCAAAGGAGCATTGATTGAGATGGAGCCGGTCGAGCGCACATTGAATTTCTGGTTGGAATGTTTGAAAAAGAACGAGGTGAACATGAAGAAGTGTTCTGTCGAATTGCAGCGATCCATCGCACTTCTATCTCATCTAGCCGAGACTCTTCTTCCAGCCTCCTTGGAAACTTTTGCCGATGAACTGTGCATGCGCTCAATGCTGGCCCATTCCTACATTGACCATGCTGCGTCCGCAATATCTCGTCTCAAGTCGTTGTTTCAGTCGAAACTTGCGGTTCCGGAAGGTGACGAGGAGCACACATTCTTGTACAACAAGATGGAAGGCCTCGTCTCTCAGGCTCGCGGCCTCAAGGTTGCAATGGGGAAAATCAACCGGGCTCTCGAGGACCTTCGCTCGAGATCCCTTGCACTCTCACAGGACGTTGTCGGACCATTCAAGCAGGCTGAAGAGGCCGCCAAGGACTTGTCTGATCTGACTCGCCAGATTGGAGAGAACATCGTCTTTCTTGTCATCGATGAAAGCCGCACGGAACCTCTGACTTTGGACGAAGTATTGAACACCATGTCTCAGATCTCCACCCTCTATGCTCAGCCTTCGGAGACGGGCAGCGAAAGTAGTGACACGATGTCTCTTATTGGAAACAGACTTCGCAGCTTGGGCGGTCTCCTAGAGGAGCTTGACTCTATCGCATCTGACTTGTCAATCACGACCGAATTCGAGAAACGCCCTTCTCCTTGGCTTGTCCGAGCCGAGGAGCTGAAGTCTAACAAGACAAACTCGCCTGATGCCGATGAAGAGATTCGCCGCCTTAAAAACGAGATTCACGAAGCATCGACCGCACTGGGCGTCAAGGATAAGACCATCGAGGAGCAAGCCATCAAGGTAGAGCTCGTCGAGTCTCGGATGCGTGAAGCAAGCAAAAAGGCATCTATGGTCAAGGATCTGGAAGCCGAGATCGAAAAAATACGAACGCGAGAGTCAGAGCTGGAGGGAACCGTGCACAAGCAGCGCAAGGACCTGGAAGCGCTCGAAGCGGAGCGAGACGACATCAAAAACCGACTCGAAAAAGTCAAACGCATTTCCGGCACAACTGGAGCCACAGCAACAGAAGGGGTTGTCGTCGACGTTGGCGTTTCACTGGCCACGATGCGGGAGAACGAAGCCCTCCGAGCCGAAGTCGAGAGCCTTCAAGCCGCTGTACGCTATCTCCGCGAAGAAAACCGCCGCGCCAACATGCTCGACCCATTCTCCGTGCAACGCTCCGCGGAGATGTACTCCTGGCTCGACGTACCTCTCACCGAAGCCCACGCAATCCCCCAGCAAGAAAAGATCCAATATACCGCCTCCGAAAGCCGCGAAGTCTTCACCCATCTCCTAAAGCTAACCAAAGACTCCAACATCTGCGATCTCAAATCCACCATGACGACCCAAGAAAACGGCAACCGCGTCGGCTGGCGACCCTCCAAGACCAAACTCCGCTACCAGGTCCTCAAACAACGAGAGAACTTCGAACGCTGGGCCGAGTGGCGCGACGAGATCATCAGCCACGAACGCGAACAAGACCGAGTCGCCACCGCCAAAAAAGAACGACTGACTCGTGCCCGCGCTCGCGGCCATATGCCGCGCAATTCCGCCTACGGTGCTGATTTCCCCCTGGGCGTGGGCCATAGTATGATGGGTCGGGCATGGCAGATCATCGGAATGGAGCATGAGGGCCGTAAAGCCGCTGCTGATCGTCCGATCGAACCGTCGTTGGCGCCGTCGTTCTAAGCCCATCAAGCTTGTAGCCGACAAGCAGCAGCAACAACAAACAAGTATATGTGTGATTTGTGTATGGATCTGGACATAGAACCAGGGGGGGATGAATGACTACATCAGATGCCTTTTCGTTGTCTTTGAATTGATTGCATTTGATTGATACCTATTTTGCTATACGGAGGAGTACCAATATCAGCCCTATTTTCATTTTGTTATTCATCTTCAATTCTCTCAAGTGCATTATACATTTTGTTCCTTGCTATGTACTTGGATGTAAATAGTGATAACTATCTAATGTAAATGTCTACCGTGAAAATAAATCAATCAACCGCTCAATGAAAGCCCCCCCAATACGGGTGGGCAACAGACAGATGCAATGAGGGAAAAAACAGGGCAAATTAGAACAATGATATGATAATGTACAGCTCCACGCCCAGGCTGCTAGCATAGCTAATGAAACAACAACAACAAAAACAAAGACCTTCGTTGATTACCGTTGGGGAGGAACATGCATCTCGAAGTGAGGTTGAGGAGGTGGAAGGAAGGAGTGGATGAAGATGATGGTGTAATCGTCATGGATGTCATGGACAGAGTTGGGAGTAGAGGGTAGGGTGATTTTAATCATGTCAAGTGGGGGAGGACTATCTCGCTGATTGCGTCGGTTGTTGGATCTGTCCTTCGCGAGGAGCAGCGTGTAACTTGAGTGGAGCCCCAAGGCGACCAATTTAGAGGTTACCGGCGAGAATAGCTTCGGTGGCTGCAGAGAATCATCATGTCAGTAACGGTACTTTAGACAGTGCTTTGTTTGCGCAGTTCTTACCTGAGTTGATGTAGGGACGCTTAGCGTCAAGGGCGACACCGAAGCGCCTCTCTAGCTCCAGCTTGATGCTCTTCTTGGTCACCGTCATCAAGTCTGCGGTCCGAAGGATTTCACGGATCTCCGACAAAATGGCATCGTCAGTGGGCAGATGGGACAGATCCTCCATCTCCATCTCCATATTCCGGCTCATCATGTCCGAAGGAGCCAAGGACAGGCGGGATGAATAACGGGGGAGGTTGAACTGGGACACTGGTCTCGAAGCGGGGAATCCGTACTCCGATTGCATCGGGTGATAGGACTTGGTGCCGTAAGAGAAGCCAGAAACTTCCGAACGATCGTCTCGCGAAGTCTGGGCCTCCCAAAGTTCCGCCTGGTACTCATCCCACGTCTTCTTAGGGATGGATGCCGGATCGAACTTGCCTTCATCGGAAATAATGACCTTGCGACCTGCTTCTCCGGTGATAACACGTGTGTTTCCCCAGGAGAAATCGTCCATATGCCAGAATGAGTACAAGGGGAGGGCCAGAGAAGAGATGGGGATACCCAGGATGTAGATGATCATCCATCCGATCATGTCCCACTTCCGCCGGAAGAGGAAGATGAGTGCCTGCAGACCGTAGATTGCGGCCAGAAGCACGAACGCGGTCCACGGAATCGTTGACGTGTCGTGGATGAGCCAGTAGATCAAGTAGACAATGTAAGCGACCGTCACAGGCTGAATAACAGTACTGATAAGATCCACAAACACAATAAAGCGCATACTAAAGCAACAGAAACCGCAAAGCTGTTCCAACGGTATCAGTTCGATTAGATTGTGGACAGTGGAATTAATCCACCGACGACGTTGCGATAGGAACACGGCGAAACTTTCCGGGGCAATGGTGAACGCTTTAGCGGCTGCGATGTACTTGGTCTTGAATTTGGGATGGTGCTTGAGTAGCAGGGTAGTCAGATAACGATCTTCACCTAGGTGCAGCAAGTTCTTCATGTGAAGGGTGTCGACACGAATTTCCGAGTAGGCCTCGATGATCTCTTTGCTGACGAACAGAGGCTTTCCGCTCTCGGCAGAGCGGATGCGATACATGGTGAAACAGCCCGGCAAACAGGTGATTGACCCGAAGAGATTCTCGAAAGCCTTGATGAGATTGTGGGAGATATAGTATTCGTAGACTTGGATCATGGTCACCGCCGACGTTTTGGCGTTCGAAAGGGCGGTTTCGCCACAGAGTCCCAGGATGCGAGTATCGGCCAGCAGAGTTGACACCATCCGTGTCGCTGCATCAGGAGCGACCACTGTATCGGCATCGACCTGTAGAATGAACTCGTAGAAAGTAGGATTGACACCGATGATGTTGCGGATTTGGTGATACATCTCCAGTTCCATAGGGCTCATGGGGTAGTTGTAATGGACACGGTTGAGGAACCGCATGAGGACCATCTGAGAATCACGCTTTCCTCTGTTACCGGGGCGAGCGACCTCGGAGGGCTTGCCAACCTTGACCACCACCATGAAAGGAACGATATGACCTTGGACCTCATACAGACCCGAGTAGATCTTACCCATGTTGTGCTGTTTCATGCCCTCGCCCAAACTCTCAAAGCTCAACGGCTCAGGGTCAACCGATTCCGGCACACCGAGAATATCCAAGACAATTCTTGGGGTGGGACGATCGTTTCCTTGTCCGATAATCATACCATCACAGATAACCACAAGCAACTTGCGCTTGTCATCATAGCGCATGCGAGCCATCGAGTCAATAGCACGACGAAGAGAATCCTCGTCCTCGGTGTAGGCCGGGACTTGGCAAATGATGAATTTGTCAAGGTTCTCTGGCAGGTTCTTCTTCGAGAATTGCAGGGCCGCAAGGAATTTGACGACGACAATCAGACAGATAAAGATTGAGATCGCAAGGATGAAGTAACGGGCAAACAGACACCGGGGCGAGTTACGCGTATCCACATGGCCGACAAAGAAGAGATTGTCCAAGCATAGTTGCATACGTTCGCGCATCACGGTGTCAATTTGCAGATCTTCCCAGTATCGCGTCAGGTCCTGGCCCGGAAGTCGTTGAAAGAGTTCCACAACCAGATCATCCATGAAGTCCCGATCGACATTAGTAGGGACCGATTGCCCAACAGGAGCTTGCACTCTCCTGCCTCCAGCTATATATGTGGTCAGGTCATATACTCTCCCATTGATACTTCCGATATATTGTGACTTATCCCCCAACTGGGTCAGATACTTCGGAGTGTAGCCGACCCATCCCTTGAAATAATTCGCTTTGAGCATGATCATCTGCTCCTGGAACCAGTCAGGGCGGGATTCGTTAGTGAAATAGCGGAAGTCATGGTAGACCCAGTTGGTATCGGACGTGCTAACGGTGGTGGCGGACCCGGAGATGTTGGTCGATTTGTAGTCCAGAAGCACCGTGGGATCAATCGATCCGTCTTTGCCTGGGCAAAGAGCGGAAACCTGCACTGGAAAGAGACCGGTGGCATCAGTGCCAGCATATCTCTTGAGCGACGACTCCGGCACGATATCGGGGTAGTGCGAAGGCATGAATTTGCCGAGATTAAAGACGATACCGCGAATGGCAACGTAGGAACTATGGCCATCCTTGCCATTATGTGAGCTCAGCTCGCCCGAGGAATAGACATGCTGTGTGGGACAAATCAAGCCGGGGAATGCGACAATAAAAAAGATAGCAAAAGCACAACTGAACCAGATGATCAGGTTGATCGCAAGCTTCTCACGCCAGGCGATTCGGACATCTTTGCGCGGCATGCGTCCGCACGTCTTGATCAAGAAATCCGGAATGAAGAACGTGAGCAGATAGACAATCGCCATCCAGCGTTTGCGACTACCAGAAACAGGCGCCTCGTCCACCTCCTCCATCTTCTTTTCATTGCCCTTTTCCAGCATCTGTTCTCGTGTATCCAGATTGCGGAACATGTCGCCCGAATTGAACGCCGAGGCACCGGCCTCTGAGCGTCCGTCGAACTCACGGCTGCTGGAATATCCTTGTTTGCCTTCCTCGCCGTAGATGAAGCCACCAGGGGATTGGTCGGTTGGGCCAAGAAGTCGGACTTTTGAATCCGTGTAGCCTGCAGCCCGCGGATGAAGTAGACCATCGCCTCCTTCATCAGAGCCATCCGCAGCATAGACAGGGACAACACGCTCGCCTAGCTTGGCGAGATCGGCCCAGCAGCGCTCGCTGAGAAAGACACCTGTGCTGCCTACCCTGGCTTCATTTCCTGGCCAGCGTTTTTCGTCCAAGACAACCTCCGACTTCTCTCTGTCGCTCCCTACCACAACGTTGCCGATCTCAGCCAGACCCAGAAACTCAGCAAACGGGAGGAAGATGCTGAAATCGGCATTTCTGAGCCGTTGACTGATCTCAGCGATGCCCAGGGTTTGCACCTGTGCTCGCACGCATTTGCTGTCAAATTGGTTCGCAATCCGGCGATCGTTGGGCTTGAGGCAGAACACAAAGTAAGGATTCAGATTGGGGGAGCCTAAGCATTTGCTTACAATGTCCAACGAGGAGAGGAACTGGCCAGCGGCACCTTGAATGCCGCTAGCCATCATTGTATTCTTCCGCCTCCCTGAACTTTTTGTCGTGCTCCCTGCTTGACTCTCGTATTCGTCTTGATCATCTGCCCCAGGCGCATCAAAAGCTAGCCGGGATGGCCCAGACTTTCGTCTAGCCATGCTGGGCATTCGCATGGGCTTGGAGCTTACTTGCGCCTGCATGATGGCGGTCTTCTCCTGAGGATGGGTCACTGTTTGCAAAGCTTCCTGCCCGAACAGCTCGCGCACGAAGTCGCTACTCGTGGACCTCATGAGGTTCATTAGGTCCCCGGAGATAACGTCGCCGTTCTCCTCTATCAAACCATTCGCAGGATAATCGATCTCACCAGCGAAATGTTTCACAGTAAACGAGGACCGAGCACCCTGGGAGATCAGGGAGGTTCCTTGGCCTGCACCGCCAACAGTAATGGCGGGGTTCTTATTCTCGAATCGTTTCTTAACGGACTCGAGGAATTGAGAGTCAGTCCGTCCACGCCTCGTCTGATCATCGAGGATGCTGAGCAGGCCATTTCCAGATTTCAAGAGACCACGAACGGCGTCACTGTTGTCAAAGTAGCTTGTTGCAGGGACAGAAACTTCTTCACGTTCCAGCATCTCAGCTTTCCGATCGAAGAATGACTGTAAGCAGAAATTGTACAGGGACTCCGTGGCCGCATTGCTTAGGAGCTGGTCCAACGTTGAGCCAGTGGCACTGGTCTGAGAGAATCCTGGAAAGTCAACGATAGAGACGGTGTTGGCTACACTATCTTCAGCCGCACAAATTCTCTGATTGATACCCTCAATAATATAGGCCACCAGGAGGGAATACAGAGTGCGAGCAAGCTCGTCAGCGTTCTGCCGTGCGCCCTTCGGATCGAGCATAACCGTCACCCGTTCCCGGTGAATCGTCTTTGTCCGATACCCGAAACTGGCCTCAAGTTGCTCAACCCCCAAGCCCAAGAAGGCAGCGATGATGGAAAGAACATCCTTATTCTTGACGACGGTAACCAACTCGCCACCCTCATGGGAAAAACCTCCGGATTCTTCCGCCGAGGTAGTAGTGGCTTGGCCACTAATAAAGTCCAGTTGACCAAGGTGAAGAATGGTAGCCAGGACCTGACAAAGTTCGGCTATCTCACTGCGCGGGAATTCGAGTTTCCTAAGCGCAGTCTTGAAATGCTGGAAACCATCGGCATCGTTGATGCCAACCTTGAGTTGAGTCGGGTGGCCTAGGTATCTCCATCTCTTATGGCCTATCGAGGCCGATGAAAGCTTACCGCCAGCGGTTGATACGTGGATTGAGTTGTCGAAGCCCAGGTGCTGTTTCTCTGCAGCGCTCGTGCCGGCTAGAAGGTAGTAGAGCACGTGGAAGCTTCGCTCTCCTGTAGGCACAGACGCGATGCGACTGCGCTCCAGTCTGTGGTCGATGATCTTACCACCGATCAAGGTGGGGTTGACAGAGGATGACCCATCATATTGTAGCTCCAGGAACAGCCCAGCCTTAGATGCAGTCGGTGTGGTCACCGACTTGGTCGTGGTCAAGGTGTCGAAGACGAATGCAGCATATGATAGCTTCGAAGACAACGGGGTAGAGGAGAAGGAGAGAAAGGAGGACAACAGGTGTGAACGAATGGTGGTCTTTCCAGACCCGCTTTCACCACTGGAGATGGGATTAGCGACTGGTGCGATGGTTGCTCAAGCACGTACTTACAGAAACACGACAGCCTGGTTTTCTCCACGGGCACCTAGGCGAGTAAAGGCACGTCTAGCGAGGTCCTCCGCCTCTCCCATGGCACTGCCTTCCTTGTCGCCATCAGGACCTCGGGCTGACGACGTATAGGTGTTAAGGCTGATCAATGCCTGGGAGGACAGGCGGGCTGTCGGTAAGCCCACATGGAAGCTTGAGAACCGCCGTCAGCGAGCTGTCTTCAACACGTCATGCAGGAGGGATCATACCGGCTGGCAAGGTGTGCGGTCAAGTGGGTGTCTGATTGTAGATGGGAAGGTAGCGACGGTAGTGAGGACTGGGCATGTGACGGCGTGCGTCCGGACGACGGAGCAGTTCCAGCCATGTTGCCAGTGAGGTTGGAACCTCGAGATTGCTGTCTTGGGAGATGTCAGGCTTTCACCAGATAACCGCAATGACAGCTGCAACAAGATCTGGAGGAACGGTGGCCGGTAGGAAGCCAGATGTCGTCTCGACCCCGATGGATCGCTGGAGGTATGCTTGGCCGGGGGTGGGTTATTTTGGGATCAAGAATGCTCAATTATCTTGGACGGGAAATTCCTAGCAATCAAGGGAAGATAAGTACATTGCTCGCATCGATGGCAAATGCTAGCCGATCACAGGATCATTGGACGATCGGTAAATATCCAAATGTTAATCGTGGTAAATAGGAATGGGAATCGCCCGCTGACCGAGAAGCGAGCGAAAGGCAGCGCAGAGCAGAGCAGGAGTGGCGCGATTCGGCCAAACGATCGTATATAGGCTTTCCCGGTGGATCAAACGAGCGTTGCTCAACGGCTGTTGGGATTGAAATCCAGAAGTCAGGCCGAAGAACAGGACGAAGAAGGAAACCGAAATGTGATGCTCACGACGAGCCCCCGAGCGACTGAGCAGAGATGATAGTGGAAGCTGTCCGGGGTCGAGCCGGCGACAATAATATGGCTAGGTAATGGACTACTGTTGATAAAGGGAAAAACTTCAGACTTGGGCTGTGGTTGGCCTAGTCGCGCGTCCCGAGCCAGCGCTAGCCAGTCACTATGTTGCCCGACTGGGTAAGTCCGTAAGGAACTGGTACGGGCAGCGGGGGGAAAGAGGGGTCTTGCAAATTACTAGTGGTCCCGTATTGCGGGCGTACGGGACGATGCGTTGGGGATGGTGTCGGTGACGGAGAAATTCCTCTCATCCTCAGAGTCAGAATCTTTATCCCCGGGTGGCCAGAGACGAGGCAGAGACATGTAGCTAAATTAAAAGTCTAGCCCGGTGCTTGTTTTGCCCACGCCGCCGCCCTCCCGTGCCTCCTGCCTCCCCTCCTGAGATGGGGATTATTTTTGGGATGCTGCATCCTGCGCTGACAGCCGAAGACCCGCGGATCCTCAGCCGGTGGGGATGGCTGAACCGGTCGGTCGAACCGTCCCTGATTCTTTTGCCTGGTTACTCCTTAGGTAACTAAGGTAAGACCCGAGCCAGTCAATAATGAGGAACTCTGTTTAGATTAATCCCACTGGATAGGAGGACGGCAGGGAGGGCACAACTTGTCAACCCTCGAGCTGAAACCACCCCCATTATTATGACAAAATTACTCCTCGGGGGTCTCAGATAGACAAAGCAATAACACTGTTACTCGGTGGAAGATAATGTGAGACGAGGCCTCCCGCCCGCCCCAATGTCCTGGCGACGGATTCAATCTGATGCCAATCATTCAGCGCCACCTGCAGGAAAAGGGGCTGGTCCCCTGCCCTCCCTTTGACAGCAACCACCTCTTTGTGACCGACAGGAACCGGGGGCCAGGCGGCCTCAATATATGCACGAAGAGCTGCAGTGTGTCGCGAGTGGGATGTTACGAGTCAGAAGTCGGTTGACGATCTGCGGTCAATATCTAATAGATGAGACGCCGTGGGAATCGAGGGCGGAGACTTGACTATTTGGGAGGAGAACTGAGAAGAAGTTCCCTCGGTCGGAAGATCGTGAGCCAAGAGGACCCTGAGGGGCCCGGGAAAACATAAACGCAGTAGGCTATAGGCTAAGTTGTCGGTCGGGGTGGACCGATTGGATCATTCGATCGGTTGACCAAAACAGTCAAGTCTGAAACTAGGGGGGTTCTTGGTCTGGTGGGCGGCAAAGCTTTGCTGCGTACGGAGTGGAACGGGTAGAACACGGTGGAAGGAAGGGCAGCAATAGTAGCAACTAGCAACCATCCCGCGTAATCATCTCATCTTGTTCAGATGGAATGGGCGAAACGTGAGATGTCCCAGTCCCCGTTGAGGCTGTCCAGTGTGGGCTGGCAGGCTTGCGTACTGTGTCGACGGTAGAGTTTCCCTTCATACCAAATCGCACATACCACCCGTCACCTCCTCCGTATTGGGGAGTCGGTCTTTATCAGTATCAGCATCATACAACCACCTTGCCTATCTAGTGAACGGACTACCGACCTAGACTGTGACACGGCGGGTATTATTGATGCTGCAGACCAAAACAATGGCCAGGTTTCTCGGAGGGGCCGTTCCTTGCGAACAAAAATAACCACAGTAAGGCGACCAGCCGGCACTGAGCGCGCCATCGTGGATCATGCTGATGCATGACCTTTCCATAACAGCATATGACAGCTACCCCTCCACGCTGCTGAATCCAGAAATAGAAGACAAAGAACGGGCCCGGTGATGATGCTGGCAAGTCGATAAGGTGGTGGCAAGTTGGTCAACCGCCATTGGCCTTGAGTGAGACATTCAATGCTGTCCTGTCGGGTAGATCCAGTCGCACTGGCTACGCTCGTCGGAGGGAAGCCCGCTAGTACGTACCGTATCGCCGGATACGCAGTAAGTACCGCTTGCTGAGCCTGGTATGGAGCCCCAGGGTGGGTGAGACAAAGTGTGCCATTTATAGGGCCCTTAAGGGTCTAGGGCCATGGATCTGACCCTTTTTCACCCCCCGATTGGTCCGCCGTAAAGTACTGCTGCACGCCACATGACATCCCAGGGAGGCTGATGCTCGCGGGAAATTTTCAATACGACGGAGACCGATTTGTTACTTACACAACGGATGGGCGCCGCTACAATTCTTTTTCTCCCTCGAAGGCATCGTAGCTTTTCTCCGAGCATGATCGTAAAAGCGAGTGAGGGGGAGGCGAAACGGTGTCCTCTTCGGGAGACTCCCTAGTCTAGGTGCTAAAATACCTATTTCCTGCGCTTCCCTACTTAGAGTTAGCTAGCGGGTGGCTAGCATCAACCATAGTGCTTTTCGCTCGGTTCCCATTGCAATTGCAAGGCTCCTGGGGCCAGGATTACCAATGAGAGCCCGGGCGACGGGACAGAAATCAATCGAAACGCAGGGCACTCACTTGCTGCAGAAGTAATTTTCATACCGCCGTACGTAGCTATCCTAATGGAGTCAAGCGGTTGGCTGTAAACTAAACCCAGAGGTACCATACAACAACAAATCGGGGTCGGCGGCCTCGCATCACTCACTACTCGCTCTTCTCTTTCTGCTCTCTGTTGCTCGGGCTTCTGTCGCTTGCGTTCCCCTCTCGCTGCTGCTGCTGCTGCTTCTTGTTCATTGTTTTCCATTTCTGTCCACCTCCGCTGTGATTCTTGGGTCTCCTCTTTGCCGCATTCTTCTGTTCCGTTGCTGTTTTTCATCATAATCTTAATAATTTGCAGTCCTCGTATGGCAACATTCGCTACGGTCCATCGCCCCTAACGTTCGCTCCCCAAAGATACGAATCGCCTGGTCTCGTGCAAACGCCTGTGATTTCCTTTGATCTTCGACTTGGTGTCGCCCAGAGCTTGTGCATTGCAAATTTTCGACCATTCTCGTCGTTTGGACCTATTCACATGCGTCAATCGCCGACCATCCAGTGAAGCTTGGAGAATCCATGCTTTAATCAGCGGTCATACCTCTACGCTCGTTGAAATCTGGTTATAGGAGCGACCACCAGATTGGCACTGCGCCTTACCATCGTTATATCAAGTGCTGTGCAACGAGGCAATCGCCATGTCGAATCGCTTCTCCGTCTACTCCAGCCATTCCACTGGTTTGTCGTCATCTCGTCCAGGTGCCCAGTCGCCTAGTCCAGTGACGACGACAACCCTGCTGAATGCGCTGCACGCCCATTACACCTCAGGACAACCCTATCAACTGGATGCAGGGACGAGCGTCGTGGTCAACACCTGGGTCACTGCTGCCCGGGCCACATCTACCGGTCAGGATGGAGGTACGATAGATCGGGACTTGGGACTTAGAGCTTGGGAGCATGCGCGAAGGAGAGCAGAAGATGGATGTATTGTGCTGTGGTAAGCATCAAGCCCTGTGAGGTGGTAATTCGGAAGACAGCCAGCTAACCCTTGTAGCTCAACCCATCAATCAACCCCATCCTTGCTCGAACCCTTCTTGGCCGCGTTACCTCTCACCTCCCCGAGTATGACATTTACCGCACTTACGGCCCTCCGACCTTTCCTGTCCGCTGTAACATCATTCAACCCTTCCTACTCTCTGTACTCTGCCCTTTCCGCTCGCTACTCCTTGAACTTGAAAGGCGATATCGTAGGGCTCTCGTTCGCGTTGTCCACGTCTGGGATCAATGTGCGCAAGGGCCTTCTGGATATCCCTTCCGAACCTGGTTATCGTGCATTTGACGTGTTCTACTATCTTCTAGCTTCGATATCGACCCCGGCAGAACGGGAATTTCTCAATCTAAAGGATGCCTCGTCGTATGCTTTGCTGAACAAGTCCGGCACTTATGCGCCCCCGTCATATCTCCCCACCGCGGACGATGCTGCTGCCGCGGAGGACTTCCGCGCCGCGCTCAAGTCGATTGGCATCAAAGGAGCTGCTCAGCGTGGCCTCCTGTCGACCCTTGCCGGGCTGCTCAAGCTTGGGAATGCAACCGGCTTTCTAGTCGACCAAGAAGATCTTGAGCAGGCCTGCGATGAAGTTGGTGGTCTGCTCGGGTTGGATCCGGAAGTCCTGCTTCATGGTTGCTCCACTGATGACCGAGAGGTGTTGATTTCGGGGATCTACGAGGCCCTGGTCGACTGGGTAATCAGCAAAGCCAACGAGGCCATCTCCAGCGAGCTGCAAGCGATGCTTGACCACGACCCCAGCACCAGTGGCGGCTCTGGCCCAGGCGGTCAGTGGACTGACGAGGACACGGTGAGCATCACTGTGGTGGATATCCCCAGACCTGCGTTGGGCAAGGCCGTGGCGCTCCGGGAAGTCTTCGATGACAGTGTTGGTATCAACGCCGAGATGAAGGAGGACGGCATCACGGTCCCGGCTGTTGGACATGTGATTACGAACGACGTGTCCTCGGCGGTGGCGCAGGTCGAGGCTGACCTCGGAATCACTACGGGCTCTGCCTGGCACGAACGAGAGTATGACCTGGGAAAACGGCAGGAGGTCTTGGAAAAGGTTGGGCTTGAGGTCGACATGGACTCGTTTCTCCGGAACCTCCTTTTCCCCGTGGAAGCTGAAGGCATCACTGTTGGAAAACGAGGCCGCTTTGATCTCCCCACCACGTTGGGTAGTAGCCGAATTTGGCACCATCTCTCCGTCCATCCCACTGATGATCTGCCCGCGACGCTCAACACTCTCGCGCCGACGGGCACTTGGTCCGCAGGAGCCGTGTCCCGTCAACTGCGGGAATGGAGACTGGCCGAATGGGCCAACCGCCGTCTCAAGCAGCTCGACTACACCGCCGATTTCGATCTCGATGAGTTCATCGGCCGTTACTGCCGCCTTGGATGCGCCGAGGGCCGGGATGGGGTGGAAAGCTGGCTGCTGGAAAGGGGCTGGACCAACGGAGATGCCTTCGTGGGTCACCAGCGAATTTGGATGCGCGAGAACGCATGGTGGGAAGCTGAAACGATGCTTGATCTCAAACCAGACGAGCCAGCAGCGGCGAATCCATTCCTCTACGGAAATAGCATGCTTGACGCTGGCTTGCCGCACTATGCCACCACTCCCATGGCCGAGTCCACCAGCCTTCTCGGCAGTCGCGACAACCTCTTAAACCGACAGAGCACCTTGGCCCCCAGTCTCCATGGCGTTGCCAAATCGGTCGCGCCCAGTGTTCCTCAAACTCTTAGCATGGGTGGAGATTATGGCTTGGGCGCCAAGGGCGATACCCGGAAGTGGGACAACTATGATGACTATGCTCACTATAACAACGGTGAACTGGACCCCGAAGTTGGCAACCCCAAGCACATTGAAAAGAAGACCATTACCCAGGGCCGGCGCATTTGGGTCGCGATCGTGTGGGCCTTGACCTTCTGGATTCCGTCTTTTGCTCTTCGCTGGATTGGCCGGATGAAGCGTCCTGATGTCCGGATGGCCTGGCGAGAGAAGTTTGTTCTGGTTGCAATCATCCTCCTCTTCAACGGGATTGTTTGCTTCTACATTATTGCGTTTGGTGACCTGCTTTGTCCGAACAAGGACAAAGTATGGAACGAAAAAGAACTCAGTTGGCATGCTACCAACAACGATTTCTACGTCAGTATCCACGGAAACGTTTACGATATTACCAAGTTCTGGAGGCTTCAGCACAGTGACTCGTCTATCGAAACGACGACGACTAACATGAAGCCGTTTGCCGGTGAGATCCTGGATGCGTACTTCCCTCCTCCCTTGACCATTTTCTGCGCGCCCTACGTGACGGCGGAGTCGGTCACCCTTCAATACAACGACACCAACGCACTCTTGTATCCGAATGCGGAGCATGATTGCGGGCCGTATCACACCCCCAGTACCACTACCAAGCTGCACAACATCACTTGGTATCAGGACGTTTACCTGCCGAGCATCAAGACATACTACAAGGGAAACCTGGTTTGGACGAAGAGTACCGTGAAAAAACAAGCGGAGGAAAGCTCGCGATACTGGGTTATTGTGCATGATAAAATCTATGATCTCACGGACTACTTCTATACTGCCGACCTCTTTGATGGTGACGACACTTACTCCTTCCTGCCCACCAGCGTGACCGATCTGTTCAAGACTTATGCGGGGGAGGACGTTACGTCCAAGTGGAAAAACACGACGGACTTCCAGCAGTCGCAGATGTGTCTCGACTACGTCTTTTACAAGGGCAAGGTCGATTTCCGTGACAGCCCTCGGTGCACGGTCAACAACTGGATTCTTCTGACGTTCACCGTTCTCATCTGCGCGGTTATCTTGGTCAAATTCGTCTCTGCCCTTCAGCTGGGTGCCAAGCGGCGCCCTTCGCCGCAGGATAAGTTCGTCATTTGCCAGGTGCCCGCCTACACGGAAGGTGAGGATGCGCTGCGCCAAGGTCTGGACTCCCTCACGGCACTTCAGTACGATAACAAGCGCAAGCTCATCTTTGTGATCTGTGATGGTATGATTGTGGGTGGTGGTAATGATCGCCCGACGCCCAAAATCGTTCTGGATATTCTGGGAGTTGATCCCAAGGTCGACCCGCCGGCGTTGCCGTGCAAATCGATTGGCCAAGGTAGCGAGCAGCTCAACTACGGCAAGGTGTATTCTGGCCTCTATGAGTACGAGGGCAACGTGGTCCCGTATATTGTCGTCGTCAAGGTTGGCAAGGAGTCGGAGCAGAGTCGGCCCAAGCCTGGTAACCGGGGCAAGCGTGACTCGCAGATCATGATGATGCAATTCCTCAACCGGGTGCACCACCGCTCGCCCATGTCGCCCTTGGAGCTGGAGATCTTCCACCAGATCAACAATGTCATCGGTGTGGACCCTGAGCTCTACGAGTATGTGCTGATGGTGGATGCGGATACCAGTGTCCGCGAAGACTCGCTCAACCGTCTAGTCGCTGCCTGTGCCAATGATGCCCGCATTGCAGGAATCTGCGGTGAAACCAGTCTGCAGAACGAAGAGCAGAGTTGGTGGACGATGATTCAGGTGTACGAGTACTATATTTCGCATCATTTGGCCAAGGCATTCGAGTCGCTCTTCGGCAGTGTCACCTGTCTTCCGGGATGGTAAGTTCGCCCTCTCGCCTTTTCCGTGGCCTGACTAACGACGCAGTTTTTGCATGTATCGGTTACGGACGGCCGACAAGGGCAAGCCTCTGATCATTTCGGACAAGGTCATTGAGGAATACTCGGACAACGACGTGGACACGCTGCACAAGAAGAACCTGCTGTCACTGGGTGAGGATCGTTTCTTGACCACGCTGATGACAAAACACTTCCCCGAGATGTCGTATAAGTTCATCCCAGACGCTTTTGCCAGTACGGCCGCGCCCGAAACCTGGTCGGTGCTGCTGTCGCAGCGTCGGCGTTGGATCAACTCGACGGTACATAACCTGGTGGAGGTGGCCGCGCTGAAGGACATGTGTGGATTCTGCTTGTTCAGCATGCGCTTCGTCGTGCTCGTGGATCTGATTGGAACGGTCATCCTCCCGGCGACCTGCGTCTACCTGGGCTACCTGATCTACCGCGTTGCCAGCCACACCGGGCCGTTCCCACTGATTTCGATCATTATCCTGGCGGGTGTGTATGGTCTCCAGGCGATTATCTTCCTGCTCAAACGGCAGTGGCAGCATATCGGCTGGATGATCATCTACATCTGTGCGTATCCGATCTACAACTTTGTCCTGCCGCTGTATTCGTTCTGGAAGCAGGATGACTTCAGTTGGGGTAGCACGCGTATCGTCATCGGAGAGCAGGGCAACAAGCGGGTCGTGGCGGTGGACGACGAGGGCTTCGACCCACGCAGTGTGCCGCTGCAGCGCTGGGACGACTACGCCATGGCCAACAACCTCCCGGGGCGGCGCGGCGATTACGGCATGAACCCGGAGAAGATGTACGCCGGGCGGTATGACGAGATGGCGCTGGAGATGGACGACATGCACTCGAACTACTCGTCGGTGAAGCCGGCGTCGACGATCCTGACGGGCTTTCCGCACCACCAGGGCCGCCACGGCAGCCCGTACATGCCACCGCAGTCACCGGCGCCGTTTGCCAACACGCCGGGCAACCGGAACTCGCACATGTCGAGCTTTACGCGGTACACGGATCAGCCGCTGGCGGGCGGGCACACGACGTCGCGCCACATGTCGCTGGGCAACCTGAGCCATGTGCCGGACGGGATGACCAACCGACACAGCGTGGGGTTGATGCAGAGCACCGACAACCTGCTGGGACGGCCTAACTCCCGCAGCCCCGTGGGCGGACTGTCGCGGCCGGTGAGTGCGTTTGACTTCCGGGGAAGCGGAGGGCCGGACGAGGGAGCCATCACGGAGGCGATCCGGGCGTGTTTGGGAGAGGTTGATCTAGACACGGTGACGAAAAAGCAGGGTACGTCTATATTCCATTGATTTGTGTGATTACAGCAGCTAACGGAAACAGTGCGAGCATTGGTGGAGCAGCGACTACAGACGACGTTGACCGGGGACAAGCGGGCGTTCCTGGACCGGCAGATTGACCACGAGCTGGCCAATATGTGATGTAATTGATAGATACATAGTATGTTTCGGCGGGCGTTTGGTTGCACAGCGATGGTTACGATGTAATATGTGAATATCATCCGGTATTGTATACTGTGTTCTGTTATACTTGTATAGGGCCTGCTTTAGCATCTATTTATAGGTCAATGCCTTCTCGCACGATTATATAGTACCTACACTACCCAAAATAACCATCCCACCGTCATCCCATCCCCCCTACCATGGACGTAGATTAGAGGTGGGGTTGGGGATAATTTTATAGGTATCATGGCTTACCTGATAGGCTACCAGTGGTTGCCAACTGGCTACGTGAGATCAACTAGACACATTAGGTTATGATCTAGATGAGAGGGAAATGCGGATACATCTACTAGAATTGAAAACAGAGAGAAGAGACGAGTGCAGAATTAGAGGGAGCAGAGATCAAAACAAGAACGGGATTGAAAGACCAGAGAGTCAAACAGCCAGGATGGTGCTTGTTCTTAACTACTATGTAGTTATATAGTCTCGTGATGACAAGATGGCATAGGTCGATGTGGGGCAACCGGAAGTGGGACATCACAGGGCCGCAGTACACAGCCATATAGATCGTTATCAACATCCATCTTGACGCATATATCTCATCCCACTACGCCATTCTATCTATATATATTTTTTATCATCTATTTATACTTGTATTACTCACCAGTACCAACCACACGATCCCCAACCCTCATTACCCCCTTCCTAAAATGCCCCCCACCACCACCACTCCTCCCCCTCCCCAACCCCCTCATGACCCCTACCCGCACCCCGAAAAACAAACCCTCGAAGCCAAATCCGCCTTCACCGCAACCCTCCTCAACACCGCAACCACCTACACCACGCCCCTCGTGGACCGGGCCCACACCCTCACCACGAACGCCACCCATCTCGAGAGTCAACAACTCGAGCTGGAGAAGTCCACTGCGGCATTGGGGAAGCAGAATGATGCGTGGGAGAAGGTCGCGGAGGAGGCGCGACTGGGGTTGAAGGAGATAGGCGATGTGCAGAATTGGGCGGAGGTGATTGAGAGGGAACTTTTGGTGTTGGAGGAGGTTGTTAGGGGGGTTGAGGAGGGTCATGGTGGGGAGGGGGTGGAAGAGGAGGAGGTGGTGGGGGAAGAGGGGGGAGAGGGGAGGATGAATGGGTTTGGGGGTGGGAGGAGTACTGGTATAGGGAAAGGGAAGGGGAAGGATGACGGGATTAGGAATCGGGATGAGCATGAAGGAGAAGGAGAAGGAGAAGGAGAGAGTGAGGGAGGTAACGAGGCGGGGAAAAGCACTGGTTGGCTCAAGTGGTGGTGATGTATTTGTCTACTTATTATGAGGTGTATGTCAGGTCATGTCTTCTGGAAATTATATATGATGAATGCTATCCAGAAGCCATAGCTCCAGCGAAATGACCAAAAAGTATAATAAGACATTACCCAACATGTCCAATCCAAATTGTAAATGGCCATCCAAAACCTATCCATGCCATCTACTCAGACTCATCATCGGGCTCAGGCCCGGCCACTTCCTGGAAGTATTCCCTCCAAATATCCAACCGATCCTCTGCCGGTTGTTCTTCATCCTCTCTGGAATCACCAAATTCATCCCACTCATTCCACTGCCCCAAACTCATGAGGTGTCTCATGGTTGGCCGGCCATGGGGACAATTCCACGGCTTATCGATCGTCCCCATATTCGTCACCACCCTTTTCATCTGCTTGACCGTCAAGTTCTTGCCGATCATGATGCTCGACCGGCATGCCCGCATGGCAAACATCTTCCGCACCTTGCTCGGACGAGGGATGTACACGTCCGAGGCGGACCTGGAGGCGTGGCTGGGCGTCTCCGACAACAGAACAATCAGCTCCTCCAGATCCCGAACACCAAAGACCACCTCTTTGCTCAAGGGCAGCGAGAGCAGCCTGCATCGACGGCCGATCGGCTCGTCTCCGCTTTCGTCAACCTCTACAATAAAGCCGTTCTTCTCCAGTGCTTCTTGGTTCTCGATGACAATCTCTTCCTCCACGGCGGTGAGATCCAGGCGTTTCGGCTGGACCAGCCGCTGGTACTGTACGATAGTTTCCGCCTGCAGACGTTCGAAATTGAACTTCTCGTCCGAGGCATGCTGATCGATGATGAAGAGCTCATCTTTGGCATCGGACGACCCAGCGCCCGCATCACCAGTGGAAGATCGGGTAGCCAAGATGAACCCCAGGTTGAATTGACCGATGATCCGCATGTTGGCAAAATCCTCCTTGCTCACAGTCAGCGATAGTCGTTCTTCGGCCGTTTCCGGCTCAGTCTCAGGCTCGTCGTGTGAACTGGAATTCTCCCAATGGCGGAGACTGTCCTGCAGTTTCCCCAGCTGCGACTGTATCTTAGAAAGAGACCCATCGATCGTGCTCATCAGTTGAACGGTGGAATCACGGTGAGCAGCTCCTTTGTTCATTTTATTCGCACGGTGGATATTGTTGCCCTGTGGCAATGCTGTATTCTCCGCTTCCTGGATGAGCCGTTCCACTTCGGCTTCTTCATGGCGCCTTTTCTCCTCTTCGTCCATCTCCTGCGAGCCAGGTTGAGAGCTGGGTTCATCATTGTCAGCCTCCTGGTTACGGTCCTCTCCGCCAACATCTTCGTGTGATCGGTCGCTATCATGCTCTGACGGAGCGTAAGGCTGAGAACCATCATCTGCCTCGTCCTCAATCTCTTCAATACCCTCTTCATACTCTTCCACTTCGCTCTCAATTCCCTCTACCTCTTCCATCACTTCGTCTTCCTCGGCTTCACTCTCGGGCTCTACGTGTGTCCCTGGAGCAGCAAAATCCCTCATGTGTTTGCCAAATATACTAGGACGAGAAGGCGTGTGTATCCGTCTCTTGCGGGCCGTAGTGCCAACAGCATCATCAGCACCCACGGATCGCTTTTTGGGCAATCCACTCCCTATCATGGACGTAACAGTCTTATTGCCAATAGTGATTGTAGCCATCTCAGCAGGTACCCGTCTTGGTCGCATCCGATCAAACGCATTCTGGATTGTATTAGGAGTCTCCTCCAAGGGGTCGACTACCTGCGTCGAGGGTTCAGGAGCACTGTCCTGAGGTGAGTGGTCTTCATGCTGCTGTGTGGCCTCTTCGACGGGTTGGCTGCTTTCATCCTGTGTGGGAGGTAATGTTTCGGCTGGTGTGCTCTGCCTTACAAAGAGCTCGTTGTCCTCGACAGATTCATCCTGGGTTTGAGGTGGTGAACATGCTGGCTGTTCTTGTACGTCTGATGCACCAGGATCTGCCGGGGAAGACATCGGTTTGCTTTCGCAGGCACCAAGGCCGCTCAAGAAGCTCTTCATCCTATCCTGAGAGCTAGACTGCTCCTTTCCAGCCCCCTGGCTACCAACAGGTTCCTGATCCTCGGGTTCCGAGTCCGCATCGTCCACTGAAGGCCGGCTAGGAATCTGAGATTGCAAACTTCCCAAGCGCTGTTTAGTACCCGGCTTGGAACCAACCACCTGTGACTGAGGAACCGTCTGATCCGACGACTCAAACAGCTGGGTAAGAGAGTCCTTCAGAGACTCGATCAATGCCCCCGCATCATGCAACAGAATCGTCCGCTTATCAGGCGACACATTGACATCGTAGGCATTCGTATCCATTTGGAAATCCGCAAACACAAACGGCGACTGCGAGACATTGAACGACTTGTACACTTCATTAAAAGCCTTTGCAATCTGCGGCAACCCACACGGCCGGGAATTCACAAAGAACATCTGACGATCCGGCGTCTGTCTCCCCTCTCCGAACACCGGTCGAGAGACATGACCGCGCACCGCGATCTTATTCATCTCTCCCGACCCAGCGGCGCGTCTCCCAACCGCAGACGGCTCAAACTTCAGAGCCAAATCAAGCGGAATCAAAGCCAACAGCGTCTTCGCACCATAGACATTGGCGATATTCTCCTTCGTCGTCTGATTGCCATTGGTACTAAAGACCACGACATTCCGGGTCTTCCCCACCGAGTTCCTGACCCCAAAGCGCACGCCCGTACTGACACAGGCGTACGCATGTAGAAGGTTCAAAACCTTGCCATACTCGCGCTTGATGTTCTTTTCCAGCTCCCGTCGTCGCACCGGTAGTCCTTTGAACAGACCCTCCACTGAAGCCGTGGTACCCTTTTGCCCCGCCACTATCTGTGTCTTTTTTAACTTTCCAGAGTGTTCGAAATCGAGACGTGTTGCCTTAGGCGCCTGATTCGCCTGCGCGGTGATGACACGAAAGTCCGATAGCGCACAAAGCGACGATAACGCTTCGCCGCGAAAACCGAAGGTATGCAACCGGGCGAGATCATCGTAGGAGGACAGCTTGGACGTGTAATGCTTGAGCGCTATAATACCAATACCAGCAATCAGCCACATCCTCAACACCATAACCCCCAGGAAGAATCATCCTCACCAACATTCTCATAATTCTCCGGCGAAATCCCACTCCCGTTATCTTGCACTTCAATCAAATCCAACCCATGATTCTTGAATCGGACCTCTATTCCAAAACCTGTAAGCCTTGCTAGACTGCGCCAAACACTCCCAGATACTCCGTATGCAACTCACCAATAGACGTAGCACCCGCATCAAGACTATTTTCCACGAGCTCCTTCGCAACGGAACACAAGTCGACGATCACTTGACCGGATTGGATTTGATGGACCTTGTTGCAGTCTGTGTTAGAAAGAAGGTATATTCGATTGGGTAATAGGGAAGCTGTACCGAGCGGGCCTCGATGGCCTTGATGGTCGCCATGTTCATGGCATGCCATGGTGGTCGGAGCCGAGGGGGAACGCGGTGAACGCGCTGCCACTTTACGCGACTGCGACGGATAGGCGGCGGCGGATCTCGAATTCCCGGGCGGGAGGGTCCGAATAGATTATTTGGTTACAGGGAATGGAAGTTCAATATATGGTGCTAGCAACTAGCGGCTATCATTCTTGTGCGCTGGAATTTACACTATCATACAGGCAGAATGGCCAAGAAAACAAGCAGCAGAAAAGCAGAGTCGTCTCGTGTACTCCGTAATGATAAGGATTCACTCGCGCATCAAACTATGACGTAGAACGCAGAACTGTACACTACGGAAAGAATCACAAACATCGCTGTCAACGCCCAACTCCCGGTGATACGTTTCGACTGGGCCTAGTAGGTGTCGAAGCGGTCCGGTAGAACCACCGGTGCGATCAAAGTCCACAGATAGATCGCATAGCACACCCAGGCGCTGATGATCTTCACCCAACTGGCCCAGTAGGTTCGGCCGACGGGAGCAAAGTCATCTGCGGCCTCTGGGTCCAAGTTCTGGGTGAGCAGGGTGGCCACCCAGGTGGTCGCCAAGAAGAAAATGATATGGAACAGAGAGTAATTATATTGAGTCGATCCCTTCTCGTCGTCCTTGGTGTCGTATTCGTCGGACTCGTCGTCGCTGTCATCCAGCGCACTGGCGGGTAGACTGCCACTCGCGACGGCGGCACGAAGAGCCTCGGCCCGCATCTCACGGCGACTGGTTGGCTGCTGGGTCACAAGACCATGCTCGTTGTCATCCATCCCTAGCTGCGAGTAGTTGTGACCTCCCTTGGACCCTAGCGCAATGCCCTGGGTGGCTGCGCGGGTCGTGGTATAAGCAATGGTAGCCATGGTGACAATGGCGCCCAAAACGATACTAGCCGTTCTCGTACCTCGGGCACGAATCAGAGGGTTACACTGGCGGTCATCTGGCTCCATGGACACAGCCGACATGGTCAGGTAGGTACAATAGACTGTGACCATCGCTGCCTGGGCCAATCCGGCCCTGGGGTTGGATTCCTGCACGATGGGCTGCACGGATATGATCGAAATGATGAGGAAAACAATAAGGTTGATCTGGTATGGTAAGCCAAACAAGAGCCGGAAATGGCGGAGTGCAGGGAGCAAAACTTACGGTAATCGCCGCCTGATTCATGGCGCATCCGCTGTGGGCGAAGAAGACGTACATCAAAATCGTCATGGCAAGAGACGCAACGTACATGCCCACAGTGGAACCAATAAGGAGACCCCGCCAGGTCCGCGAATCGCTATCTTCAATCTTCTGCAGACACACCTCAGCCCAGGAATGCGCCAGATCCACCAGAAGAATCAATCCGAGCAGAAGGAAGAGCATGGCGCAGATGAAGGCGATATAGTGGCCGTACACGAAGAAGAATGACTCGGGAATGAAGAACGAAGCCACAACGAGCGCAAGCCACAGGATGATCTTCGGTCCCCAGAATCCATTCTGAAGCACCGCACGGCCGTCTTTGGAAGTCCTGACGCCGAGCAGCATAAACGCGAGGATCAAATGGAAGAGACCCAGACCGAAATTGATCCGATGGACGGCCACCCAACCATAGCATTCTTTCCCGTCACATCTGATTTCCATATAATCTAATGTCATGTGTTGTAATTTCTTTAGCGCCCACGGCGTAAGCATTATCCATGAGACAATCGAGTTGATCAAGAGGATGAAGGCGTAGGCGATTCTCGTAGCCATACTGCGGTCGGTGCCTAATGTCAGCGAGACCCATCATCGAGGAGCGTAGCAATTCTCATCGGTGTCCTGACCTATTCTGAAACTTCCCACATGCGCTACATACTGCCGAACAGGTTGCCGCTCCGCAGCACGATGTCGCGACGGTGATGAGCTACTTGATATCAGTGGGGTGACAATGGCGGTGATGGCGTGCACGTACCGTACTGGCGCTCGGAATAGCCAGAAGAGGTAGGGATAGAAGAGCCCCCATGATGGATGAAGAAGAGAGCCAACCTCTCACTAGAATGGGACTTGATCCAGTTACAGGCAAAGACGATAGCAGCCCTGAAGATAATGGAGGATGAAGCCGGAATGGCAAGAGGCGCCGCGGAGGTTCGCCGCCTTCGTCATGTGCCGGGAACTAAAACGGTGGTTGGTCTGGGTTCTACGTCGAGCGAAATCGGCAATGAACAGCGATGCTGAGATGGTAGAGTATTACAGAAATATTATTTCTCTGTACACTGATATCACATGGAATTACTTTAGGACTCACTCCTGACATCCTCCGCATACTCCGTACAACGTTCAATGGACGACACACGTGATCTCTGACTAAGAATCACGTGCACAATGCGGGATTCCCCTGCTTGTACGGGCCGGGGAAGCGTGCCGGTAAAGACGACCTTATCGACGATAAGCGACTGGCTGGCAGTTGTAATTACAATACCACATCTCTCTCTACCCGAGCTGACGAGGCCAATGGGACACTTTGCCTCTGATTGCGTCGTCTTTCCCCAGTCCGTGTCAAAGTGTCGTGTGGGCAGTGGAGAGAAGAGCAGGTCTCGTCGCATTCAATTACAGTCACTCTCTTTTCTTTTTTCCCGTTTTGGATTCTCTTCTCCCACCTCTCCTTTTCTTCTGTCGCTCTTTTCTCCCCTCTTTTCGTTTTCCTAAGTGCCGGCCCAATCCCTGTCCTTCCCTTTACCGTGGTGCTGTTATCTATGGTCGCGGTCTAGCCGGCCTTCCTTGCGTCCATCCTGCTGGTTATCGTGACGTGATAGCGTCTAACCACTGCACCACTGTCCAACTCCGAGTCTGGGTACAAATAGTCGCCGGTCTTGCGACCCTTCCCCGCATATTCTATGCGAAGAGCTTTTACCTGGCCTCCCCAGTGTAGACGCCTTCCGAACGCATCAAGATGACCGGCTCATCTCACAAAACGAAGCGGATAATTTCCGTCGTAGCGGCCACCTTGGTTGCTCTCGCCTGTGGTACCAACGTGCGCATCCTCCGTTCTCTTTGGTTATAATTCTGCGGTGTTGAGAAGGCAAGATCTAATCAGTGGCAGTATGCGTATTCAGCATGGGCGCCTCAATTCGCGCATCAAATGAAGATCTCCTCCACGGAAAGCAACTTCATCGTAAGCAGGCATCGCATCCTCACCAAGCGTTCGACATTAATCGATATCACTTAGGGCGCGGCTGGAAATCTGGGCATGTACGCATCGGGTATTCCATTGGGTTTGTTGACAGATGCTCGGGGTCCACGTCTCACAACCTTCTTGGGAGCCATCGCCCTTGGGATTGGCTACTATCCCATCTATCTGGGTATTCCTTGCCTCGGAACCGCCACGGGTCTTCACACTGACGTATGTCCTGTGGGTAGCATATGAAAAGGGCCCAGGGTCGCTGGGAATCGTCTTTCTATCGTTTTTCGCTTTCCTGACGGGCTTCGGGAGTTGCTCCGCATTCTCAGCATCCATCAAGACATGTGCGTCAACCCCTTCGGTGTGATCCATTGACCTCTGAGGCTAAGAGACCGACATCAGCGGCATCCAACTTTCCCGAACACCGTGGAACAGCAACTGCCTTCCCCCTGGCCGCTTTCGGGCTGAGCGCCTTTTTCTGGTCCACGGTTTCCGCAGTTCTTTTCAAGGATGATACTGGTCGGTTTCTGCTCTTGTTGGCGCTGGGTACATGTATCCTGAACCTAGTTTCGATCCCGTTCCTTCGCATCCTGCCTCCGAGTGAGCCCTATATGCCACTTGGACGGAGCAGGTCCCCTGGAGTGGAGTCTCGTCGATTGCGCACCACCCGGTCCACCGAATTCCGGCACAGTCTGGACGATTCTGATGAAGCAGGTACGCAGCCTTCTATAACCTATGAATCCTGTCCCCCGGCGCATGGCAGATCGCACTCGGTCGTGTCGAACCCCCCCGGCCACAACCCCGATATTGACGAAACCTCCTCTTTGGTGTCCAAAGTCCCTTCGAGACAATCCCAGGAACTTTTGAACGAACATGACGAGGAGGATGCTCTGTCTGATGTTTCTCCCAACTCACCGCACCCAGACGTTAGAGGCTTGGCGATGCTCCCTAAGATTGAGTTCTGGCAACTCTTCTTGACGATGGCACTTTTGTCTGGGATCGGATTGATGACGATCAAGTTTGTCACCCATCTACAAATGCTTGAACTGATGCTAACATGACCCAGTAATATTGGGAACAGCGTAAGATTCCACTTTTCGGCCGAGTTCATGTATCTAATGTTCGCAGGCCAAGGCGCTTTGGCGGTACTACGATGACAGCGCCAGCCCGAAATTCATCCAGCAACGACAAGTCATGCATGTGTCGATCTTGTCGTTTGGCAACTTTATCGGTCGGCTTTCTAGCGGTAGGCACCAGCTCCTCCAGGTCCACAGCCGTCACTAATAGCTCCATCTTTAGGCATCGGTTCCGATCTGTTGGTAAAGAAACTAAACATGTCGCGGTTCTGGTGTTTGTTTATCTCTGCCTCTGTCTTTACCCTTACCCAGCTTGCAGGTTCCGCAATCTCCAACCCTCACCAGCTCGCCATTGTATCCGGATTCACCGGCATTGCATACGGCTTCCTTTTCGGCGTCTTCCCGTCGCTGGTCGCCCATACCTTCGGTATCGGCGGTCTCTCCCAGAACTGGGGCGTGATGACACTTGCGCCCGTACTGAGCGGCAACGTCTTCAACCTGCTGTACGGCAGCATTTACGACCGGCACTCGGTTGTCGGACCCGACGGGGACCGGGATTGCCCGGACGGCCTAGCCTGCTACCAAGCCGCGTACTACACAACATTCCTGTCGGGTGTGGCCGGAGTGGTCGTCTGCCTGTGGAGCATCCTGCACGAGCGACGGATCCACGGAGCGATGCACAAGAAGGTCGAGCACGACCGACTGGCCTGAAGTTGGCAAGAATGTCGTCTTCAGTGAAGCCATATACAGAGCCGTGATGGGTTGACAGTGATCTTGTTTCCATGTTTTCCTCGTATATATACCCGGGTATATGCGCATGCGCTTTACATGAATTTATTTGGATCATAGAGGTTCTCAGGATAGACATTCATACCTTTTCATTACTTATTTGCAAAGATGTGCCGTGGATGGCAGGTCACCAAACACCACGATGAGTAACCTTTGTTCTTAACTCGAAAACTACCCTCCAATTGGCAATCCCTTGTGTCATGTGGGATGAAAGAGGATTTTCAGTAGGTCATGGGATCGATAAATCTTACTTCGACAGCCACATCTAATACCCTAATAATCATCCCCTCTCACCCACTCATCCATCAAAAGCTCCTTCGCAGTCGGTCTATCCTCCGGCACCCACGACAACGCTTTTCGTAAGAATCGTAGAAAAAGAACCTTACCATCGCCCTGGAGCCGAGTCTCCCGCGTTTCCAACGACTGTTCAGGGATGTCTACGCGCCCGTTCCACTTCCCTGCAACTGATCAGATAAAAGTACCTGACCAATTCTCTGCACATGATACGTACCATTCTCATCCCAAAACCTCCAACTCCGCTCACTCCGTCTCAAAAACTCCACCGGCGGGGGTCCCAAAAGTGCCATCATCTCCGCAAACCGTCGCGCATGATCCATTTCGGATTCCAAGTCGGGCGTCGTGAACAGATGTCCTTGTTCGAATAATGTCCAGGCCTGTACCAAATAAGCTTAGTTAAATAGTATACGCTACTAGTATGAGAATATGATCTCACCGTCTGCCCAAGCCCCCACACATCCACCTTCTCATCCCACTGCATCCCCAACATCACCTCCGGGGCGCGATACACACTCGGCATGATGAGGCCCGTCTGAGTTGTCTGTGCTATTCGCGCTTCACCTAAATCAGCAAGGACCGGTTCGCCAGTCGAGAGGGGCATGGCCCTCGTGGCAAAGATCGTTCGATCAGAGAGGAGTTTTTGTGGCGCGGGGTTGGAGAGCTCGTCTTCTTCCATTTCGGTTAGGATTGAGGTGTCGTCTATGCCGAGGAGGATGTTGTGGGGGTTGATGTCTGATATATGATACTTAAGTGCTGGGTTATGAAGAGAGAGGTAGAGGGGGGTAGATAACGCACCAGTATGAACCACCTTCGCTTCATGAAGATAATCCAACGCAACGAGCATGAACCGAACAGTAACTCGGAGGAGATTCTCAGGTAATGCGTCCCCTTCGAGACAGTGGATGTAATCACGGATGTCGATGCCAGCGGGTTGGTAGAGCGTACAGTGATGAGGTCCGTGGGGGCCGCGGATTTGGAATGAGTCCAGGGCGATGCGAGTGTATCTTTGTCCTGTGTGAGTGCTTTGGAGAGATTTGAGGTGTTGCGAGATTTGGACGTCAGGGGGTGGTTGGGTGCTTCGGACGTGGACTTTTAGGGTAAGGTAGCGGTTTTGGCTGGTGGTAGCTTTCTTAGATGATTGTAGTATTTTCGAGGCATTGGGGATTTACTGTAGGTCTCGACATAACCATACTGTTGATGTGGAGCCGAAACCGAGTTTGGTGAGGATTTGGTATCGGGTGTTGAGGACTTCGCCGAGGCAGACGGGGTAGTAGTGTGCTTTGAGATACCCGGGGAGGGATTCTTCTTCGAATAGTATAGTTGAATTGATGGTGTCGAAGCCTGATGTGGGGAATTTGCGTGGTTGGGTTATTGGGGTTGAGCTTAGGCCCATTCTCCGGTGTTGGGAGAGGAGAAAGCGAGTGTGCGAGTAGCGAAGGTATTGTGGTGACCATGTTGAGTGGGCGAGCATGCACCTGGATACACTGCATGATCGTAATCTCATCGTGATGCTACTTGAGGAGTGCAAATGCGAGGGAAACGGGGGTGAGACAGACGGAGATGAGCTATCCGCCGCGGTTCATCCCTTTTGTATTCGGCGGCGCATCCAGGTCAGATCTGATGCCACTCAGGCATGGGGACGTGGTCACAATTCGTTTTTACCAAGCATAAGCTGTTACGTAGAGATTTAAATTTCTCTCAATGCTCTAGTTATCGACTTTTAAAATGATCGCCTTTCTATATACTCCAGATTTCGTTCAGGTCGTTTGCTGAATATTGGCCGTCTAAACTTATTTATACCTTTACTCCCTATCACAGTCCATAGATCCAAATGCAAGGTAAGATGCCTAATATTAACCACAATGTACTACCCTGTAAGAAACCAATTGAGAATAGTTCATGCTTTACCCTCAAAAGCCCGTAGATTCTCCATGAGTGGTATGATAATAAACTGGAAAACTTCATCTTGCATCTGTTCATGTTCCAGACTCAACCCTTGGGTGCCACTCCAGAACAGACACCGATCGACTACCTGTGCGTACTTTCCGCCGCTTTCCGTCTCTACAGATGGAATGTGGCGAGCAGCAGTCTTGAGCTTTGCAACTGCTTCAATTGGATCGTCATCTTCGGGTGCATGCAATGCCTCTAAGGTCTGGCAGAGAGAGAGCTCAACAAGAACCAGACCAAGAGGGAAAAGAGTCTCATTGCGGATCAACACGGCTTTGTTTTGAGTTTCACCGCAGAGGCTCGTGCAACTGTCGTTACTCATATCCCAAAGGAGGGATGGGATCATGGTTGGAGTGGTGAAGAGAATGTCACGAGCTCGCCAGAACGATTTCAACCAACTCCCATGTAATTCCAAAACACTGCATGCCAGGCTCAAGGCGAGATGGAGGCGGTCCCTCCTACTGAATTTGAAGCTGCTCTGTGCTGGCATGCCGACCAGGCTTGGTGCAGCTTGGATCAGATCTTCGAGTGACCGAGGCCTGAGGCTTGAGGCAATATTTCGCACATGGTACATAGTATGTTGATGACTACCATCTGAAAGGTAACCGATGGGGATTCTTTGCCCCCCATGACTCGACATGGTGGACAAAGCGCTACAGATGTCGATAATAGGGGTCGCCGAAGGTGAAAGCCCCGTGTCAATAGATACAACGTCATCCTGTGTCGACGGGACAGAAGTAAATCGAACTCTCTGCTTCCTCTTCCCTGAAGCGATCACATGTGGGTGCATGTTGGGAGGGCTATTAACCGTTGTTGCCTTTGGTTGAAGATTATTTGATTCGGCCTCAACTTCATGCCAGTGATTCCAGGGGCTTGAGGATCCAACCGTAGTCTGTGATGCAAAAACCATGCGAAAACAGGCATTGGAGCAGTCATCTGACGCGCCAAGGGTGTCAAGCAATGGAGTATTGAGTTGAAATTGAACGAAATGTTGGTCTCTGCAGGCACAATTCCAACATGTGCCGTGGAACATGGCATGATGCAGGCTGTACGCAGATTTTCGCACCGCTCGATGTCGTAGGAGTGAACGTTTTGATATACGTCTTTTTCTCATCACAAGGCACCTGTCCGATTGATCCATTAGGGTTCTTAAGATGGTGTTGGCAATATGGATCCGATTGGATAAGTCGTTATAAATGCTTTTCGAGAAGATGTCTCTGAATTTCTTGACTTCCCTCTCAAGGGCCGAGGATCTGTTCCAAGCCGTCTGTTGCATCACGTCAACCATTCTCACTCGTACAAACAGGACCTGTGCAACTTCAACGAACATACCTCGACGGATGTCTCTGTATCCCACTTGAGCTTTTTAGAAAGGCTATCCAACAGATCTGAGAGGTCTGCCATTGTCCTCATGAACGGAGCATAATTCCTTCCCAGCTTTTCTCGCAATCTCGAATCAAAAGCTGGACTCTTCCACAGATTACCCAATGGGTTACTCATCAAAGCGCCGATTCCATCTTCATGATCGACTACTCCGTCCAAGCATTGTTCCAGGGTGTTGAGAAAGATGGCTTGCTGTGTCCCAAGGCTCGACAAATACCCGTCGAGCTCTCGGCGATATCGCTTGGCTCGAAAGGTCTTGAGGGTCTCAAGTCCTTGGACGTGGTTGTCGAGCTGATTGATGAGAAAAGGAAGTATGGCCAATGCAAAGCCAATTGCCTCCATGCTGCTATACTGAGTGAAAGTGAGGTCTTCAGTGTCAGCACCTCCAGCGCCTCTCGACCCCGCAGCACCTCGTAGTCGACACGTGACATCCGGGAATGCACCCCTCTAGTTCGTAAGATAGCTTCTACTCTGGTGAATGGGTATTCTGGGCTTTCCAACATCGGATATCTCAGGCACCTCTGGCCGAATCGGTTCTGACCACATGGCAAACCCAATCTCATCATCGACCATCGCCTGTCTGAAAGAGCTCAAGCAACTGGTTCTGTCGGGACATCTAGCTCAGTACGAGTCAGACGTCTCACAGGTACTGTGGCAAGACGAACTAGGGAGGTTACAGGTGTGGGCTGCTAATATCGGTGCGCACCAAACGGGGCAGTCGTCGCTTGACCATCGACTGCGTGACGCATCACATATCAAGGAGCAGACAGTCCGGTTGCTGAAGCGACTGCGAAGGATATATGAGGACCTACAAGATGTCCTGCATGGCCCAATTGAAGATGACAGCCTATCAGACACCGACGACGATGGAGATCAAACAGAAGTACAGCAGCTATATCATGCCCTGCATGATACGATCAATAGCCTGTTCCAGCTGTCGATGGCGATTCAGAGGCCGGCACACCATGATCGATTGTTGGGAACCCGGAGATCAGATGTGGTCCACTTCGAATGCTTTGACCAACAGCATGTCTCGAACAAATTTCCCCAGGCAGAGGATACCATTGCAAAGCGCCTTGGACTTGCTATAACGCAACGAAGGGCCGTACTTCAGTATCGCGAGCGACATCACCTAAAGTTGGGCCGGGGCTTGAACCATGCTTTGGGTGACCATCCAGATACAGTATCAACCAAACTGTCTGAAACTGTGGCAACCGAGTTTATCGAGACCAGCCATATCAATCATAGTCTAGATTCGCAGTCGATTGTCTCACAGACTTCATATGCCGAGACACTCATGAACGGCAGTGGAGGAATGGTGGTTCCACCGCCACCTGCAGAGTCGGCCGATGGAAATCCTTTTGAATGTCCGTATTGCTTTGTGATCCTGACTATTCCAAATCGGAGTGCATGGGCTCGCCATATATTCAAGGACCTCATGCCATATATTTGCCTCTTCCCAGATTGTCAAAGTCCCCATCGGCTCTATGATAGCCGTCGGGAATGGGACTTCCATATACAGAGTGAGCACTCAACTCCAGGCGATGACGGGCATTTATTTTGTCCCCTCTGCCATGCCCATCTCGAGTCTACAAAGTTGTTTGAAAAACATGTGGGTCGACATTTGGAGGAATTGGCGCTGTTTGCTTTGCCGCAACTAGCGAGAGATGAGGATGATAATTCGTCGATGTCGGTATCTGGACCGCTAAATAAAAGGGCAGATGCTCAGCCTGGATATTTTTACGACACACTTAGTGATATACACTCGTCCTTCGATGGAAGTGAGCATGCACCCGATGATGGACGAGTTTTTCGTGACCAAGATGGATTTTCAGTGGATGAAATGAGCATTTCAATCGGGCCCGGCGAGTTAGATACGGCCAGCACCAGGAGCCAGGGCTCTTCCGAGGAGGTTAGTGCTGATCAGACGGAATTGCAGTCCTCAAGTCCAAAACCAGTGGACACTGAAAAGGACCAAGCTATTGCAAGGTTGGAAAGATTGATCCTGGAGGAAAGAACTGAAAGAGAAACCCGAGAAGCCCGAGAAGCACAGAGACATGCTGCGCTAGAGGCAGAGGTAGGTGCAGCAGCAGCAGCAGCAGCAGCAGCAGCAGCAGGACCAAGGGCAGAATCGGATCATGTGGAAGCAACAGAAGCAGCGGCAGAAGCATCACCCACTCATACAAGCAAGAAAAAACCAATCCGGTTCAAAGATGCCATTGGGCGGAAGTTTAGTTTTCCTTTTGCCCTATGTTGTACTTGGCAGGTGAGAATCAACTCAATTATTATCTTTTCGGGCAGTATCTAACTGAGTATCAAGGGCATGGAAGAACTTATACGACAGGCTTTTCTCCATATCGAGGTAATCGGGCCTCATATCGCCGAAGGACATTATGACTTAATAGGTCCTAATGGAGATATAATCCTTCCCCACGATTGGGAGCGTGTTATTGAACCCGACTGGCTTATCACGATGCACATGTGGCCTATTCCAGAAAAGAAAATATCTCCAGACCTTGACCCATCCTCAAATCCCCCTCCGCCCCCAATTCCATCTCCGCGCCCCCCAAATTTACCTTTTCCTGGTGACAGCTCGTACGTCCCCAAAATAGATGAAGAACCGTCTATGGATTCCCCGAAGGACAAAAGACGGCGTGGCCCTGAGCCTGGGTCATTCGCTATGTGGATGGTCGGGGGTAACCGCCTGAAACTCAACAGAGCTCTGAAGAATAGAAAAGGGAATGAGGAGACGGGGGAACTTAGAGAACTGGCAACGGATACCGGGGAGGATGTCGATAAGACTATCGACGAAAGGAGCGAACAGAAACCCGCAGATGAAAGCTCGCCTGTTGTTGATGCAGCTGGAACACCATTTACCACTTCTTCTGAACACAATAAAGCACCTGCCCCTGACCCTGGGGGATTCGCTCAGTGGATGGCCAGAGGCAACCGCTCAAAGTTCAACAGAGCTCCGGGGACAGCAAACGAGGATAACGAGACCGCAAGTAGAACAGCTGGCAATGAATAACCGGGAGGCTACCAGGGAAAGCGTCAAAGCAGCGCTGCTACAGCTGATGCAGCTCTTCCGGTGAGCCCTGGAGGCTTTGCACTATATACACAGGAGAGATGATCCTGCTTGGGAGCTCATTCCATCCCTCTGAACATGATCTCATGTGATGCATACTGTTTCTCTACCCCGTACGTCTCATGGTCAACGTACACTCCTACCTACTCAATGATGATACCATCCCCACCATCCCATTATACCCCCGTGAATAGAAAAAAATTAACCCCTCCTACAAACCATCCGCCCCAGATATAGACAAACAACAACAGAATCCGCAACAACGCACGACGCCAACCTAACCTAACCTAACCTACTACCGATAGCCCTGATACTACAAACACACCCATTTCATCATCGGGTTCTGAGTTTTGTAAGGTGGTTGGTCATCTGTTACACTTGATAAAGTCTAGATAGATGTCTTCCGGACCCCTTAAGCAAACAGTATTAGGTACGATGTCAATACCGATACTCTAAGAAATTAAGTTCATGGTGAGGTCGGTAGTTGCCTCGGTTGCCTTACGGGCCTGGGGCCGGGGCGTATCTCTTATCTAGTATCCAAGTACCTCCTCCGTACTCCGTACTCCTACTCTAGATAGATATGCTAGGTGAAAAGCGGGGAAGCAACAAATGAGGCGGTGCTAGTCTACTTAGTTCCAGAGTAAGAAATAGGAAAGTGAAGCCGCCGTCGGAATCCGGAGTCGGGGACTAATTAATCATTCTAGATAGCTAGGTAGATAGTCTAGGTACGGGTACGGAGTAAGGAAGGTAGAATCCATCTCGATAGGACTAGGGTGCCGTGGTGGGTGTAAGATCGACAAAGTATCCCCGACGGGCGGGCGGGTATATAATGATGGGGAGATTTTCCCCGGTGATGACGGGATGGATGGATGGGATGATAAGGACAGCCGAGCCAGCGGGTGGTCCGTCCGGACGGAGGCGGAGGGAGATTTTCCTGTCCGATAACGAGTCACCGATATTGCTAAGATCCTGACAGGACAGGACAGGACAAGACAGGTTACCTGTCTGGGAAATTCTGCGGTGGTACTAGGATTTTATTGACTGTAAATGGATGACAGGTTGGTGGGATCAGAACTACCTATGCTACTGTAGGGTTTCGTCGGACGGTCAGGCCCTTATCGTCCGGTTGCATCCAGACTTGGGCAACCAAGGCCAGGAAGGAAAGGAAGAAGTAACGTAGATTCAGGGAGTAATAGATAACACGAATTACTAAACACATGTAACCTTTTACAGGTCCTTTTCTTTTGGGTCATTCGAGGGACTTCGAGGGGTTTTGGTGCAGAGATCTCCCCCATCTCATATCGGAGCAAGCAGGGAGCAAGGAGGGAAACAGGGTAGAGGAAGAGAAGTAGATCGATCGAGATATATTAGGTAGTTAATCCGATATACAGCCAGCCAATGACAAGACTCGTAAAGGGTATCAAAGAGACCGGGGAAGATCAGAGAACTCGGCATCGCGGCGGCGCGTTGTTTACGTCGGCGCTGCCCGACTCACGCATGCGCGTCCAAGTCCTAACAACCCCCCCCTCGAGGGTTAGACGCTCTTGGGCGATTTCGTCGGGGACACCGCCGGTTGCTCCACTACGTCGGACAGCCGCATCCGCTTGGCCAGAGGCTCGCCCGGGCTGTCATAGCTTGCTGGGTTGGTCGACGTGGTCTGGTCGGCCAACTGCCGCTCCAGTTCAGATATCCGCCGCTTCAGATCATCTTCGCGGCGTTGGGCCTCCTCCAGAGAGCGCCGGAGCCGTACTTCCGAGTCCCGGACGATCATCTCCGACCGGCGTGCAGTCGCGCCGCTCTGCTCGAGTTCTGTCACACGGCCCCGGAAGAGTTCATTGATGAACTCCAGTTCGCTCACGCGGGTCTTCAGCGAGGTATTGGCGGCGAGCAATCCATCGTAGGTCTGTGGTGACTCGAGATGGCGATCGACAGCCGCAGACGTCGCGGTGGGCGACGGCTGGCGCGCCTGCACCGAGGGCAGCGAACTCGGCGCGTTTAAGCCATGGTCCCCGATTGTGACACTATCGAACATGTGCTGGGGCGCGATGTTGGCATTGTGTTGCGGCTGGGGGTGTGGTTGTTGTAATGAATTGATACCAGGCGTCTCCGTTCGGGAGACGGGCGAGTTGGATCGGTCGGAATGGCCCGGTGACGTCTTGCGCGACGCGCGACGATATCCATGCGATCCTAGAGGCGGCGTACCGGCTTCGGATCTCGAGGTCGACATGCCATTTGTATCGATAGTACCACCGGACTGATAAGGTAGGAACCGAGCGTCAGCGACCGTTATCTCAGGTATGCCAGTGATAGGAGGGCGGGAAAAATTTTCTGGACGACTCACCTTACGCTTGGGGCCCTGACCGGCAGTCTTGACCCGGTTGCGACTCTTGATAACATCGGTCTTTAAGCTTATCGGACGGGGCCTCCCATGCAGTTTGAGGAACAAGCCACAGGCATTGCAAAGGACCGAACCGAGTTCGTCCCTGCGCCAGAGAGGTGTAGTGGAGGTGCCGCAATTCTGGCACACAGGCTGTAATTGAGGACGTTTATGATCAGCCAAAGTTGTCGCCATGGTTTTTGGAGAAGTAGGATCACACGGAGGAGGGGGGAGGTAGAGACAGAAGATGGGGAAACGGGCTGATAGTGGATGGAGGAGGAAGAGCGCTGGTTGATAAGATCGGGAGAGATTTGATGGGCTGGCGCGATAAGGAGCAGGTGGTGTGGCGCCAAGACCCCAGCGGCTGCTGATAACAGCAGATTGGCACAGAAAAAGAAATTGAGCCATTTAGGCGTCGCAGCAGACTCGGGGGAAAAGCAACCAAGGCCGGCGTCTTCCAATGGATAATCATCATCGCTTGCGGGCGATAAACTTAGCTTCAGCACTTACCGGATTATTGCCTTGTCCACCAGTGGTGGCGGCCGGAGAAGATGTCGCGTATGTCATATTGGCCATACTGGGCTGCGCATTGCTACTCGAGGCTCTGCACACGTAAGAATGTCAGCAAATCTAGATAAGGGCGCGTTCGACCTGCGGCGTTGGGTAATGTTGTCGGGAGACGATTGTGAACGGCGCATGATCTTCCCGGAACTTCCCCCATCTATTATCCGGCCTCGTTGACAATCGCACGAGGGATTTCGCCAGGTTCACGTACCGCAGATTGGAAGTGGGCGCAGATGCGACCGATGCCAGAGCAGAGAGACCCGGCAGAGAAGGACCCAACGAGCTAGGAAAGGCACTGCTGTTGCTGCTGCTGCTCGGGCTGTGGTTGTATTTATCTAGAGACGTCGATTCAGGAAGCGTTCCGGAATACGATGATGCGGATGACAATCCTGCAGCAGCGTCCGTGGTCGACTGACGCGATCCCGACTGACTGTCAATTGACGAGGTATGTTTGTAGTTCGAGTCTTGAGACTGGGAGTTCGACGGCGACGGCGGACGAAGGGCTGGGTCGATGGGCGACGCCCGGAAGAGGAGTGAAGCCACCGTGGAGGTTGTCGGGTGGAACTAACTAAAAATTCGGCCCCAGATGACCGAATTGGAGAGGATTCGAGGGGAAGCGGTCGTTCCGGGAGTTGTATACGACGGGTTGGGAGGAAAGGCTTGTGCCGTTTGGGAGGACCAGCCACGTAAAAAGGGAGGAATGATATGGAATGCCGTGTCAATATTGCCCACCAGTTGAAATCAGACGATCATTAAACTTTTGGAGCCAAAGGATTTCTTTGTTTTGATGTTTGCTTTTGGCCGGCCAAATGGACGCCAGAGATCAAGCCCCAGGAGTAAAAGATCTCACCACAAGGCTGATCCGGAGACAAGTGGCAGGGAATCGATCCAACGAGCGACAGCTGAAAGGAGCGACAGGAAGAGAAAACACGAGCACCGAACGGATTGATTGGATATAGACCATGCGAGGATGATGGCCGGAGGAGCGAGTCGAGGCAGAGGTGGAGGAGGGGACAGGAAGCTGGACGGGAGGGAGAAGGAAGATCGAGGGTTGATTATCGGGGCTGCTATCGCGTCGGAGGCTATCGATTATTTATCGAAATCGCTCTGCGGAACGGCCGCTTGGCTGGGCCCAGTTCTTTCCCCTGCGCAAAGAATTCTCCTTATCAGCCCGCCGTTTTCTGGATTGGATCGAGGCAGTAGTTGCTATGCGATGCCCGCCGCTCCAAGGTTTATGCGTCGCTCTATCTAATAGTATGCGCGGGACAGGCCCGGAATGAATCTTCGCAATGTTGTTGTCGCGCCCCTGCATGCCCCTTTCTCGCCAGCAGCTCCAGCCTAGCTTTTAGTCGTTGCCCCGTGTGTTCCAGTCACAGCAGCGGTTGGATCGTTGACCCTCACCCGGCTGAGGTTGAATTGGCCGCGTTGATAGAAGCAGGGCTGCGGGTGTCAGGATGCTTGCAGTCTAGCTGATTGGCGCGCAATCCCTGGCTGTGAACTCCTCCATTCTGGAGCTGTGGGATTATGGGGGTCCTTCAAATTATACATCGTGCTACTGCATCCTATCCACTCGATCGGTCATGTCTTAGATCGCAGCACAATCCTATTGAAGGACGGACGCGATGGCCGCATCTCGCGTGGGAAAGACTGAGAACGACTGTCTGTCCCTGCACGGGTCCATGGCGGATTGACAGGACGACAAGGATTTTATAAGCCTTTGAAATTGTTCGAATTGAACCCAGTAGGGTTGTTACTATTTGTAGAAACACACAGCGAAGTGAAGCTGAAGAACGACGGGCCTCGACTCGGGTAGTTATACCTTGGAACATCTCCCGGTCTGGATCACGCCGGGAGATCCTTTGGCAGCAACATCCTCAGTATCTGCCTTCCTCCCCAGAAACCCGACTGCTTCCCCAGAGTCCCTTTAAGCACCAACATTCAGGGGCTTGTGAAGCTAGAGTGGAGCCGTGCACGATACGCAGATATGGCGGTGCGGTATGGTATGGTACGCGGGATGTGGCTGATCCTGGACCCTGGCCGAGCTGACCGCCATGAGCCTGACTAAGCGATAGAAACGGCGGTACGGTGACAGTACGAGCCCGTCCAGGCTAATGCTGGCCGTTCTGCAAGATGACAGCGGCGCTGCTTCGACCGGCACCTCAACTCTGGCAACCTGGAATCTCCCTCCCTCATTCTCCTCCCACTCCGTCGGGGACCACGCCTTTTTTTACCGTCTGTTTGCGCTGTGATGCAGTAATGGCTTAAGTCTTGCCTTGTCATTGTCATCCTGCCCTTTCTCCGTTCATTCATACTCCCTTAATTCTCGCCTCCCTACATATGATCCGAAGAGTTGCCTCCGATTATTGCTGTCCCAGTATCTATAGATTCCCCATTCACCATGCCTAAAAGTAATCGACCAGCGACCTCGGGCTATGCCCGCTTGGCTCAGGAGGAGGAAGATCGCGCACAGGAATACGATTATTCCGACGATGATGACCTACACGACCCCAGCACCATCTCCCAGTCCGCCCCCCGATATGCCCCCATTTCCTCCCGAGCCCAGATGCAGGCCGCCGGCCTGTCTTCGCCACCCGAACACCGACGACGACTGAGTGGACACTATCGCCGAGGACGGAGGAACTCTGGGGTAGATATCAAGGCCATCAATGCCCGCCTGGAGCGGTGGGCGGAGGAAATCGCCTCCAAGTTCAAGATCAACCGCGTCAAGGGCAAGACCTTCGAGGAGGAGAAATTGGAGATCTACCACTCTGTCTTTCAAGCCCCCGATGGTGTTCGGCCCATCTCGGCGGAGGCTCTCGAGTCTGAGGAGATTGAGGGGGCTGCGCGGAGGGCCCGCGACGAGTTCGAGGAAGTCGTGGAGAGTGTCCGGGTCGCCATTGAGATGGGAGTTCATCCCCGGATGATCTCCCAAGGTAGCTCTGGTAGTTACTTCGCGCGCAATACCGAGGGTAAAGTGGTTGGAGTGTTCAAGCCCAAGGACGAGGAACCCTACGCGTCCCGCAACCCCAAGTGGACTAAATGGATCCATCGCAACCTGTTCCCCTGCTTCTTCGGACGGGCGTGTTTGATTCCCAACTTGTCCTACGTCTCGGAAGCAGCCGCATATGTTCTCGACTCGCGCCTACGCACGGATCTCGTTCCCTACACCGACATTGTCTGGCTGTCCTCGAAATCATTCTTCTACGATTTCTGGGACCGCAGGAAAGCTTGGATGGGCAAGAGGCCGCTTCCGCCCAAGGCGGGTAGCTTCCAGGTCTTCCTGAAGGGCTACAAGGATGCGAACCTGTTCCTGCGCGACCATCCTTGGCCAGACCAGACCAATTCTGGGTTCCGAGCTGAGGATGCCCCGAAGCGCAAGAAGCGGCCGTGGAGCGAAGCCTGTCGTCCCTCGGGCGTCCATTCGGATGACGAAGACGAAGAAGAATATGAGAATGGCCAAGCGCGCACGCCATCGCCCCGCGAGGAGAGCCGAGAGCGGCGGTTCTATTGGACGGAGGCCTTGAAACAGTCGTTCAGAGAAGAACTGGAAAAGCTTGTAATCCTCGACTACATCATGCGGAATACGGACCGTGGTTTGGATAATTGGATGATCAAGATTGATTGGAAGACGGAGGAAGTGTCCATCGTGGCGGAGCCCCCCAAGCCCAACGGGCTGCAACCGCAGGAAGAAGACGACGATATGCCTCCTGCTCGCCCCGTTTCGGTCAACTCGGATGGCACGCCTACAGCCCCCCATCCTTATCGACGACGAGAGGCGATGGTGGCCGTCAGTCGCACCGGAACCCCACTGAATTCAACCGAGCCCCAGGCGACTATTCAGATTGGCGCGATTGACAATAGTTTATCGTGGCCATGGAAGCACCCTGATGCTGTAAGTTTGACGCTGAGTAGATGTCTTGAATTCTGCTAATAGATCATTAGTGGCGAAGCTTCCCCTTTGGTTGGCTGTTCCTCCCTGTCTCTTTAATCGGCCAGCCGTTTTCGCAGAAAACTCGCGACCATTTCCTGCCACTCCTGACGTCAACGGCCTGGTGGAGCGGAACTCAAATGGCGCTCCGGCGGGTCTTCTCCCAGGATTCCGACTTCAAGGAGAGCATGTTTGCCCGGCAGATTGCGGTGATGAAGGGGCAGGCCTGGAACGTAGTCGAGACGCTGAAGCACCCCGACCATGGCCCGCTCGAACTGACGCGACGGACGCGCGTGTGCGTTTGGGACGACCTGGTGGATGTTCCGGTCGCGATCCCTCTCCGCGGGCCGTCGACGGATGCGCAGAAACGAAAGGTCAAGAGCTACGAACATTACGATAAGCATGGCCGTTACGACCCAGACAACGAGGAGATGGACATTGGCGCTGCCATGTCATTGGGCACTGGCCCCGATGTTGATCTGCTGGGGCTGGGATCTTCCCCGAACGAGCTGCCCAACCCGAATCGATTCGAGCTTTCACGCGGCCGCGGATCCACGTCGGGACACGCGCGGGCTCAGTCCGGCAGCCCGGCGACCATGGGCGACTACCGATTTGGCCGCGACAGCATTGACGAGATGAGCCACGGACGAGGCATGGACCGAAGCTGGGCGACGCTTCCGCCCCGCCCGAGCCGGCATCAGAAGCACAGCTCGGTGTCGAGCTCGCGTGGACAAGCGCATCTGATCTTCAGCAGTGACGACCTGGAAGGCGATCTCGGATACGCGGCGGCAGAGGGGATGGAAGGCAACCAGCGCAAGGTCATTGTCGAGCGACTCGAAGCCGTGAAGAGCAAGAACCCGGTGTTTACCTGGTGTTAACCCGGGTTTTGGAGGCGATGTCTTGGGAGACCTGCCCGTCTCGGTTTCTTTCCATTCTTTTTTATTTAGCGTGTATCATGATAACCTGGCATGAGGAGTTCTTTTGCAGGGTGGTCCTTGTTGGAAAATCTTGATGGTTTAGTCATAAAATGGAAGTTGATCTTCAAGGGATCTGGCGGATGCCTCTATACATAATACAGTATATAGTTTCTCATTAGAATAATACACGGAGTGAATATCTCTTATAGACGATGCAGGATACCCCGTAGGAGAATCCGGTGGAGATCCTGTTCGACCGACCGGAGGCCCGCAATCTTATCTATGGCCCGCTTGGCATCGCCGGGCCTCGTCACAGTCGAGACAACTCTCCCTCCGCCATCCCTCACTCGTCCATCACTTGTTCCTTGTCGCCGGGTCCTCCGATCGCTCTGATCGTTCCATCCCGGAAGTGCCATGGAAGGGATCTGAAGCCCCGCAACTCTCACATCACGCTCGCCCCTGCGCCACCGGACGCCCGCCCTCCGACTCGTTGTATGCTCAGCCTTCTCTCATTCCATCCACCCGCCCGCCCGACCTCCACGACCGTCCGACTGATGTCCCTCCTCTTCCCCCGCCATCGCCTCATTCGACCTTGACCTTGGCCTATTGGACTCTGTGGGTTCTACAACGTACCGTCACCCCCCGTGTCTCGGGCTCCTGCATCGTCCATCGAATCATGGCCTCCCACGCCGCCATGCTCCTGGACCCGCGGGCCTACAAGAAACGCCTCCAACAGAAGGACTTGAACACTGGTACTACTTCCCCGGACCCCACCCCGGATAATTCGAGATGCTCTTTTTTCCCCGCCTCCCTGCGTTGTCCCTCCCCTCCTGATGACCCCACCGGATCCGACCCGGAGGACTCACGTTGTGCAGGAACCGCGGTACAGGAACCGTCCACGCCCCAGCGCGGCGCGGCTGCGTCGGGGCCCGGGAGGAGTCTGCTGAGCCCGCGTCGCGAGCAGAGGGGCGGTCTGAAGTCGCCGTCGAGATCGCTGTCCCGGTCTACGAGGTCGTCGACGGCGAGGGATACGGCGAGTGAGTCGCCACGGCAGGAGACGAGTGCGGAGCCTGTGGTGGAGGTGGAGTTTGCTAGTGCGAGGGTGGATGAGGGGCAAAGGAGTGATGGGAAGCGGGGCTCGGAGCAGATGGATGATGCGCGCCATCGGAGCTTGATTGAAAGTATGTATGGGGTGAAAGAGCGCATGCATCAACCGTATAAGAGGATGAAGGTGGAGGATGAGGCGCAACGGTCTAAGGCGAGGAGGTTTCCCGTCGCGGGAAGTACCGGGCTGGGGGACTGGGTGAAGGAATCGCGTTCTCAGTCGGGTTCACCCGCCGTGGTGCCGGATGTTGTCGATCTGACTACTGGTAGGATGATGGAAATGCGCGTGGGATGATTTTGCTGACGTTACGCAGATGTTTCGGCGGCAGCTACTGATGACGATGATGTGCAGGTCACCGGGTCGAATAACCTCAGTTTGCAGAGGGTGTGTTACGGGAAGATTGAGAATGCTACGATCCAGGCGCAATTGGTTCCCAAGCCTTCGTCGCAGACCATCTTTGGTGATCCTACGCATGACTGGCCTTCGATCAAACTCGGGGTGCATCGAGAGGCAGGGCACAATAACCGAATCGAGGTTTCGGATCCCTACGGGAAGATCTTTGGACTTGTCGATGCGAAGACGGCGTCGGTGATTGTTCCGCTGCTCGACTCGCCGGCTTTGAAGGTTAACATTACGGCTCGGTTGGATGTTCGAAGAAGGAAAGAAGACGAGTGGCCGTGGGCACCGTGCTCCAATGTTTATCGAGCGTCCGTCAATCTGTATGGCCTGAGAAAGGATGCGGTGGCGGTGGGAAAGCATCTCGGTCAACATAATGTCTGGCTGGGAACGCCATTCTCGGTGGAGCAGGGCGTGCCCGTGTGCAACCCGCACGCTGACAGGCGCCGGGCCCCAGCAGCTTTGGCGCCGCCGGGGACAAGGAATAGGGTGGGAGTCAACTATGAAGTGCGAACCGCCGAAGAAGTGAACGACGCGGTGATGAAGATGTTCGATCAGCTTCAGAGCGCTGACAACCTGCCCGAGATGGATCCCCCGCCGTCTCTGGTTACGCCATTGCTGCGCCATCAGAAGCAGGCGCTGTGGTTCATGACGGAGAAGGAGAAGCCGCGCAAGTTTGGGCCCAAGGAGGCGGACAACAACTCGCTCTGGCGGGTGGATTGTCGTCCGAATGGCAAGGTCCGGTACCGCGAGATCATCAGTGGGACGGTGCTCGACGAAGAGCCCCCGCAGAGCTTGGGGGGACTGTTGGCAGACATGATGGGCCTGGGAAAGACGCTGAGCATTCTGTCGCTGGTTCTGTCGTCGCTGGAGGAGGCGAGCCGGTGGGCAGATCTGATCCCGGATCCTGACCTGGTCCGCAACCTGCCGGGCATCCGCAATACCAAGACGACGCTGTTGGTGGCGCCCCTCAGCGCGGTCAACAACTGGGTGAACCAGATCAAGGAGCATCTCCAGGATGATGCGCTCTCGTACTACGTGTTTCATGGGTCGTCGCGGACTAATGATGTGGATGAGCTGTCCAAGTACGATCTCGTGATCACCACCTACAGCATTGTCCTCAGCGAACTGTCTGGGCGGGGAGCCAAGCGCGGCGTCAGCCCGTTGACCAAGATGAACATGTTCCGCATCGTCCTCGATGAAGCGCACACGATCCGCGAACAGAGTGCGGCGCAAACGCAGGCCATCTTCAAACTCAATTCCCAGCGGCGATGGTCCGTGACGGGTACACCCATCCAGAATCGCCTCGAAGATCTGCTCTCGGTCACCAAGTTCCTCGGGCTCTTTCCGTACGACGATCGCGGACGGTTCGGGATTCATATCCTCAGTCGCTTCAAGACCGGCGATGCAACCGTGCTGGCCAGCTTGCGGGTGCTGGTGGACTCGTTCACGCTCCGCCGAGTCAAAGACAAGATCGATCTGCCCGCGCGGCACGATAAGATCATCACGCTCACCTTCACGGAGAAGGAGCAGCAACTCCACGAATTCTTCCGGAAGGAGTCCAACGTGATGATGCGGGTGATTGCGGGCGAGGAGCAGTCAAAGATGAAGGGCCGGATGTACCATCACATCCTAAAGGCGATGATGATCCTCCGGCAGATCAGCGCGCACGGCAAGGAGCTGCTCGAGCCCGACGACCGCAAGCGCATCAAGGGCATGAGCGTGCATGACGCCATTGACCTCGAAGAGGGCGCCGGCGCCGCGGCCGGGGCCACGGACAAGAAAGCGTACGAGATGTTCACCCTGATGCAGGAGTCGTCGGCTGATACCTGCGCTGTGTGCGGGAAACGCCTGGAGGAGCCCAGTTCCGACAACGGACCGACAGATCGACGAACCGCCATGGCCATTGTGCTGCCGTGCTTTGACGTGCAATGTCCGGACTGTTTCGCGGGCTGGAAACACGCCTTTGACCACCCGGGCCCGGCCCACGACATCAAATGCCAGGTCTGCGACGGCTGGATCCCGGCATCGTACTCGACCATCACCGTGGGCGGGCTCCAAGACTACGTGGTGGACCAGGCGCAGGCCAAGCAGAGCCGACGGCACGGCAAAACGCTGGGAGAATACGAAGGGCCACACACGAAGACCAAGGCGCTGGTGGCGCAACTACTAGAAAGCGCGGAGGAGAGCCAGGGACAGGAGCGGCCGATCAAGAGCGTGGTGTTTTCCGCTTGGACGTCCCATCTGGACCTGATCGAGATTGCCCTGCGCGACAACGGGATCACTGGGTTCACGCGTCTGGACGGGACAATGACACTGGCGGCACGACACAAGGCACTGGAAGAGTTCCATCACAACGACGAGATCACGGTACTCCTAGCGACGATCGGAGCAGGTGGAGTGGGCCTGAACCTGACTTCGGCATCCAAAGTGTACATCATGGAGCCGCAGTACAACCCAGCAGCAGTAGCACAAGCCGTGGACCGAGTGCATCGAATCGGACAGCAGCGCGAGGTGACGACGGTCCAATTTCTAATGAAGGGGAGCATCGAAGAGAAGATATTCGAGTTGGCGAAGAAGAAACAACAATTGGCGGATCTGAGCCTGAACCGGGGCAAGTTGGATAAGAAGGAGGTTCAAGAGCAACGGATGCGGGAGTACCGGGGATTATTTAAGTGAGTGGTGATGCGGTGGTGATCTGGTTGATACCCTGGCGTTGATGCATTGATTTCCTGGTGCATTTCTTTTCATTTTGCTGCTCTCTGGCTACTCATTTGATACACGATAGACCAGTGATAATAGAGACGCAAGTCATTTCTCCATCCCATCCCCTCCCCCTCCCCCTCCCCCTCCTCCTCTCCAACCCCGAAAGAAAAGAATCAATAAACCCCCC